AGATTCATTTCCTTTAATTTAATAACATATTAGACTGACCAGTTTGACATATAACTATGGCAATTTACAGTGTTCTCACCATACTTCATAAAGTTATAATAATATAGATTTTTGTCACTTATTGGTGTTCCTTGTGTCACAAAATCTGTACACATGCATCCCCTATTATATTTAATGTGTTTCAATTGGACAATGTGTGTCATCTTTATTCATAAAGTCGCTATATCTTCACTATAATGGTAATGAAATTACATGATCAATGACTTAAAGCATTCATCTCATCACTCATTACCTCTGGCATTTCAATACACATGTTCATGATTTTCAGATTGACTATAAGTCTATTTACAGTATTATATTTAATATCAGTTCTCATTTTGATATTCATGATGGCGTGCATGTACATTATTCACATCATTAATTAATATAAAGAACAAAGGAAACTGTAGAATTAATTTTTGAAATGTAAAATATGCCCACCACCAGCTTACTATTCCAAACTGTTTATAAAGTTTGACACCTATTTCATGTTTTGAAGTTTCAAAATGAATTTCTCCAGAATCTCAGCAAGTTTGACAAAATTCTCAAGTACTCTAGCTGACCTTAAATTACAAGAGTTTGATGATAAGAACTCCAGTGAATAATTGATGCTTACTCTGAATTTCCATCCTTATAGTACTTATAATATCAGCAATTTTTAAAAAAAATCTACCAAAATATTTACTGTAGAAGGATTATAAAATTTTGATGACACGGGCAATAACACTTCAAGTAATTAATATCCAACTCTTAATTTCAATAGGACGAAACCAGATTAAAATCCCTTACATGTGTCCACTTTACTTCAAGGGTTTTACATGGGCTAACCCTATTCCCCAATTCCATTATCCCCTCCCCCCACTAAAGTAAACCCCAACAAAACAGATACAAAGCTTTAATGACAAGGGTGCTAACTCTATTGATGCATGACTCAGAATTAAATTTGATATGATCTCCCGTCTGAGTAGTTGAATAAACCCTGCATGTTCGAGAAAACAAACTGAGCCATAATGAGACAATCTTAGATAATAAATATAATAGAATATTAATCTTTATAGCATGACAAAGAAACGTGATGATACACTAGTTGTACCTGTAGGCATTTACATTAAAACTTATCGCAGATTTTCAATCAATATTTATAAAAGAGAGACTTCTCAGCAATTGTTTTCTGTGAAAAACAAACATGACACTAATGATAAAGCTAAATGGATGCAAACTGTCATTACTACAGTCAATTCTAAGAATAACTCTTTAATTGATTAAAACCCATTAGATCTCCTATATCAATCAACAATGTACTAGCAATCCTACAATATTATAATAAAGCTCCCATTATAAAACACAGATCTGTACTGGTTCTAAGATTGTGAAGGTAAAACCTTAAAAATAAAAATAATTACTGTATAGAAACAACTGAAGGTCACCTTGAGAAATTAGGGGAACTGATTTGACTAATTACATGAGCTGATTACACGACAGTACATGAATTGCCAATTAAGGTTAAATTTCTTTTGAGAGATCTGCTAGCACTGGTCTCTAGTTGAGTTACACTGAGTTTAGAATTAGATAGTGTTTGTACTATGTCAACAGATAAATATTTCCCCTGTGTTGTATAACAGCTCCAATAAAACCATATTAACTGACAGGCTGATAACATGAAAGGCTTCAACACTCAACTTAAATTCTATCCCACATGCAATATCCACATTTCAAAATCTACCAGTCTGTTCTAAATCAAAAATTTTTCCCCAGAATATTGTAACTAAATTATGAATGTTGTACATGTATCACAATTAAAGGCACAATATTCTAGCCATAAAGGTAGGTCCACCAAATCCGTGGAGATGCCAGTATTATAGGGGTGGGGTGGGTGCATGGGGGGTGGATAAGGAACACAATCAATATAAATTGGGAAACTGGATCTTGGAGCTTGGATATGGCTAGTCTTGAATGAAAACTTTGACACATTCTTGCACCCACAGTGCAAAAAAGGATAAAGAGCTAAACATGATCAAAAATTGATCAATTCTAATAGAGTTACGATCATCTCAAATCCATATTACTCTTTATTATTTCACACAGCCATCTTTATTGTTACTGAATGACAGAAGAATACCTCATTTATAAGCATAACCAGCCAGTTCTGTATTCAGGAGTCATGGTGACTCAATGTGTAGAGGGGCCATGGTAGCTCAGTGAGTCAAGAAGCTAGTCGCTCAGTAAGGCTCTGGATCACTAACCTGGGGTTTGTTCCAGGAGTTGGCCAAGTAAGCTCTTTGGGATTATGACTATTACATAAGATCGACATTCCGGCCAAAGAATTTAAACAGGTGCTGACTGGTGGTATCAGGAGATAGTTGGTTAAGGTTAGGGTAAAAAAGCTCTGAGACCGAAAACTTGGTGACCAATAAATCGTACATTCAACTACCACAGCCATTTTTGATAGGACAAAAATTGTCCCGAGACATAATTGTTTTCAACTTATTTCACGTCACACTTAGGCTGCATGATTAACTTACTTAAGAAAATCCCCAATAAACAAAATTCTAAATACATCTGACTCCATTTTGCATAAATGTGTTTCTAATTTCCTGTGTTTATATGCCATGCAACCTGTGTGTAAATCCATAATATCACTTGGTGTAATATAATATTTATCATTTGTCCAAACCATATTGATTATAGATTTCCATACTTCTACCACTTCTATATTTTATCTCTCGATTACACTATTATATGAACTTCTACCATATTATCCTGTCAATGACGACATATCAACTTGTTTTTTACTTCAAAAGATTTTTATTATCAGTACATGTTTTAAGTTATCTAATGTTTTCAATTTTTTAAAGTAAAATATTTCAGGATTTTTTCATTGACAAGTTCTCTCATAAATATGATTGAAGCAGAAAGATGGCTTAAATAAAACCAAAAAACCCAACATTTTTTACTGATTTAGGTCTAACCAGGGTGAATATTGCAAACATTATTATTGAAGTAATTATCATGTTCATCAGGTAATGTTTGTAAAGGATTATTTATAATAATTTACTATACCGATATTTACCAAGATGAAAAAGGATATTTGGATTAAATTTCTGACAATTCTCTATTATTATTGAAATCAATATACATCAACTGTATGCTTGTAATATTCAACCCACATACATAAACATATTTAGATACCATTTATTCCCAGACCATAAATCATTAAAAGGTGAAAGGGGGTGGGGGGAAGTTGGCAGTGTGTGTGTGTGTGTGTGGGGGGGGGGGGGGAGTACTAAATGACTATATGAAAAATGCAATATTTACTACAAACTGCAAATTAGAATTAGTGGAGGTTCAAAGAATGAAGTTAAATGAAACAGGGTTTAACGTCCTACCGTTCTGCTCTGACTGGGCTAATGAAGACAGACATATGAGGGAAATTTTGCCCGGGCAGCCGCACAGTGGCCTACTCTTATATTGAATGTCAACTGCCAAGGGATCTTTTACGTGCATGCCAATGTATACACGGGACCTCTGTTTTCAATCCCATCCGAAAGACTAGATAGCTGTCCTTGTCAGGCCCTCGTCCTGCACCACTGACAAGGGAGACCATGTTGGGAAATCCCGATAAACTTTCTTGCCCAATTCAGGTATCGAACATGTAAACTCCAGGCTAGCGAACCAGTGTCTTACCCACTTAGCCACCATGGCTTCCGGAGGGTCAAAAAGATGAGCTTTTTAAGAGTTGGTCAATGACTGCAATCTGTTTCATTCAGTTCAGTTCAATCTCAACCTATTAAACGACTAAATATGATCAGAAACTCTAATAATAAGGGAGCTAGGATCAGGTTGCTTAGAAAATCGCATACAAAATTTCTACTATGCAAGATGAGTGGACTCTGAACAGACGAAATTTCGAGTTTAATTCGACTTTTGCGTACAATCATCAAGTTTCGTGCATAAGTCAACCAACATCAGATGTCATCAAAAGCACTGCTTAAGAAGACTCCTGACCCTTCCTTCCCCCCTTAAGAACAACCCCTTTACCTCCATCAGAGATGAGTTAATTCAACTTCTGTGTACTACATTGATTGTTCAAAGTTTCAATATTGATCCACCAGAACATAACACTAACTTAAGAATGCGAATAGTGAAACTTTTAATGAAAAAATTAATGTTGTACACGGAAGTCGAATCAACTCATCTCTCAGGGGGGTAAAGAGCATGTTCTTATGGGGGGAAGGGTTGTTGGTCTCCTTAAGCAGTGTTTTGATGACATGCTGAGGTTGGTTGACTTATGCACGAAAGTTGATCGTTGTACGCAAAAGTTGAATTAAATTTGAAATTTCTGCATTTTGTCGCCCCCCCCCCACCACCATGGGAAGGGGACCTGCAACTTAAGAATCAAGGTTCAGAATATCAGGCACCACTGTCCACTCACCTATCATAGTAGAAATTTTGTACGCAATTTACGAAACAACCTGAACCTTGCTCCCGTACTATATTTGATTATGAAGTCACTTTCAAAATATCACAGGCTCAGAAAGTGCCAAATGCACAATATCCCTCACTTTTTCATACACACAAAAGGAAGCTACAAAATTAATAGCTGTGGTCGAGACCCTCTAAACTAACATTAGATCATCAAAAGCAGAATGCAGGCTTCCCAATACTTAAACACAAAGTAACATTATACTAAAGCTTTGGGAGACAGGTATCCTATCATCCTGTGGTCCTTTAAACATCTTTTTTAAAAACCCAAGACATCAAAAAGGTCTGTCTGCTGCCTGTTCACTATTGGAATTTCCCATGTATATGTGTGTAGGATGTGATTGAGAAATGACACCATTTATCATTAGCTTTCTCCTGTAGGAATACAATCTTCCTCATTTTATCATGCTCAAATCTCCACACAAAACATCTTAAAACACTCATTATACGGTGTATCATCAATAACATAATCATACAAGTAATATATAAATATTTTATTTACAAAATTATTTTTTTTATATTATTAACATTTACACCACAGCAATATAAATAATTTAAATACATGTATATACATCAATGAAAAACACAATAAGCTGGGTTGCGAAGCTGTGCCATAAAAAATGCTTTTAAAAACACAATTTTCATCCGAGAAATAGGGACAGCAATAATGACCGAATTTTCCTACTTGTGGGCCAAACTCATCAGTCAGCCCCCAAATATCCAGTGTAGACCTGAAACAAGATTATAAGCTGCCAATGGCCTACTGGTAAATCCGGCCCTGAAAGCAATAATTCACTAGTTCTCTCTCATATGAAATCAACTACTCCTAATACTAAGTTCATTGTCAGACAAGAATTATAACATTCATTAATCAGTCTAGTTTTTTAGTTTAAATATTGATTACCATACCATTACCTGCTCTTATTTTCTTCCTGACATGTAAAACAAAGTTCTTCACTGACAATATATCAAATATATGTAATATATCTTGGCAGATATATATCATTGAATACCTTCTGAATATGCTATGTATTTAAAGATGCATGACGTAATAGTTTAAAAATATTAAGTGAACAAGGAATAATCAAAAAGTTCAGTCAAATTACTTCAATGGATATTTGAAGAATGGCATAGTTTCAATTTTCATTGCTACCACTGTTACGATATTAAACAGTCTCGAGTATCCATTTTTAAATTAAATTATTAAATGATGATTTTGTTTCAACCCGTTCAAAATCACAACCATCCAATTGTCTAGATAGTTGATTATGGGCTTTGAATAGCTCACTGACAGTTCAAAAACAGATATATTTGAGATATCAAGGAAATAAGGCAATTTACCAAGTTTCATTAAAATTGGATAAAAAATATAGACTATTTTGTGTGGAAGCATGCATGGATGGACGGACAAGGGTGACAACAATATATTCTCATTAAATGTGGGCATGTAATTCCACATCATAAAGTCTAAAAAATTCCCAATAAATGTAAATTAAAAAATCCAGAATATACAATCATATCAGTAAATACTCTCTCTTCATTTCACATTTAATTAATAATAAGTACACATCTACTAAGGGAGTGATCTTTTTGAAATGGAAATTAAGACGTATAATGAGAGGATATTAATTAGGATTAACCTTGTTGATCAGTAGATCTAACTATCATCAATGAAAAGGCTTGATGCGGTATTAATATATCAATGGGTACTTAAGGCAAGGCTTATAATAGACTCTATATATCCTTAAGACATGCTTGCCATTACAAAGGAGATGCTAAAAGACTTTCAAGTGTTTAGATGTATTTCAAGAAGTAAGAGTTGATGCCATACACAGAGATACAGCTTCTATATCATTTTCATAATAATAATGATTCTGATAGTTTGATGTTGAAAATAAAATAGCTGTCAAAATATCAAATCTGTCACTCTTTCTTTTACATAATATTTTTTTTAGCCCAGCATGGCGATGATTACGACTATTCCCATTAATATAGTGAAGAGAATAACTGGAGTTAGAAGTCCCCATACTGGCCATAAACCAACATTTACACTGAAATATACAAGTCAACAACATATCTCTTATAATCTATTCAATCTACACTAAAAGCTTGAAATATTTTGTACATTATTGATCTACCGTGTTCCTTGTCTAATTAAACTAAACTCATGAAATACACAATAAGCATATTTCATATTTCTTACATAATTTATCATACTAAGATTTCAGTTTTCAAAACCTGGGGCATGTTGTTGGAGAAGAGAATTATCCTTTTTTCCAATCAGTTTTCAAAAACTGTGGAATGTTGTGGGTGAAAAGAATGATCTTTTTCTTCAATAGCCTATTTTCCAACAGCTGTTTATGACTACATGTATCAGCATAATGGTTTGTCCTCAACACTGACATCAATATCCCATTATGTTTGAATCATGTAGGTTATAGACATTTGTATATCCCAGTATTAGACTGTCATGATATAATGACTGATTGAAGTATGACATGTTGTATGTATACTATAAACTCATTGTATGTAATTTTCTCTGCTGATGCATATCAACAAATTTTAAAAGTAAACACTGTCAAATAAATGATTGATTATTGTAATTTATGACTGTATGCATAATGTTGTATAAATAAACATTACATGTATAGAGGAATATCAAAACTATGCCATATCTAAACTTACCATATAGCACCACAAACAAAACAACCTGTTGCTATGGGGATAGCTGCAGGGTAACGTTTTTCCCATTGGTCACTACTTATCTTCTTTATATAAGTTAACCAACCAATTAGAAATATTGCAACACAAACATTAATAGCAATCAATATAGCTCCTATATAAAACCATAATCTGTAAATATAATCAAACATATCATCTGTATTATTTATATAAATATAATATGCATCTGTCTACAATCATCAAACAGCCAAATCATATTTAACACTAGGAGAAAGAACAAAAAAATAACAAAATAGATTAAACACCATAACACCATATGCTACTAAATATAAAAGGAAGGGTAATTCATGTAATAAATCTTGCCAACACTGCAAAAATTTTGAAACTAGAGTGTTTATTTTATTTGTAGTGTATATTGGTAAATTTTGAGGTGATTAATATTTGCATGAGCAGACCAATTCTCAGGCAAATTACAAAGAAATCATCGAGTTCAATAAAATGTTATCTTTTCCTTATGTTACGACGTAAGGGCTTGATTGGAATATGTGACATACCTCATATTTTAATATTACTTCTAGCATAGTGAAACATTTGAACATAGAGAATTATTTTATAATATATGCACATTCCAGAACCAGGTATTGTATTGAATGCTCATTATTTCTGCCTTCTATTGATATAAAAGCAATTGAAATTTATAATCTTGTGGTGAGTGGTACAATTTTCTAGTCTAATACAATAACAGACAAAGATTTATGCTTGCTGGGCTGGGTTCACATTAAGATACAGACTAGGTAATAGTGTAGCAAATAATCCATTTTATCTGAACAGAATAGGTAGGATTATAAAATAGTTTCGGTAAATCGTTACTGCATTAGAATCTTGAAATGGCGTAATTGGTTTCTAAAGAAATTGAACTTTATTTAGCAATATGAACAAAAATTATTATCACCAATTAAAAGGAACAGATAAAAAAAACACAGCCTTTGCGTATGTCGGTCTACAATGTCTAATGTATTTTGCCAGCTAGATTACTAAAGCTTTGTCTCAATGAATATCATGTCTGGTTGTTTTAAACACTGTCCAGCAATTAAGACAAACACAAATCGTTTTTTGTCAGAGTCAGTCATTGTTAAATGGGGATTGATAACGAAATATTGATATACTATACAATAATTGTGATAACCCATAATTATTAAATTACTAGATAGATTATCTGATACAGTCTTACACCATAAAAATTATGATTACCATCTCAACTGCAATAATGTTAATTTGAAATATTTACACATCCAGCAATCAAATAACATAAACCCACATCTTTCTAATTATAGCCAATTGATTTTTATCAGTCCACGAAAAATCATCAATTTCATTATTTACTGAGAAGTCATTATTAAGTAATTTATCAAAATTCATAGTACATAACATGCAGCAATATGTCTGCTGTACACTACATAGAGAACGGAAAAGGTGTTTGTAGCTATCACATTTCTGGTAATTATTTATTAATAATTATCAAGTCAAATCAAACAGTCAGTAACAAAAAGAATCAATGGCAACCATATTAGAAAGTAATTAATTATACTGAGTATAACACAGTCTTATAAAGACTAGTAATTATAATCATTATGTTTACTTATTATATTATGTTATCTCTTCATTAAATATTAACACTTTTTACCATAACATTTGAATATTGCCAATTTTTTGTAGAATATAAAAGTCACTTGAGAAAACAAAAAAACCGAAAAAAAACCCGCTCAACAATGTCGCTGTTCAATCAGAATTTTACATGAAATGCTCATTATCAGTACCATCTTATCTACATCATGCTAAAAAAGGCTGATCTATCAACAAAAGCAGTAGAGATAGAACTGTGGAAAATTAATCTATAACATTTTGTCAAGTGTATATAATAATGTACTATAAAGAGGATAAATTATAAATAATTAGTAAATTGTACTTAAATACGTTATTATTATAATATTCTCATAAATATTATATCATATATATAATATATTTTTCTCTGTAAAGTGACACAAACCAGAGTCATGAATGATTGCTCTATTTTCTTAACTGTTGATTTGATGAAAATTTCTTCATATTTTGTATCTCTAATTGAGTAACCTTGTCAGTGGACAGTTGCAAGCTAAATACAAACATCCCTGTTGACCTATCAGCATGTGTGATTAGTCTATGTGTGATGACAGTAAATATGTCTTTTGACTATCCTTGGTTAGAAGTTAAAACAGTTATTCATGACCGCACAAAAAGCCACAAATGATTCTAAAATTTGAAAGGAAAAGCTGACTTCTGTTTAATGTTTCAAAACAAAATTTTAATCATACAGAGCTTGCCCAGTCACTAACTGAAATAACACATTGGTCATTGGATCTGAATCAAGCCAAATTAACACTTTTATTTTGAGCTAAATCAAAGAGGTTTACCTCCTTTAGTAGTATGTTTTGGGGACATGTAAACATGACTTATTAACACCTGTTTTAATATTTACACAATGTGCTCCCACCACCTCCTTACAAGTAAAACACATTAAATAATGTCAAAATCTTTCAAAATTGGTGAAAAGGTAGTTTTTCTGTCCCTTCTTTGGGATTTACAATGTTTTTAATGAACCTTTAGGCATTTGGGCATTATCAAGCAGTGTCACTTTAATATTAATGAAGTACTTGACATTTTGTTAACCTAATCATTTATAAATATATTGTTTATTAAAGCTGTTGTATTTAACTGTTAATAGCCTGAATTATAATAGTACTGTGATCATGTCAACACCCCATGGTATCAAAGTAGTCCATGCTTACTTGATTTGTGCACAAAAATAACCTCAATCATGACAACATCAATAATTACCATGTTTTAAATGAGATAAAAAAAAAAAAATCTAACAAAAACTGATGTGTTGTTTATTATGCTTATCCATGCTATTTCACAACTGGAATAAATCAATAAGTACTTCAACATTATCCAACCAACTGAAAAAGCTTGCAGCATATTGCCTACCATGCTAGAGGTCACCTTAATTGTAAGAAAGGAACTCGTCGGAAGTCCTTCAATATGACCTTCCGTCCTTCTATGTTGTCGGAATTACAAACTTCCCCAGAGACGATCCTGTTCAAGTGATAATCTTGATGCCAGCGATACCTTCAAGGACATTAAGCCAACATGATTTCTCTACATATTACTTCAATAAATTCTTCTATTATTGATTATATGAAGACGTTTGAATTAATTGCCTTGTATTGAGCTAGGTATAATTTGATGTATTTAATAAATGATGGTAATAAAGATTGATCACATATAGACACTCCACAGACCTTATGTTCTGCATCATATTAGTGAGGGTGATTACAGACATGAAATGGACATATTATTGACAGAAATCATACCACTGTCTATTGTTTTATAATAAAGTAGCAGCAATCAGGCTATTAACTTTCCAGCCAAATCTTTTAATGACAATCAAACTAGTGTAAATAATTATTACTATGGGTGTACACAACAGTCTTTACTGTACATAAGGGAGACAGTAGAATTTATTGATAGGGATATAGGTAATAGAAGAATTATCATGGCACACTAGAGACTTATATAAAGCCATTGTCAATCATGCAATTTCGCAATGATGTTACCATGATGTATAATTGGAACAATGACTATGATTAGGAGATTCTAGCTAAGATTGATTATATCTTAAGAACATAGTCCAAAAATTCATAAAAATGATCGATACTCAGAGATAATGTTTTTAGCTTGAAAAAAAATGAAGCAAAGGTCTACTACATGTAGCCTACCAAGAAAAATAAAGGCGCTTACAAAATGACTGGTATTTCTTACTGGTAATTATTGTGGTGTCAGTTTAAAGATAGGTTCCCAGAAAAGTATTTAACAGGTGGTTATTTCCAATAAAAGTATGGCAATTTTGGTATATATGAAAAGTAGAGATATCCAATCTTACTAGAAAAATACTGGATTCCCCAAAAAACACTCATGGAGCGTATACAGGACAAAAATGTCAGGGTTCCCCTAATCGGCAGCCCGACGATTAAGAATATCTGCACTCGTGACGTCAAAGGTTGCATGCTGAGATTGAGCGCTTGATGTACATGTTGATAAACTTTATGAAGAGTTAGACGTACAACACTTTCTGGGATGAAAATCACGAAAAAAGATGCGGGCAGTGGATAATCCGAGAATTTAATTAGGCTTCGATATTTGTAATAAATAGTCAGCGATTAAAGGCACGTCGTCTTGTATATGCAATAAATTCTCCTCTGACTTCGCACCCGTCAGTCACAAATATGACCTCTTTTGATCGATTTTTTATAGCAAGGGTATTCCTTGACAATTACAATGTTTTGAGAAGGATTTGAAGCAAATTTATGACAAATTAATTAGTCTGAATATGTTTTTAGGCCAAATATATCATCAAATCGCCCAGTTTGTACGCGGGAATGTATCTTTAATGTTTTGTTTTGAAGTCACTAAAAGGGCCTGCAATAGGCATACTTAACTCTTACATAAAGCATCCTCAGAAGTGGAATTATTGACTGTGTTCCAAAAGGTGTTACAGACAGACACTGTTTCTTAGCCTACATAGAAATGCTTATTATCTAACTCAACTCACGACAATCGCAAAGTATGAACAGCGTACGTTAGAAGCAGAGTTATTGTGTCCTGAAGTTTCGATTAATGAAATTGCTTATCTCTGCTTACCCAAAGCAGAAAATGCTCATCGTAAATTCAGTCAAGGCAATTACCCAATGAACTTTGAATATTCTAGATTGATATAACTTATAAGCAAAGTTACATGTCGTCAGAGGCAGTATCTGGCATATTTGACAAAATTCACTTTTTTTCTTCTTCAGAATCAGAATTTTCTTGCACATCTCTTCGTCTAGTTCTCATATTTCTAAGCCAATAAAAAAGGCTTGTATAATATTGTTTCAAAATGTTGTACATGGGGTTTTCCAGCCAAAATAAATAAATATCAGGAAAATAAACTATAAACTTAGTGACTTACCAAAGCATCACAAGCAAACAAAATGTAGCCAGTATTGTTTTGAGCTTAGTTATGTGATATCTAAGAAATTCAAGCAGTTAAAGGTGAATTTTTTCCCCCGAGATACAATTTCAAATTACTAGCTTTCACTCCTTATTTCTGCACTAGATATTTAGCCTGATATGTGCAGATAGCTACATGCTGTTTAAACAGCTACACATACATTTTGTACAGAAATATTAAAGAAAATCTTTAGAAGTACAACATTTTGCATACAACATTTTGATGTGACTTTTGCTCGATACCATGATTCTTAACCTCTATAACTTTTTTCGCTAGGCTGGACAATTTGGCAAAACTCAGATACAACCTTCTGACAATGTATTTTGACCCAAAAGGTGTGATGAACCCATTTAATAGTCCCCTGTCTTTCTTTAACAATAATAAAAATAAAATTATAAGTAGTATTCAGGGGCGGATTGGGCCATTGGGCGATGGGACAAAAAATGAAAAAAATAATTGTGTCCAATTCGTCTTAAAAACCTTTTTCTGCTGAACATTAAATTGGGGGGGGGGGGTGTTATTGGACCGGCCATGGAGCGATGATGATCATGTTGTATGTGGCTTTAACGGGCTGCCACGCCATCACTGGAGTCTGGAATGGGCTGGTATAATAGACTTCATGAATTTCACTTTCGTCACTCTGTACCAATGTGTCTTGTGGCCTTCCATCACAGGAGCAATCAACTAGCGCTCCCGGCAACAAAAATGGGACATTTTTCAATGAAAATATTCCTACTTATTCAATATTCCTAACTGGTTAATCAAATGGTCAAAATTTTCTCAACTAGTCGCATTTTTTAACCAGTTAAATTCTCTTGACTCTTGATGATACAATGATAATACGTTAATTAATAATATGAAGATATGATAATTTCACAGGTTGATGGTTGTAAATTACTTGCAGGTCGGGGTTTTGGCCTAAATTAATTGATTTATGAGATATATTATTTGACAGAGATTATGATCAGATATGCCACCAAATCGCATATTTGGGGTTCATTTTTCAAAATTTTCGAGGGGGAGAGCCCCCGGACCACCCGTCCAGGCTCCGCGGTCAGTAAAAGGCGCCGCTCCGACACGGGAGCCCGGGTTGGTTCCCGGCCCCAATCCGCCCCTGGTAGTATTCAATGAAAATTATAGTTTTCACAAAAATTTCTGGTTGGATGGATAGATGTAAAGATTGACAGGGCACCAAAAAAATACATTAAAATGTGGGCATAAAATACAGTGAGTAATTCCTAACAAGCATATCTTTACAACTTACCTGTTAACATTTGGATTGAATCTTAAAACCATGTAGAAATCACTAAAATGAAACACAGCAATGGAAGCTATTAACCATGTAATATTCTGAATACTGAATGCAGATTCTTTTTTCTGATATTTTCCAAATGTTTCTTCAAATTGCCTGCGAGTTTCTGGGTTAATGCTCCTGAATTTTGATTCTTCTGGTCGTGTTTCTGCATATAAACGATCTGTGAAAAGAATTTAATAATTTATTATTTAAAATAATATTTTTAGTGTGAATTTTTTCAGAGATTAGAGTGAATTTTTTCAGAGATTAGAGTGATTTTTTTCATTTAGAGAGAGAGAGAAATGGGATTTAACGTCCACTCACACAAACTAGGTCATTTCGGGACTATCATATTGTTCAATTTTATTTCAATAATTCACTTGCGCATAGGGGTCTTTAGCAGTGGGAGAAAACTGGAGGAGGGGGGAAAACCCACAAGGTTTTTTTCATTTAGAACGTACTGCACATGTACTAACCTGCTATTCATCCTACAGTAATTCAAGATACAGACATGTTTAGTCAGTGACAGAATACCAGGAAATTTCCCAGGGACCCAAAAGTGTAATCTTTTATTTGAGTAAACCTTTACTTTGATGGGGGGTTGGATGGCCGAATGGTTAGCATGTGCACTGTATCATAAGGTCTGTCATTGAGTTAACTGGCGAGATTTCGATTCCCCGGTTGTACTTGACAAGGTGTAGGGTCGCCTATCCAACCTTGTGGGTTTTCTCCGGGTCCTCTGGTTTCCTCCAACTGCCAAAGACCCCTACGCGCAATTAAATTATTGAAATAAAATTAACCAGGAGTTAGTCCCAAAATGACCAAGTTTGTGTCGAGTGAACTTAAATGCTATTCAAATATTATATTCAGTTTAAAGGAACAGTTTTTGAATAGTTTTAGATTTCTAGAAATTGTGAATATTTCAAATAATAATATCAATATTTCCTAAAGGTGGCAAAAGTCAGGTCATATTTCAATAATTCAACTTTGAAAAACTATTTGAATTTGTATTGTTGTGTGAGCACTAATAATATCTAATCTCAAATTCAAGATTGATTTCATGAAGATAATTAAATAATATCATGAATTTAACAAATTGAAATTGTATTCCTGCTCTAAAACTACAAATCACACAACCAATAATATATAGTATTTTTATTTAGAAAACTGTGCGATGTTACATGCCAAACAACCTGCAAATCTTTTTAAATAATAATAACATTCACTATTTAAATGAAGCTTTGATACAATTATGCAATAATTTCAAGTATAGTGAAGTAACAATTGTGGATCAAAAGTAGGATCAAACTTAGACAAGGTACCGGTACATTTGTACCTCTTGTCTCTAACTTCTAACTTCTGTGTCTCGAGATAAGGTTTGGAGTTATAACGATTGATTATTGTTAGTTATTCAATTTTTTCAACCGCGCTTGATTATCAAAACCAAAAATACATGCAGTTAATGTGAATATATTGTGTCATTATATTAGGTTGTGTGCATAAAAGTATTGTACATATACAATTATCCTGATTCTTATTTATAAGATCTCACATGCATTACCGGTAATAATTAAAATGAACTTGAAAGGCAAAACTAAAAGAGAACCAATCACAGATAAAAACAAACGTGTCAGAATCAGATTTATCTCAGTGTTTTTAGTGACATTCTTCTAGAATGTTTAAAAAACCCAATAATACTGTCTATGGTGCTGGTTCTTATCTTCATGGTAGGGTGCCCCACCATAAATAAATATCTCCAAATATCTCGACAATTACACCACAATATTTATATATACATACCAAGCTTTAAATCAGTTTCGCACATTTATAGTCACTAAATAAATGGTGATATTGTACTTAATAATATAAGCTATGATCATTTAACCATCAATAAATAATAGACTGAAGTGAAAAATGGTTACGTGTGTCGGCCATAACATCTGGGACCTTTTGAGTCAAAAAAAAGTAACATGCCCTTGTTTTGAAATTAGTCTTGCTTAACCAGTCAACCAATCATTTGCCATATGACTGACAGGCTGGGATAATCAAGACTACTTTTTTTACGAAACATATTCAGAAAGTTGGAACAAGATATTGAATTTAGAAACACGCATGTTAGGCAACTCAACAATTGTTTTAAGAAACTTGGAAAAGTAAAATGAAACAACTGCTATTATCATGTTCTTGTCGAACTCGAGTGTTTCAGAGATATTATTTGTACTAAACCAAAAGATACCGCTCCTAACAGTATAGTTAATGATAAAGCAATTTAAAAAATAAAACAATCGTAATTTCTAAAGCTGCTGCAATAACCAAAAAGCTAAATATTACTGCTATTCAGAATTGTCAACCTGAACCATAGATTTTTTACGGCTGTAATAGTTGATCGATGTTTAGAGAATTTCATGTGCGATGGATATTTATAGAAATCATTCAAATCATTGACTCTTGTGCTGAGTGTTATCGCACCGTGTGACTAACCAGATATCACTTCGAGACAAGCCACTGAAGCGTGTACACTCACCGTGTAGAGTTCAACTTTCAGTAGGGAAAATTTTGACTGCAACGGGCAGAGTATTCATGATATAAATTTGTGGGATGCAGTGTTGTTAAATTTAGGCAAAGAAAATCCATAACAATGCATGGGAGATAACTCTTTTATTTACTGGTTCGTCTTTATCGAGTTGAAATAATGATGGTTTACCGTTGTATCAACCATCTGATAAAGTTTATAAGAGATTATAATTTTAAATTCCAAAATGTTTCCTTAATACGCACCTGGGTCTATCGTATCCAAAAGACGACCAGCCAGTTTATGTTGAACTCGTCGCCTAAAAACTTCTTCGCTCATTCTATCAGCCATCTTGACGCTTTTGGTTGCCGTTGTATTCTGGATCGTGTCAAAATTTTACAAAACGAACAAGTAAATGTTTTATGGTAAGGCTGTATATATACTTGGTTATTTATTTCAATTGCTCTGTACTTCGAAGGGAAAAACCCTTGACGAATCGTGTTTTTAAATAATAGACAAATAAACAATTAATAAACAAATTCGCTGGAAAGCATTTCGAATTAGATGTCTTACAACAATTTTACATTATCCAATGTTTTGCATTTGGAGAGAGCTTTACGTGTCACTGTCTTACCGTTTCGATTAATGTGGGCAGAATGGGTGAAACCTAGATTTGAATTTTGGTGAAAACGTGTGAATTATATCGTGTGACAGTCACAAAAAATATGACGAAAGATAGATCAGATACAAGACGGCGGCATCTAGTCAAGAATAAACCCCCAGAAATAGTAAATAACCATGTCCCCACCAGGGTATCATCAAAGACAAAACAGGGAATGGATTTCAGGACAAAATTGATTGGCATATTTGTGACGACAGTGTCAGTTGCACTTATTGCATATTTTAGATATCAACAGTTATTAAAGGATGCTGTGAATACTCCATTTGATTCGCCTAAAATCATCCATGATAACAGTTCCAGCGCACTAGTAACACCAGAAAGATTTTGGGGATCATACAGACCCCACACATATTTTGGTCTAAAGACTAGAACAGCTCATTCACCTGTTGTAGGCCTAATGTGGCTTCAACAGTTTACTGGTAAAATGCCTCCTCCAATAAGACATTGGTGCAATCAAGATGACCAAATTAAAGGATATGGTTGGACTGCCCATGATGGTGTTAATTTTGGTGTGCAAGAAATAAATGATGATAATTTTGTATTAAATACATCATTTGTAAAACGGAGTGGAGGTATTCATGGTGGTGATTGGACTGCTAAAATATCTGTGATGCCAAAGGTTAATATTTCTTATTTCCATATACATGTACACCTACCAGATGATTATAAAACAGTTAAAAAAATAACTGTCCCCCAAAATTCCCCAAACTAGATCATTTTTACTATGACATACATTTATGAACATAAAAGAATTATTACTTTCAGAACTTTAAAAACACACTCTGAATTTGAAAGTTAAATTACTAATTTGTAAATAAAGACATTAATATATATTTCTTTTTTTTTGTTTCAGGAAAGTGGTTCTCCAGTTTTTGTATCTCTAATGTTTTACATGGCTTTAGATGGACAAGGACATCTGAACCCTGTAGCATCAAAGAATCGACTTACAGAAATAAATGGAAACACAGAAGAATTAGGCAATTTTAGGATGTCTTTTCCAAAAGCATCAGCAAAAAGTCCTAAATACCATCACCTGGTTACCTACACTCAAAGCATAGAGAAACTTAAAGAGGTTATGATGGGAAATATAAGAGTTGATGCCTGGGATAAAGCTAGAACAATGCCCTATTTTATTTTGGGTGGAAGGATGGTTCCAAGAGATAGTCCAGGTGGTCCTAACTACGCTGTACACCAAATAACGGCTCAGTTACCCATAGAAATGGAAGTTTTATTTGAATCTGAAAGTGTTGAAGACAGAACAGAACCATTGTCAGGAGAAACGTATGACAAAACACTTCATAAATATCTGGCACGATTTGACCAGAAATTTACTGATTTATTTCAGCTACAGAGAAAGGGTTATAACAAATCAGTGACAAAATTTGCTACATCAGCTATGTCCAACATGATTGGTGGGATTGGGTATTTTTATGGATCATCAATAGTGCAGTCAAAATATCATAAAGAACCTGTAAATTATTGGAAAGCCCCTTTGTACACGGCTGTGCCTTCTCGACCTTTCTTCCCCAGAGGGTTTTTATGGGATGAAGGCTTTCACAATATTTTGATTCGAGAATGGGATGAATCCATTTCAAGAGACATCTTGTTCCACTGGTTAGATTTATTAAATTCTGAGGGTTGGATACCAAGAGAACAGATTCTTGGTGAAGAGGCAAGAGCTAAAGTCCCGGCACAATTTGTCGTTCAGCAAAATAGAAATGCAAACCCACCAACCTTCTTCCTTCCACTGCAAAAGATAATAAGCAATATGATTAAAAGTAATACAGATAAAGATCGTGCTATCCTAAAAGCTTTGTACCCTAGATTAAAGGCATGGTATAACTGGTACAATTCAACTCAAGTTGGATCACAGAGATCTGTGTATAGGTGGAGGGGCAGGGACCCAACTACTAACAAACAACTCAATCCTCAAACACTAACTTCAGGCCTTGATGATTATCCAAGAGCTTCTCATCCTACTGATGACGAGAGACATGTTGATCTACGCTGCTGGATGGCATTAGCATCAGGTGTAATGGCAGATATTGCTAGAGCATTAAATGCTGACTGGGAGGAATACAGAGCAACTTATCAGATGTTATCAGATAATAAATTACTTGATGAACTTCACTGGTCCAAAGAGGGTCAGCAATATAGTGATTATGGTTTTCATACAGACAAAGTAAAATTAGAATTTCCTAAAGTTAATCCAAATCAGCCACCAGGCCAGCAGCCAGAGAAAGTCAGAGTTGAGATAACTAATCCAAAATATCAGTTTGTCAATTCTTTTGGATATGTGAGCTTATTTCCCTTTTTGTTAAAAATTGTAGAACCAAGTTCTCCAAAACTATTTACAATTTTAAATAACATAAAAAATCCCAATATGTTATGGACTGATTATGGATTAAGATCATTAGCGCGTAGTGCCAAGCTTTATAAGAGATACAATACCCAACATGACGGTCCATACTGGAGAGGAGCTATATGGATAAATATGAACTATTTAACATTAGGGGCATTAAATCATTATTCTTTAACTGAGGGACCATATCAAGAACTAGCTAAGACAATTTACAAAGATTTAAGAAATAATATAGTAGAAAATATGTATAGACAATATATAAAAACTGGATATATTTGGGAAAATTATGATGATAAAACTGGTGATGGCAAAGGAAGTCATCCATTTACTGGTTGGTCAGCCCTTGTAGTCCTCATAATGGCTGAAAAATACTAAGTACCTTGTTATGTTTTATCATCAGAAACTACTCACATTTCAATAGTTGTTACCCAATTAAGAACTTAATATAGACAGAATCACAGGTGTAGATGAAGATTTTTATATGTTCACACTTTGCCAAGTAAGCCAAGCCCATTATCATATCAGGCAATGAAATAATCTGTTATGGCTGCGACTCACATAGAAATGTACTCTTCTTGTCATGAGGGATTTCAAAGAATAGACTGAATCACACATGTATATATAGATTTTTTTATATGTTCAGACGTGCCATTTAAGCTAAGCTCGTTATCACATCAGGTAATGAGATAACCTCTGCTGTCATGGCTACGACTCACATAGAATCGGCACAGAATTTGTTATACTCTGGTCATGAGAGAGAGAGAAATGGGGTTTAACGTCCACTCGACACAAACTAGGTCATTTCGGGACTAACATGGTTCAATTATATTTACATAATTCGCTTGCGCGTAGGGGTCTTTAGCAGTGGGAGGAAACCGGAGGCCCCAGAGAAAACCCACGAGGTTGGACAGGCGACCTTACTCCTTGCCACGTACAACCGGGGATTCGAAACCACGCCAGTCGACTCAATGACAGACTTTATGATACAGCGCGCGCACGCTAACCATTCAGCCATCCAACCCCCCTACTCTGGTCATGAGGGATTTCAAAGAATACTTTGAATTGATTGAAAAGATGCAAGAGATTTTTTTATTGGCGTTGATCAGGTTTGTTAGTAGAATGTGCCACATATTTCATAAGTGATAGTCAACCAGAATCGCATAATAAATTTTACTTATCTCTTCAGATCGAAGTGTGTTGATACCTTTTAGACATGGTATCTGGATACCTATTGGTTAGTTTTTGTTTGGAAAGGGAAACAACTTTTGTGTTGTGGTCGTTGTTCATTCTCATTAATTTGATTTTATCATCCTTGATTGTTTGTATGCATGTATTGTATGTTTTATAAAAGGACCCATAAAATATTAACATGTTCATCATGCCTTAATATCACACCAAATGGCAATTGATTAAAATATTTTTCTTAAACTTGAAAATTACATTTGTGTATTTTCTGACCAGTATCTTGAAGACCAACTCATCATTGTTATAAAAAGAAAAATCAGACTTTTTCGCAAGTTTGATTTAATTATGGAGATATTATTAACAGTCTAAACATTTTAACCAGGTTTTTATATACCATTGTCTGATTTACTGGTACTACTTTATAGCAACTATTTGAATCTATATATATTTCTATTGAATAAATATTATATAATCTTAATTCTCTTATCTTCAGCTGTCTGAAACCCTTTTTATATTCCTTCATTTTAAGGGTGGGTGAAAGGATAAACTGTCAAATTTTTCTGATTACTAGATCACAATACAAATTCCATTTGTTATCTAAACAGATCAACTTGAATTTGGTGCAAGCCCAACCTACAGTGTGCCATCAATCAAACTCTTTATAAATATCATTTAGCAATCAATTAATGATCGAAGGAACAGAGACTATAACAAACTGATTAAATAAATCTTAAAAAAGAAAGAAAAAGCAACCTGAACATTAAATTTAAGACGAGTTTAATACAAATTTAATATCTTGTATGTTACAGCAATTGACACAATGCATAATAGAAGGCAATGAGACAAGCAATAAGGCTTGAAAAAAAAAAAAGAAACTAAACTAAATTTCCCTCATAATAAAATTACATTGTTGGTTTTCTATTTTCTACACCACTATTTTATATCATAGGTACATTATAGAACTATTGTGAACTGAATACCACATGTAATTAACCATGTGAAAACATCACATGTAAGTACACATTGGTCAAAAGACCCTTCTTCAGTCTGAATAATTATATTACAAATATTTTTTTGTGACATAATTCTCATGAATAGTTGACTAATTTGCGATGTGAAATTGATGCAATTTAGTACTCAAAATGCACCTAAATATTAAATGCAAAGCTGCAGTCAATTCATTTAACTGCCTTGCATCTCTTATGTCAATGTGCACTTACTGGAACATGTGTGATTATATTTATAGAATACAGTTCATTATTTATTATTCTAAAATATTCAACCTCCATTATCAGCTAAAAATCAATACATACAGAGTAATATACAATAAAAATTCAGCTTGAGTATTGACTAGTTATATAATGTCTGAGCCACTAGTCACAATATAGATTAATCTGAAACCTTAATAAGTAATCATTATCCTTTCATCTCATATATTGCACTAGTTGGTGTCGTGAGGTAGTGCTTTACTAAACCATGTTTTATAACATGGTGGATTTCAAACTAACGGTACTAAATATCTGCTGTTTAATCTGCGATTGCTTTTTGGCTTATATCAAATGTTTATTAAAGAACACTGACTTCAACTTGTAGTTGTAGCGAAATTTTAAAAATTCATCAGTTCGGTAGTGTTTTTCTAACCCATGTTTTATAACATGGTGAATTTCAAACTACTAAATATCTGTTGTTTCATCTGTGACTACTTTATGGCTCATATCAAATGTTTACTAAAGAACACTGACATTTACTTTTAGTTGTTGCTTACTTTTCAAAATTCATCAGTTTGGTCAAAATTCAATGTTTACTAAAACTATGCTAATAGTAGATTTTAATTTGCATCATATGAAGGTATCTGCATAGGACAGATTATTTCAAGGAAACACTGCTAAATGATCAGAAAGTATTACTTCATTTTTATGCAATTTCGCTGTGGATTTAGACTGGGCATGTTCATGTAACATCTGACATTTATCAACAGACATTTTATTGTTAATTACAAAGAGAATTTTTTTTGTAGTAATAAGAAATAAAGTATAGCGCTCCAAATAATCAATGATTGGATTCTCAAGCTTGGGGCTGTTTTAAATATATGACCTAAAATTCAAAATTTTCATAACGCTTTTACACAGACAAGGTATTTATTGTTGAGCTTGAAATAAGGAAAGGTAATAATCACCAATTGACAGAACAATTACCATGCATAAGTACATGTATCAAATATATATTGTTATAGATATTACCACCAATAAATTAAGAATATAATATTTTAATATTTCATTGAATATAACTGAACAGCACCCTTTCACCATTAATTAACAGTTCCTATAAAAGTAACTTAAAATATCCATGGAAAAGCATTTTATATGGTTAACATATTCTTATGAAATATTAAATACCAACCATTGTAGTCATGATAGTTTCAGTATTTTAACTTTTCTCTTCTTGAAATAGGTCCTATTATTTATTGTGTGACATGTATGCATTCAGATTTAAAAAAAAAAAACCAATACCATTGGCTTATTAATAATAAAAGTACTTAGCCGAATTACAAGGTGACAATAAACAATAATACCATTAGAGTGTACAAACAATAAGCATTACTCAAACAGTGTAATACATGTATAGCCTAGTAATTCAACTGGTCATCCTGTCTTTTGTTTGTCTCGGTGCCTGTATTTACAGATAGATACTCATTTGAAGTGTGATAGTTAACTTTTATTGGATAACATTACTACCAGATTATATATTGTTTTACAATATATGTGTACTAAATATTACATTTTAACATGATTCAGTAAAACGATTTCATTTTATCATTAACAGAAACAATATATACATACATCTATAGGGATAGAGACACACAAGATCTAGTGTAATACAATCAAAACAAATATTTTATTTTAAGTGTTCAAATGAAGTATAAAGATAAGAAAACTAAAACCATACTCTAAGCACCAATATTATGACTTTTTAGCACAAAATAATTTGTTTGAAAAAAATCACCATTGTAAATATTTTTGTTGATATAAATAACCTAACCACTTTCACCTTGTATGCAAACTCTACAACTTAATAACTATTATTATATAACTAAAAGTTTTACTACTAACATAACAATGCCGTTTTGTTCATTTAATGGCAGCTAGAGTGAAAATGAGGATGATAATCAAATTAAATATATAGTGGCTGTACAGACATTACAATAAGTTATTCTAGAAATGACAGTACTGCAATATGGTCCAGAAATTTGAGACATCCTGTGCTTTAGAAGGCACTCTTGCCTTATAGATTATTTGATCTGAGTATTGGACAAGTGTATTATTCTCCAATAGATATTCCAAATTTTGGCTGTAATCTTAGATGATCAAGTCAATTTGAATTATTTATGTAGTCACAATATTTGTTAGCACCTGCTATTCAATGAGAGAACTGCTGTAAATTTAAATGGTAAACTTTAAGTACTTAAATTCACTTTCAGCTATTTAAAACTCCAATTTCACATGGAAGAGATTCTAGTCATCATACAGAGTGAAAGATCTACACAAGTAGAGATGTTAAATGAACACACTATAATAGACCATATTGCAGTTTTCATCATGGGAAAATAAAAAAATAAATAGCTAGAATGTTTTCCTATGTAGAGCTTTAACACCTTCATCATTATATTCTCTTTTTGAAATCCACATCTTTTTAAATGTATCCAGTGATGCTAAAATAGAACCCCTGTAAATAAACCAAACATTCTTTTTTATAATTACATAATAAATCAACAAATATATGTATATCAAAATATCACCAATTGTATCTCTATTAAATGAAGGATGAAATCAGATCTTAAGTGAGGAAACATTCTGGTTCCATTGCTTTAAAACATAGGTTGTCAGTCTATGAAACATACTCATAAAGGATATCTCCAAAATCCCAGCAAGTTTTTAAAAAAAATCTCAAAAACTCTGAATTTGGGTACATCGGTTGATGACAAGATCAATAACTGATGGATGACTTTGTGATAGGGTTCAATTATTCATTTGTATAACTAATGAAATAAACCCATGAAATTCACAATGAAAATCTCTGAATCCCATAGCAAACATAAGATTTTGATGACACATGTGGTAATTGTAAGTAATTGATGTACAACTTATAATTTAGATAGGGTTCAACCTTATTACTAATAACCAACAATCCCAGTTATTTTGGAAAAAAATCTTAAAAACTCCAGACCTGCAGAGTTTTGGTGGCTCTATAAACAATTGGCTCTAAATTTTAATAGGGATTCATGTCTAGAAGTAGTTGATTAAGCCCAGCAATTTTGAAATAAAAATCTCAAACATAATTAACTTGAAGTTTGATCAAACAAAGTCGACCGGACAGATAGATCATTGAACATAAATCCATGATCTTCAAGTCAATCAAGTTGTTAGCTACCGGCATAGCTATTAAGACAAAATGGTCATTTTATGAAGGCAATAATGATTCAGAGAAGTTTAGAATGCACGGTAACAAATACTTAAATTCAGTGATCCTAAACATGAAAACACAAATCAGACAAGAAAATAACCTACCCTATCCATGTAGAATATAATCGTTCTTGCGGGGCAGATATCTGAAATATAACAAATTATTTGTCAAAATCTTTACAGCTATGAATACACTGTACAATTTTATTGGAAAATTTTGTTTAAGACAAAGATATGTATTTGAACTTTAAATAAACAAAGAAAGCAAATGAAAGCCCATGTTGCATGGTAAATTATAGGTTAGAAAGACCTTTCTTTTTAATGTCTATTTAAGATTTCAAAATTTCTTTTCCAAAAAATGTAATGAAGAATTGTGCCCAAGCATTTGCATTATTGCTGTATGTCCGCCTTGAATTTACATCAACTTTATCTTAACAATGAAAAGCCAAACCATATAAAATACCAAATCAGGATTTGAAACTTATTCATCTTGATTCCATTACTCTTACAATGGCCATCTTCATTAGCCAAATTGGTGTAGAAAAGTAGTATGTTAAACCATATTTCATTAAAGATACATTATGTAAGACTTAGATAAAGATAGGTTGCCAGGCAACGAAACACGCCCACAGCAGCTAACTCGTCCGGGCAGTCAACAAGAGTCGTCACATATTTTAACTTTTTTCGGTAATGCAACATTTATAATACATTAAAATCTGATTAGGAGTAACAACTCATTAAGTAATTATCAGAAAACCATTAGAATTTGTTTGGTTTTTATAAAGTTTTGCCCCATGCTAACGTTTAGTATAGGAAACTTTTAACATCATGGATTTAGCTGTTCAAGTCATAAAAATTCATTGAAAATCAATATACTTGTTTGTCTCAAGACCTTACACTCTGTGTATGAATCTGAAGTCAATCGGATGATAACTTTAGCTTCTAGAGGGTCACAAGGTTTTTAAAAGTGATCAAGGGCCATAACTTTGGCAGTAATTATCGGAAATCGTTGTAAATCAATATGATTCTTCGTCTCATGACCTCAAACACTGTGTATAAATTTAAACTCAATCGGATATTAACTTTAGCCTCGAGAGCGTCCACAAGATTTTTCAAAGTGATCAAGGGCCATAACTCTGGCAGTAATTATCGGAAATCGCTGAAAATCCATAGGCTTCTTCGTCTCATGACCTTAAACACTGTGTATAAATTTAAAGTCAATCGGATATTAACTTTGACCTCTAGAGCGTGCATAAGATTTTTTGAAGTGATCAAGGGCCATAACTCTGGAAGTAATTATCGGAAATCGCTGAAAATCAATAGGCTCATGACCTTAAACACTGTGTATAAATTTAGAGTCAATCGGATATTAACTCTGACCTCTAGAACGTCCACAAGATTTTTTGAAGCGATCAAGGGCCATAACTCTGGCAGTAATTATCGCAAATCGCTGAAAATCAATAGGATTCTTTGTCTCATGACCTTAAACACTGTGTATACATTTAAAGTCAATCGGATATTAACTTTAGCCTCTAGAGCGTCCACAAGCAATTGTGGACGCCAGACCGCCGGCCGGACGGGGGTGACAACAATATACGACCACATTTCAATGTGGGCGTATAAAAAGCTAACCATTCTTGCTATAATAGGTCGAAAATAGATAATGTAAAATGAATAATTTGAAAATTTCATTCAAATTACTTTATTGTGAGCGAAGATAATAGCCTTTGAATGTTTGACAAGACGTATGCAATAGTTTCAACCACCGTACTGGTTGTTCGAAGCTAAGTCTCGCTCCTCCATTTTTAGATTAAATCAAACTATGGCTGAACTGTTCTAATCTATTTAATATCGGAGAAATCCAATGCCATCAAGAGTTGATTATGGCCTGGATAAGTTAATTAATGTCTAATTAATAATTTAGAAAACATTTCAGGCCTAAAGAAAGACCTGCAATAGGCAGATTTGTCTCTTGCATAATGTATGTTTAACATTGGTGGTGAGAATTTTATAGATTATAACCTACCCTTATTTTTATGTCTTTCGGGGCTAATTTTTTTACTTCACTAAGCAATCGATCACCGAAACCTGTAAAAGAAGAAATGAACATACTATATTAATTTCTGGTATGTATCTAATCCATTGATTTGAATACTGTTGATATGTTAGTGCATGCTCAAAATAGCTTCCTCTGTAGCATTTTGGTAACAGATCTGTACTCTAAAAAATCAACAGACATCGCGTTTTACAACTGAAATTCAATAATTTTAAAAATATCATTAAGAATTCTATCTCATATCCCATTCACAAAATTCCATAAATCTAAAAATAAATGGGGAGACAACTCGGAAATTAGCCATCAAAATTTGGGTATGATTTTTCCTTTATGACCAGATGACCAACATATACAGAGCATGGTTTTTACTTTCAAATTATGCTAATCAGTCAATTTATAACGTATGTTGTTTACTTTAGATTAGCAAGAAATCTTTTCCAAAGAACCTGATAATTTTGAGCATAATCCTCCCAATATATTTATACAAGTATATCCTAAGTGTTTTTAAACTATAAATTTTAATGTATTTATCATGTTTTACAGGTAATTCTTTAAAATTCGAATTTTATGGCATATTAATTGACTGACAGGTAAATACTCAAGCTGTTCAAATTTATTGCCACTCAGTTTAAAAAAATGAACGAGCAGATATGTTGACAACAATATATATATGACGACTTAAAATGTGTGCAGAAAATAATTTAGCCATATTAACTTACCTTTAAATAATGTTGAACCTCCTGATAAAACTATATTAGAAAATAATGTTCTCCTAAGATCCATGTCTGACTTTTGTATTGAGTATGCTAGAACTTCATGTATACCTTGACATTCTTCACCTATTAAATCTGGTCGAAATAGTAATTCTGGTGCTTGGAAGCGTGCAGGACCAACCTAAATCAAAAATTAATCATTCATTGATTTTAAAGGAGCTAAATCCTATTGATTTGGGTAAAAATAAAGTGTTGAGTTGAGTTGATCTGATAGTTGATGGGAAAGAAGACTTTAATGTATGATAGATACTCACTTCATAAACGATTCAACACACAAATCTTGGAAACAATTTAACAGTTTGATCAACACTGTAACCCAGGTATCATTTAATCTTGTGTATCTAGCACTAATTTCTTATATATGTGTTTAATATCAAATCTTTGTTTAAAAATTCGTAAAAACTGTTTAAAATCACCATAAATTGTGACTTCTAGTGGGTCCACAAGCTAAAAATGTAATTTTTCGAAAAATCAGGGGCCATAATACAGGAAGTTATGTTCCGATATGCGTGATTATCTAAAGAAACCAAGATCTTTGTGATATAAACATAAATCTAAAGTTTCATCAAAATCAGATCAAAACTGTGGCCTCTAGAGGGTCCACAACCTTGATATATCACATATCTACACTATTTGCATTCAAGGAGCGGCCATATTTTGTCCAGCAGCTTTGGTCTGATTTTCATGAAATTCGAACTCAACCATCATTAGGGTGTAACGGTGATATATTCAAATCGGATAGAAATTGTGACCTCAAGAGGGACCACAAACTAAAAACACGATTTTTAATACAATCAAGGGCCATAATTCTGGAAGTTAAGATCCGATATGCATGAATATCGAAAGGAGCCAACATCTTTGGGTTATAAACATGTATTTCAATATTCATCAAAATCGGATCAAAATGCTGACCTCTAGAGTCCACAACCTTGATATACCATATTTCTACGGTGTTTGCGTACGAGGTGCAGCCATTTTGTCCGTTAGTTTTGGTCCAATTTTCACGAAATTTTAACTCAACCGACATTACAGTGGAATGGTGATATATTCAAAGGTTATCTTAAATCTGATAATAGTTGTGACCTCTAAAGGGACACCAAGCTAAAAACACGATTTTTTTCGTACAATCAGAGGCCATAATTCAGGAAGTTACGAACCAAAATCTTTGGGTAATAAACATACATTTCAAGTTTCATCAAAATCGGGTGAAAATTGTGACCTTTAGAGTGACCAGAAGCTAAAAACGTGATTTTTCGTACAATCAGGGTCATAATCCATAAAGTTATGGTGTGATAAGCCAATATTGAAAGGAACTGAGATCTTTTTGAGATTGACCTATATTTTAAGTTTTGTCAAAATTGGATAAAAATTGTGACCTGTAGAGTGTCCACAAACAATTTGTGGACCGACAGACTGGGGCGAGGGCATAATACGTCCACATGAAAATATGGGCGTATAAAAACTCTGACCTGTAGAGCATTTACAGAATTCTGGATGAAAAAACAGATGGGCTGGGGTCATAACAACACACCTACAACCTCTAATTCCACACTTAAAGAATATGACGAGAGATAATACAATATAAAATATACTTACTAATATGGTACTTCCATCTGGTAAACTATATTGTGCTTTGTCTGTGTCAATACTTTCTTCTTTTAATGGATTTAATGCTAAATAACACATTTTCTACAAAAACAAGATAAAAAAAATATTCGATAACTGTCCAATTTTTAGAATAGGTTTATGATATAACTTAATTATTAATTAACACTTGAAGTATAATGGTCACAAGATAATATATGTGACCTGTGATAGCAAAATGAGTCGGTAGCCACAAGTCTTTTATGATATCAACAAAAGGTTAAAATAGGCTATATATCTTTTAAATGATATAACACGAAAGATAAATTGACAAATAAAGCCAACTAAATTTTTTTTTATATAATTTTAGCTGATTTCGACATTATTGTTCCTATATCGTACACAATGACTTGCAACTTCTGACTTATTTTGCTGTAACAGGTCACATTTGTCATGGCATAAATATATGTCATCAATTATCTTGGAATTTTAACATTGGCAATTATGCATGAACAAATGATTCAGCAAAAAATTTAATTATCAGTTTTAGTGCTAAAGGTAGCCTTGCTCTGCAACGCCAAATGAGAGAGAGAGAGAGAAATGGGGTTTAACGTCCACTCGACACAAACTAGGTCATTTCGGGACTAACATATGGTTTAATTTTATTTCCATAATTCGCTTGCGCGTAGGGGTCTTTAGCTGTGGGAGGAAACCGGAGGACCCGGAGAAAACCCACGAGGTTGGACAGGCGCCCCTACTCCTTGCCACGTACAACCGGGGATTCGAAACCACGCCAGTCGACTCAATGACAGACTGTATGATACAGCGTGCGCACGCTAACCATTCAGCCATCCAACCCCCCACGCCAAATGAGGGTATAATATCAGGGTTGTTGCAGTATTTATGAACTGATGCCTTCTTTTATTTCAAATCATCTCTTGATCAATGTATCTTTCAACCATAATATTATTGAATGTAGGCCTACATAAAATAAACATCACAACTAAAATGTACCTCTTTAATTGTTTTAACTACTTCAAATTCTGCTGTAGTGTGAAAATCAAAACCTTCTTTTCTGAGTAGAAGTCTAAGATATCTAGATACATCTCTACCAGCTATATCTACTCTCATTATACTATGTGGCATAGCAAAACCTTCATATATTGGTACAGCATGTGTTACCCCATCTCCAGCATCTAATACAACACCAGTAGTTCTACCAGTAGCATATCTAAAAAATTCACAGTATTACAGATCATATACTGCCAAAAAAGAAACTTAGGCCTTATGAAATTGATGTGACCCAAAGACTATATAATTATGCCATCATGATGGAAGTTATATTCCGTACTTTTGTTACAAAACAGAAACACTTAAATAAATGTGATTGGTTGGATTTCACACATTACATTATTCTAAGGAAGATTAGCACTACTCAAATTAATAAAACTCTGTTTACCTAAGAGAGGGTATTTCTGACAAAAAAATCAATCAAATATCAGTTACTTTTTGCGAAAATAAAACTGTTTTAGAGCTCCATTAAAATAACTCAAAATGTGTTTGATTATCATTGGAAGAAATACCAAACATTAATCTATTTTAGTTAGATTAATATCAAGTCATCATAAACATTGGATCATTGACTCTACCGGTATTAATATACTTCATATATGAAAATTAAACAGATGGTATTGATATTTCATGACACATTAAATGTGCAACATAAAATAATTATATGACTGATAGACTTACAAACTTAACACAGCTTGCATTGATATGAATAGTGCAGGTACATTAAATGTTTCAAAAAATATTTCGGCAGCTTTTTCTCGATTACGTTTTGGATTTAACGGTGCTTCTGTTAATAATACCGGATGCTGTAAAGTACAAAAATAAAAAAAATTCTAATTTTATTTCCATTTTGCTATCATTATAGTTTCTTGACAGCAATTTAAGTGTCTTGTACTAAAAAATTCAGATCTGATTACACCACAGGCACATTGGTAGACCCCACCCTAATGTTCATATTAATATACATAAACTACATACATGTATTACTATACATAACTTATATTCCAGGGCTAATAGTATTATAGATAGATGAGGTATAAGATGCATTTAGTGATTCATATGTAACAAATTTAAAATTATGAACTTCAAAGAGTGAATACGAATTTACATCCTCCCCCAAAAAATGGCTGTCATTTTAAGACTACCGGTAACATAAGGTCATTACTTAATTATATGACATGATAATTGGGTCTTTAAAGATACATTATGGGAGATTAGATAAAGAGCTGGTAGTTCTCACTATAATAGTTAAAAACTAGATAATGTAAAGGGAATTTGCTGAAAATTTCAGTCAAATTGTTTCAACCTGAACCAAGTATTTAGCGATTGAATTTTGGACCTAGCCCCAATCATCATTAATAAAAAAACATAGTCTCGATTATCCATTTTTTGATTTAATCAAAAGAAGCAGATCGGGTACTAATCCAGAAAATATCGCAGGCTAGCGATGCCATCGAAAGTTGATTATGGTCTGGGTAAGTTAATTAATGTCTAATAATTTAGATTACATTTCAGGCCTAAAGAAAGACCTGCAATTGGCAGATTTAGCTCTTGCATAATGTATGTTTAAAGAGTGGTAGAAAATAAACAGTCTGGCAGGCACTCCTAATTGTTCTTTACAATTGTGGGATTGTGGATTATGACCACCCAACCCAATCAATACCTTTCTATAAAGAATGAGAATTTTGTTTAATTTTAGATGAATATACCTCTTCCGAGAATGTTTGAAGTTGGTCTTTTGAATAAATATACTGCCAGATTCTTTCCATATCATTCCAATCTCTAACAATACCATGTTCCATAGGATACCTTATAGACAACAATCCTCTGTGTTCCTGATAAATGAATCAAAGATTTTTAGCTTAATGTTTTTAAAAAAATTGACCTAGTTTTCACATATACACAACCATAATTCAAACGAATCAAACATTTCGTGCTTGGTAATATGGGTAACTCTTAATTGCGGATTACAATCGGTGAAGCCAATCCTTAACTTTATTGGTTTCAAACTCGGGACAATAATTATTCTTATACCACAGAATTAGTAGGTTGATGCATGAATACTTCAATGAAACCATCTGTTTCATGTTTATTTTTCGACTGGTGTGGTTTCGAATCCCCGGTTGTACGTGACAAGGAGTAGGGGCGCCTGTCCAACCTCGTGGGTTTTCTCCGGGTCCTCCGGTTTCCTCCCACTGCTAAAGACCCCTATGCGCACGTGAATTATTGAAATAAAATTAAACCATATGTTAGTCCCGAAATGACCTAGTTTGTGTCAAGTGGACGTTAAACCCCATTTCTCTCTCTCTCTTTCATGTTTATTTTCATTCATGCAGTGAGTACAGACCAGTAAGTTTTAAATTAGACATGATCACAATTGAAGTAAATGAAATTAATTGCTCAAAAATTAAATCTGCAACATACTTTTATTCACAAGTGAATTCTCATTATATTATAAATGTGACAAATTCTGGTTAAATGAGACATAAGTTCAGTTACAGTCAATTCTCTGTTTCCAAATGACTTGTCTTCAAAATGACTCTATTTTTATTTTCCCAACACCCAAATATCAAAACATATCAGAATTGCACAAAATTTGTTGTTTTTGCTTACTAAGAATTTTCATTTGCCCAACACCAAAGATCAAAACATATCAGACATTTGTTGTTTTGGCTTGCTATGGAATTTGATTTGTAATTTCCAACATCAGAGCTAAATATCTCATCCATTTTGCGAAGTAACTGCCCATATACTATTGGGGTTTTTAATTGGTTAAGCATAAGAAATACATTAAAAGTCCTTAGATAATATGCATACCTCTGCTTCTGGGCCCAGAAATATGTCCCCTTCAAGGGCTCCTGCCATAACACGTACATGTTTGGGTCTACCAATACTATAATAAACATATGTTCTACATATTTAATGGTACTCAAGGGTAGTCAAATATTCTCCATCCGTTTCAATTTGCATAATCTTTTAAAGATACATTATGGGAGATTAGATAAAGAGCTGAGCAGTTCTCACTATAATAGTAAAAAATAGGTTGCCAGGCAACGAAACATACGCCCACAGCAGCTAAATCGTCCGGGCAGTCAACAAGAGTTGTCGCATATTTTTAATTTTCGGTAATGAAACATTTATAATACACTAAAATCTGATTATAAATTTAAAGTCAATCGGATATTAACTTTGGCCTCTAGAGCGTCCACAAGAATTTTTGAAGTGATCAAGGGCCATAACTCTGGCAGTAATAATCGGAAATCGCTGAAAATCAATAGGGTTCTTCGTCTCAAGACCTTAAACACTGTGTATAAATTTAAAGTCAATTAGATATTAACTTTAGCCTCTAGAGCGTCCACAAGCAATTGTGGAAGCCGGACCGACAGACGGACGGGGGCGACGACATTTAAATGTGGTCGTATAAAAACTAGATAATGTAAAGGGAATTGGCTGAAAATTTAGAGACTGAATTTTAGGGCTAGCCTCGATCATCATTACTAAAGTCGATACGATAAAATACATATTCTAGATTATCCATTTCTTGATTTAATCATGAATGAGCGTTGAGCAGCAGATCAGATTCTAATCCAGTAAATTTAGCAGGCTTGCGATGACATGAAGAGTTGATTATGGTCTGGATAAGTTAATTAATGTCTAATTAATAATTTAGATAACATTTCAGGCCTAAAGAAAGACCTGCAATTAGCAGATTTAGCTCTTACATAATGTATGTTTAACATTTTTAGTTTACATTATCATTACGGTAATGTTAATCTTATCCAGAATATATACCACTGGTACATTAATTAAAGATTTCATTTAAGATTAAAGGTGACTGTCACTGACTGACTGAGCGTTACATTTATTATAAATTAGTTTAGAGCATCAAATACACTTACTAATTTGGAAATATATATTTTGGAACCTGATCACCAGCAAACCCAGCTTTTATTACACCGGACCCCTGTAAGAAGTAATAGATTTAGCATTTCTTCATATATATTTAAAGAATATAGAAAATGTTACATCAAATGAGAATGTGTTATTATAGGCCTACAATTATTATAAGGGACATACATCAATATGACAATATGCAAAAGTAATTCTTCAAATATTTTCTTTAAACATGAGAGAAAACCAAACTAGTGTAGGATTAAGTGTGTTCTGAGAACTCATTGGTCTACTTCAATTTTCAAAATTCATTTTTGTTTGGACGCTTCATAGCCGGTTTTCTATAGTCATAGAGAAAGCCATGTTGAACTTTATTATTGATTTCCTTGATTTTAAGAGACCTCCCAGAACTTAAGAGCAAAATATTAGCATGCCTGGAGATAAAGCAATTTTTTTGAATCACCACCTATCTTGGGAGTGGCTTGTATGATTAGATCTACAATACATGATTTAAAATGGAGAAACAGCCAGAGCAGCAGCACCAATGACATGTTTTTATCAGTATTGTTATCTCTGTGGTGAGGGAATACAGTCAAGTAGATGGATTATCAGCACACTATTTAAGCAACACTTATTTTATGAATGCATCTTCCATATAACAGTAAATAACAGTAAATATTATCGACAAATTACAAATATGAGTCATTCATGTCACTTTGGTGCAGACAGGTGCTACAAAAATGGCGAATTTAGCAGACGGTTTGTTTGGGGAATCAATCACAATTAGTTTTAGCATCGCATTTTACAATGTGTGGAGGACTCACATTGTCTATGACAACAGGCTGGTTTGCTATTACATCATAAGATTCCATGGAATAGGCACGATATGCCAAAAATTCGTCTAAATCTCTCAAGTTCTGCCTTATGATACTTTATAATGCACATAGACCAAATACGTTATGCATCATGGGAAAACCGGATGTGAAAAACGCTTATCGCGATTTAATCCGAAATATGTGTTTCTTTAAATATGGATTATTTCTAAACGTAAAATTATGAAAACTCCGTTATATTTCATTTCAAAGGCTCCATAGAAAGATTGTTAAAATTGTATTGGTAATTGATAGGTTAGTCTTGATAATCCAGCTCTGTCACTGGTAACCAAATTTTAGTGGGCTGGTTCAACGAGGCTACTTCTTGGGTGGTCAATGTTTTGGCTGTTTCGCCAAATGGCTTGACATACCGGTGAATGATAATTCGATGTAAATCAAATGAATAATTGTAATTGATAATTTCAAGTTCATTGAGAAATCGTGGTTTAAGACGATTGTTACGCAATTTAAAAGAAGCTTTATAAAATATTTAGATTTCTTTTGTTTTCATTTCACGTGTTGATGCCGGGGGAGGTGAATAGAATGTCAAATGCCAAAATGGAGGAGAGAGAACATTTTTACTCTTCTTCGTCTAATTTCAGTCAACCTACAATGCCAGCAACCCCTCCTGGATTAGAGGCAATTTACTCAGCATGTCGAAGACTTTATCCGAGCCAACCAAACCCGTTACAAGTCACAGCATTAGTAAAATATTGGTAAAAATACTGATTATATTTCACTATGATGATTTGTTTGGTTTTCAATTGGGGTACATAAGCAGGGCTATAACTTAGTATAAGATCATTGAATTCTGCCGGACAAAAAAGTTTGTTTATTGTTTTGTACCATGAAGATATGTGGTTTGATACATGTCCAATATGTTCATATTTGGGATACATAACTTAATTTACTATGGTTATTGAATAATTCTCATTCTATAATAAGGTGACATAAAATAAATTGATGGTTAACGCCCACTCCAGCCCTAATCCCACTTACTTAGAATTTAGTCTGGAGATTTTTAATCTGATGTCTTGCCTTTTTTTACGATGGGGGGGTTGGATGGCCGAATAGTTAGTGGGTGCGTGCTGTATCATTAGGTCTGTCATTGAGTCAACTGCTGTGGACACTGTGGTTTTGATTCCCCGGTTGTACTTGACAAGAGGTAAGGTCGCCTGTCCAACCTCGTGGGTTTTCTCTGGGTCCTCAGGTTTCCTCCCACTGCTAAAGACCCCTACGCGCAAACGAATTATTGAAATAATATTGAACCATATGTTAGTCCCAAAATGACCTAGTTTGTGTCGAGTTGATGTTAAACCCCATTTCTATCTCCCTCTCTCATTTTTCATGATATAAGTGATGTAATGTTTTGCCATTTTTAATGATATGTGTATGGCAATCTAAGGCAGCTCGCTGCAAGGCAGGATTGGGGCAGCCATTTTGTTCAGCTATAGACACTCATCAATTTATTGGCTATAGGCTATCGAGTGATATACCCAAGATGGAAGTTAATACCCTTCACAACCCAATAAATTTGGGTTTAAAGTCCTACTTTTCTACACTATCCAGGCTAATGATGCCGAGCATACTCCATGCAGTCTATTCTTATTTTGCATTCCTACATGTGAAGAGATCTTTGTGTCAGCTTACTCTTTTTTTACCCATCCAAATGACTAGTCACTGTTCCTTGCAAGTACATGTGTATTTATTTATTTACATTGCATTATTTTTTTTGTGGTCACTTTATATTTATATTTAGATACAGAATTTGTAATAGTCATATATGTTGGAGTTATTTTCATATTGGTTAAGGGTAGTCTAATAGAATAATCACAAATATTGAAATCAGACTTAAATGAAAACAGATATTGTATCTGATAAAAAAAAAATAGTTAGATTAGAACTTTATGCAGTGTAGACCAATGAAATATTTATTTTATTGGTAATTTGGGTTCAGAGCTTCCAAGGAGAGTGATGTACATGTACATGTGAAAGCTATCTTTGACATTTAGTTCCAGTATGGTCGGGAAATAAATCTGAAATTGGCAAAATCATTGAGGAGGCGTAATACTCTACAGTAATAACAACATGTAGGCGACATTGATAATTGATATTGATATTGATATCAAGTGATATCCAAACGTATAATAATTTCATCTTGGTTGTTGATTGGTATTAAGTGGGACAAAAACATGTACCTCTTGCTGAGTTTGAAACTAAATATTCTAAATGGGCAGTTATTTATTTGAATATAGATGATTCTGCTGATTATTTTCAGGTAGGGGGTATTTTTGTTCAAAGAGGCATATTAAAGTAGTATTGTTACCACATGACACTTGGTTGATCAATTAATATTAAAATAATCTGTTCACTGTGGAAGAAAATCAGATTGAATTCAATCAGGATAAATATAGATCGATCGAAAGACCGTAATATTTTCACTGATATTTAAAGACCACGTAAGATCAAAAATCTAAATTGCATGTATGCATAGCCCATGGTCATTATATCAACTTTACGGCAAGTTCACACCAATCTGATTAAAATTAAGTATCCGACACGCCAAAACGCTTTTCGATTTTTCAATTACGACCTTAATCCGGTTGATTGGCTGGTGACGTCACAGGCACTACACATAGGATATACATTATCTATACAATATCTCACTGTATGTACAATATAGCACTATCAATACACACGGCAACTGGACAAGCGTCTATTGACGGTCCAATTACCACGTGACTGGCCTGATCATAATCACCGAATTATCGTCTTTCATTGGTATAGATTAGACATTTGTGATTGGAATATTTTAGAGTGAATTTAAAATGCCGTATCATGCCGTAGATCATTTTAAGCTGCCTTTGTTTAAATAGGCCACGTGTCAAATGAAGATGACTCAAGAAATTAGCGCATTTACTGGTAATTTGGATAACCTCGTAATACTTGATATCCCAAACTTAAGTACAGAAATACAAATGGTGCCAGTCATTTGTCGATATATTCATTATTAGCTATATATAATAATAAAAACCATTTCTATACATAAAGAACAACTACAGTGAATATGGAATTTTCCGATGACTATGCATAATAAACATGTACAATAGATCGCACTCATTTCTCTGCCAATCAACGCTTGGTATCTTATTACCATGTACCGTTCCATGTACTCCGGGTGTAGTAAATGAAGTTAAACGTCGCCACGAAAATTGCATGGGATCATTCGTGTAGTTCCTGGTGCCGTTTGGTGAGTGATAAAACTGTCAATGCAATTGTAAAATACTTTTATTATAAAGAAGATAAACGATGTTAGACATTATAACCTAATTGTATCAAAAACATTTATCCATCCATCAATTAAATGTTGTTTAAACGCCAATCAACAAATAATACGAGGCTACTTGATTACAAAAACACCGGTGAGCAATAATTATTGGATATATAGTAATTTTAAACAACTTATTAGTAAAACTAAATTATTTTATACAATTAATGTGTGTGTATGATTCTACCATTAGTTCGTTCGTGAGGTATTACGCACACTTTCCACTTTTATCCATCCATCAATTAAATGTTGTTTAAACGCCAATCAACAAATAATACGAGGCTACTTGATTACAAAAACACCGGTGAGCAATGATTATTGGATATATAGTAATTTTAAACAACTTATTAGTAAAACTAAATTATTTTATACAATTAATGTGTGTGTATGATTCTACCATTAGTTCGTTCGTGAGGTATTACGCACACGTTCCACTTAGTGACGTCTTTGATCTGGCCGGCGTAAAAAAAGATAATTACCTAATCAACATTCTTAATCCCACTGACACTCACTGCTAACACCAACGTGTAAATTAATTTATGGCCTATGCCTGTATAACATCGTTGTTGTTGTTAGTTAGTTGTAATTTACGTCCACTTCCACCGAGGTGATATCGCAGACATCGTATAACTTTTATAGTCGGATTGAGTAATTAATGACAGATATTAACGACACTACACTTTATGTGGAAAAGCGAAGTGCTCGCAGTAAAAACCACATAGCTGGACCCGTATATTATTTACATATTAAAAGTGTTCGTCCAATAAGTTCCATATTGTAAAAAATTAATTAAGAGTTCAAGACTTCAAAGTTTAAAAGTTGTAGGCACTCTAAATTGGATCTTAAATCAAAATGAATTACAAAACAAATTATTCCGTAGTCAATTGTTTTATTTAATTAGGGGGATTAATGAATCCTTCAGGCGTTAAAGAATACACCACCGGCTGTATATAGGTAATTAAGGAATAAACATTCCGAATATGCATTCGGTCACTGTGACGTCACTGGCGTCTGAGGGGATTAAGAGTGTTTTCGATAATTGACAAAGTCGTTTTCACGGAAGGTCAATTTTTACGACTTTGAGTGAAGATAGCTGAATTAATTTCAACCAGATTGGCGTGAACTTGATATAGTAATTACTGGCTACACCCATTAAAAAGTTTTTCCACCCATCTTATGTGCACTTGAAATATACGTTCGTATATGCACAAATAGGAAATATTATTTCAAATGTTGTATGGCAGAGTCCTTTCAAATGTCAAAATGTTCAGGTTGTAAATTTCAAACTGTTCACAATTTACAGATACCGTATATATCTGTCTTTTAAAGCTTGTGAAAAAGCCCCAGTTCCGTTCCGTTAATGACATGGTTTGTGAATTATATTTTAACAGGTTAAATGGTCCAGATCCATTAGATTATATTAGTATGTATTCTAATAATGGTGATCCTGAAAGACACATTCCACCACACTGGCATTATATTAGTTTTGGTTTATCAGATTTACATGGTGATGGTAGAGTGCATGAGTAAGTAAACTTTTATAATTACCTGTGTATTGAGTAATTTCATACATTACATGTGTACCGATATTGATAAAACATTTAATGATAGGATTAGGAGCGTTTTAAAAGTTTTACTAAAATTTATCAATGAATATTTACCAAACATAATACATTGCTAAAAAATCATGAATCACAGGCCATAAATGATTCAGTCTGATTAAAACATTGATCCTAATTCATTTTGTTTTTTATAGTTCAAAATTTCGTTTTACTTGTCTTTAAACTAGGGTCTGGAAGAGTTGTTATATAACCAGCATTCTGGTTGAACTGAGGGATTAGCCAATGAAACGGTCTGTTATGGCGAGTTCTTGGCGTGCAATGCACAGAACTGTGGATAAACCACTAGAAACATCAACGCTTATGTCATAGGGTCAAAAGCCACTCGTAGACCCCTGGCGCGACCTTCCAGTACTACCGGTCAGATCTTCATGTAGTGTAGGCCATTGAAAGTATAGAAAAATGAAACGAAATATAGATCTGTATTTTAATCAGATTGTAAATGATTAATTTTGCCCTAAAATTTGAATGTCTGAACACATTTGGGGAGCTGCATTACACTGAATAGGGTAGCAATATTATACATGTATGTAATATTCTTTTATTGTTTAATTTTGAAGTACAGAATATTATAACCTGCACCAGCAGGTTATTTATACTAATATATTTTAAATCAAGACAGAAAAAAAGAAATCTATTTATTTACATTTTACTGGCCGTATGTTATTAAACTTAATTACTTGTAACATTAAAGATTATATTATATTTTTTGTTACAGAAGCTCAGCAAATGAAGGACCCAGTGGTTATGGCTTTGAATTAACATTTAGATTAAAAAGAGAACCAGGTGAAGCTAATCCACCAACCTGGCCAGCAGCTTTAATGCAATCATTAGCTAGATATGTTTTTCAGTCAGGTAAATTTCTGATTTTTTACACACACATATAACGGGAATGTATATGTAGTATGTATATCAGATTTTGATGAAACTAGGCATGTGGCTTTATATATCCAAGAGTTTCAATTATTTGAAAACGTTTTAGCATTTATTTGGCTAATAAGGTATACACCCCAAATATAATAATTGTAAATTCCTTGGAGTCTGAATGTTCTATCAGTTTAAATGAAACATTATATATGAATGAGAAATGATTACAACTTTGAATGCAATTCTTTAGTTATTGAAGAGTGATTTCCCAGATTTAGTCCAAAATAGCTTGGGAATGCATTGAAGGGAGAATTTACTATATTTTAATTGAATATAAAAGCAGTTACCATTAGTACATAATATTTAATATATTTAGCTATTTTCAAGTATGAGAAATGTTTTATTTTTCAGATAATGTATTATGTAGTGGTGATCATGTGTCATGGCATACTCCTTTAGATGGTAGTGAATCTCGTATACAACATATGTTAATGACAGAAGATGCCCAATTACAACCCATTACAACACCATTTGGTTCGGTTAACTTTGTACAGATTGTAGGAGTATGTAGTGAAGAATTACGGGCATCACAACACTGGAATGGTCCTGGTGTTATAGAATTACTTAGATCCAAATCAGTGTAAGTAAAAGATTGATCATCTTTGTGTTACTCTTCTAGTATCTGAAATTTTATTCAATGTACTCTGAAATAATTGAGACTACAATGTATTTACATATAGATTTTAGTGTCTGTCTTTTTGAGGGGCCTGCAGGTAGAAATCCTGATTTCCAGGCAAAATTCTGAGGTCCACATAACCATAGAAATAAAAAAAAATACCATATGTTAGTCTTATAATGATGTGATTAAAGTGTCAAAGAAAATTAAAATTCTATTCGAATCTTTTAATTAATATAAATAAAGTATGTACAATCTACCATGTTTGTGTTCAAACAGTGCTGGTGGAGCTTGGTTAATAACAGACATGAGAAGAGGAGAAACTATATTTGAGATTGATCCACAATTACAGGTAGGAATTATTACTTCTGCTACCCTAGCATTCATTGCCATTCAATAGTTCCGGAGTTAATTTGACATTCAATTAATTTAGTCCCAGGTTTTCATTTCAGTTCTTGAATTTTGTTTTGATATAATTTATTGCTACCGGTACCCTAAAACAAGAAATTAATGCAAATTTATATACAAAGAAACCTTTTCAATTTTAACAATTTCTGTTGCTTATGTCTAAAGTTATGTCCCTGGTTTAATCTAGTGAACTCTCTGCTGACAAAAATGATTGTCTGATTAGCTTGGAATTTGTATGCATTGTTTAAATTACTGAAACGAAGAATCCTATTTCAACAATTTCCCTAAATTACCTTCAGAGCTACATGTATGACCCTTGCTTGCTATGTAAATCATCTTATGTTATGTTCTATTCATAGTTCGATAATCTTTATAAATTGCTTGGATTACTGCACAGCTGTGGACGTATGTTTAGTTTCCAGGAAACCTATGGTATGTCTTGGAGTAATGTTATATGAAATTGATTGTTTCAGGAAAGAGTAGATCAAGGTATTGAACAAGAAGGTTCTAATTTAAGTGGTGTAAGTAGTCGTTGTTCATGGGAAGAACCTGGAAGTAATGATGCACAATACGATGATGACAAGGAAAATAAAATACATGACAATAGAAGACGTGGAAGTAATGATTCAGCTGGTCGACCTCATATTTCAGATCATGGTTAGTTCAACTCCTTTATTTCTTTTCTGTTGAATCACTTATTAAAATGTGGTGATTTTGTAGATTGTTATCCACTATATTTTGTGAACATTGTAGAGACTACATTTATCATTTGATCTTTTTAAAAATTGTATGTGTTCTTGACATAAGTAAGATGAAGAAATCGATTGATCTTCAGAATTTTCTGTTAATTACAATCAGTTCTTGCACTTAAGAATTATGTGATGGCTGTAGCATTAAACGATTTCGTTTAATTTGCCTAAGATTAATAGGAATTGTTTAAGTTAGTGATCTAAAGTTGGCATTTAACAGAGATAATCTTTAATGTCATATATAATTTTATGATTGAATGTGAATTTGCTGCAAACGGTAATTCTTTTGTCTACAATTGTCAACTTTATTATTGTTCACTTCTTGACTAAAATTTATTTCAGATTCTGAACAAATTAAAGCTACTTTGAAAAAGGGTTTAAGTACTAGTCGAACTAATCTTCCATTTAAAATAGAAGGAAAAGAAGCTGACTCTCATACGTAAGATCTATTTCCTTTGTTTTGCTAGTACTCTAGCACATTGTTTAAAACATCAACTGTTATTATTTGTCCACCGAGGACTATTTTCAATGATACCTCCATTGTAAATAACACATTTTCAATGTTATAAAATTTCATAACCAGATTTTAATTAAAATCACAATGTATTATTTTATTTATAGGAATCGTAATCAATCAAGAAAAGAATCATTTGATAGTACAGTCAGTTCAGAAGGTCCTACAGAATTAACCAGAACAAGATCATTAGATGCTATTCATCTTAAATTTAATTTAGAAGCGGGTTTATTATTACCATTAGCACTTAGGTAAGGTTTTTATATCTCTATACTGTTATGCAAGAAATTATTAAATTGACATTTATATTTTTGTATTAATTTCATGCCACATTTTTAGTAGGTATGCAACGGATACAGTATTTGTGGAATAATTACAGTTATCTGACTCAGATTAGTTATGTTTAAATTGATTAAAAATATTTTCACTATTATTACAGGGGTCGATTACGGCATGGTAGACATTTTACATTTAAAAGTGTGTTAAATGATGTAGCTATAACATTTGTATCATCTAGTGTCGTGGGTTCATTTGCTGATGAAGAACATCCATTTGCTGCTCATGGCATGTGGTTACAGGTAATTAATTCCCCATTTTGTGAAAATGTATGGAATACAGAGAAGCTAAATACACATGTGTATGTAGCAAAAATGGGAAGATAAAGGTAGCAATCTGCATATATGGATCATCACCTTTGTTTTGTTTTAAACACTATCTGGATGTTAATATCTTTTAATCCGTTTAGAGTCTGCAAGTTTTATTAATCTTTAGTGTGTATTTTTAAGACCTTAATATCACTGTATATAATTAAAGATTTAATGTAATTTCTGTGTTATTCTTTTAATATAATACTTGAATTTGAAAAGCAGTTCTTTGTACCTGATTGCCTTTATTTCTGAAGATCAATTAAAGCTCTTATATATGACGGTACTACAGTTGTAGCGGATTTGCTTTAGAAGAATCTTTTGACACATGGACTATATAAATGGGCTGAGATAGAACCTGTTCTCGTCAATCGATAAGATTCCCTCATAATAATTAACTTTTACTGTTCTATCAGACATCCATCATTAAATTATCAACAAAACACACAATTTGATCCTCTGTTGACTATGTACTTGTCAACTAATCTGCAGTCTGTTCAATTTTATTGTCATGTTGCGCAGCCATGTTTGGAAATAGGGGTTTGAATAATATACTAATTTTATGGCGTGCACATGAATTTTTTTGGGGGAAAGGTGTCTCGTGGGAAAGAAATGTTTAATCCCAGTGTATTAAACTGTACAAATTGGCAGAGAATAGAGGATGATTGCAAGTAGTGCCCATCTTACGGAGAAAAAAGTGCTGATAAAATATGTATGTTAAATATATGTAATGTGTGTGATTTTGTTTATTAGGTGTTATTAACAGATGATTTTATAGATGAAATGATACATGAACTGGAAGAATTATCAAATCCTGATGATGTAAGTCTTATAATAAATTATTCCTGAAATATTTTCTTAATGATACATTATGGAAGATTAGATAAAGAGCTGGCAATTCCCACTATAATAGTTAAAAACTAGATAATGTAAAGGGAATTTGTTGAAAATTGATCCACTTTGAACCGAGAATTTAGCGATTAAGTTTTGGTCCTAGCCTCGATCATCATTACTAATGTCGATACAATAAAATACATAGTCTTGATTATCTATTTCTTGATTTAATCATGAATGAGCGTAGAGCAGCAGATCGGATCCTAATCCAGTAAATAAATCGCAGGCTAGCGATGACATCGAGAGTTGATTGTGGTCTGGATAAGTTAATTAATGTCTAATTAATAATTTAGATAACATTTCAGGCTTAAAGAAAGAATTACAATAGGCAGATTTAGGCTCTTGCATAATGTATGTTTAATGTAAATATAATAGTGGTCTAATTTCAAAAGATTTTTTACAGTAATGCCATGTGGGCCCAATTCAGTTATTTTATTTAAAGATGCATTACATGTATGTGAGAATTAGATATAGAGCTAGCAGTTTAAATATAGTTCAAAAATAGATAATGAAAAATGAATATATTGAAAATTTCCGTCAAATTACTTTAGTCTGTGTGTTTATGATGAGGGTTTGAAGTTTTGACAAAATGTAGTGTAGATTGTTTATTATCACAGCAATGGAACTTAACAATCAAGACTTAGTCTTGATTATCTATTTTATAGTTACATGTAAATGGCAGCAATGTTCTAATCTTCTTAAAATTGGATTGATGTTAATAAATGTTTAAATAATCATTTATATAACTTTTGAAGGCAGAAAAAGACCGGCAATGGGCAAATTTACCTCTTTTATAATGTATCTTTAATATGAAATGTATAAAATGTTCAATTTATTTCTAATATTTTGCAGGCATTGTATCCCAAAACATACAGCTGGCCGGAAAGGAGATTATGTGTAACTGTTTTACCTGATGAAATGTAAAAACACTAGACATGGTGTAGTATGATGGCAGACATTATTGTCATATAATGATTGGTGCATGAATCAAAACATTAAACTGTGTTTATCAGAGTCCATGAAACTAAAGATGGTTGTTTATTTATTTTATTGTATATTTGTTGGATCATGTCTGTGCTAAATACATTAGTGATTGTGCAATGGATATCATCATTATACTCTAATGTGAATCATCTTATTATGAATTATAGAATCCTGACTTATCTTTGTCATGAAGCCAAAAAGTTAGACATTTTCTTGAGTGTATTGGAGATGTAGTGCTGTGTGAACATTTCTCTTAAAATCTCATGGACACTACAATATATGTGGGTTATGAAAGACTTGTGTTCTCTTCCAGTATGTGTACTGTTGTACCAGGCTTCTAATTTTACCCTCATCAGGATGAAAGAACTCTGTAGCTTTTTATCATTATTCAGTTCAAAGTTCATTGTTGAATTTTTTTACCTAATTTAAATATTTGTATTTTGGTATTTTACATGTACATAGTAAACATTTTATTACAGTTCACAAAAATCAAAATATAAAATTACTGAACTCTGAATAAATACAAGTTATAATAATATACTATTCAAAAAAAGTAGGGGATATTTGATTTTTAAGTGTTATTAAAGTCACCTAATGAAACTGATGAAGAAACAAATGACAAAATGAAATGAAGTTCACATTCATCGATTTATTCCAAATGATCGTTAGACTAAGTAAGGCACAGACTGACCATTATAAGGGTAAAATGATACCCGGGGTCAAACAGCAAAGTTACCACAGCATCACAACCAAGTCAGTAACGGGTAAATCCTCCTCTGTTTGCCAAACAAGCATTGATCCGACGTGGCATACTCCTAATGAGACGTCTAAGGTCATTTTGGTCCAGATTGTCCCATTCCTGTTGCAACGCAGCAGCAAGTTCTTGGACATTGGCAGGACGTTGTTGACGTTGACGTAACCTCTGTCCAAGCATGTCCCAGACATGCTCGATGGGGGAGAGGTCGGGACTCAGTGCTGGCCAAGGTAATGTGGTGATGTTCTGTTGTTGGAGGTAACCTGTAACGATCCTGGCCCTGTGACATCTTGCGTTGTCATCCTGGAAGATGAAACGGCGGCCATGACGTCGTGCGAACGGCACAACATGGACTGCCAAGATGTTGTCCCGGTAGTACTGGCCTGTAACACGCCCTGCAACAACATGTAAAGCCGTTCTTCCAGCAACAGTGATGCCTCCCCACACCATAACAGAACCACCCCCAAATCGATCATGTCTGATGACGTTAACGTCTTGGAAGCGCTCGTTTCGACGACGCCACACCCTCCTACGTCTGTCCAAAAAATCAACAGTGAACCTTGACTCATCTGAAAACATCACATTGCTCCAGCGTCGATTATCCCAGTGTTGACGATCCCTACACCAATGGCCCTTGCCTGAATGTGAGGATCTCTCAAACAAGGGATCACGCGAGGACGTCCGGCGCGAAGGTGACCCCTATGCAGTCGATTTCGAATCGTCTGGCCACTCACTCTCACACCAGTGTCTTTTTGAAGACGAGCGCTGATCTGATTTGCTGTGATGACACGATTTCTCAAGGCCAAGGTACGGATAAATCGATCCTGGGCTTGAGTTGACGCCCTTGGTCGACCTGAGCGTGGTCTGTCCTGTACAGATTGTGTATCACGGTATCTGGACCATAGCCGGACAGACTGAGAAACATTCATCATCCGCGCCACAACCGCCTGTGTTGTGCCGATCTGTAGCATGCCAAGGGCACGTAACCTTTCATTTTGGGTAAGCCGATGCATATCAAAATTTGTTTTCTGGTCACTAAAACAATTAAACTGATGTTTCCACCCTGGAATTCAATGCCACAATGACTGTAACATTCAAAGTCAGAGTCGTGCAAATCTTGGGTTGGACCCCCATGATGATCCCAAGCATCACCTGCATTCCATGCGGTAGCTATTGATGCGTTTGGGCGTCACATGTAACTGGAAATGTTTCTTCTGTTAGGTTCTATAGTGACTTTTTTCGTAGTCATTTGCATATTTTAGTATTATGCCCCCAAAATCAAATATCCCCTACTTTTTTTGAATAGTATACAACATATACATTTAAAATAAGGCAGGGTGCACTAAAATAAATAATTAAATGAAATAATTATTTTAATTTAAAGAAGTATGATTTTGTTGTTTTAAAGATGTGAGTAAAGGTGGTTTTATATAAACTATGTACATTTATGGGGAGTAGCCTTTCTTTTAAAGATTTGATATTTTATTTAATTTTTAATAATTTTTAAAATTTATGCAATAGGTAGCTGACCTACATGTATTGCTGTATTTTTTAGCACAATATTAATCAAATTTATTGCAGTTTCTTTCTGGTGAAAAGAAGCATCTCTGATTAAGGATTTGGATGACAAAAGAACTGATCTCTCTGATGTTAAGTCATGTGGAAATATATTTCTGTCATCTATTTTGCTATTATTTTACATTGATGATTTTGAGAAATCAATGAAATGAATGCAATACTTAATCAAATATTTTAGGTTATTTTATGTCTGTTAAAAAATACATGAATAGTTTGATATAAGATCTGCATTTGATGGTTGTTATTGAATCTGATTTTTGTTTTCATTTTTATGTTGATCTTATTTGAAAATGGCAGTTGTGAATGTATTGGATTTTATAGACATAATAATTTGTTTTCAATTTCAAGTACCAGGGCTCATGCTGTTGGTCACCAATATGAAAGTGTTGATAATGTTGTGGGGTATTGGCGATTCTTTTTTTGGGAACTGACGAAAAAAAATATCTGAAAATTGTTATATCCTACGAGTGTCATTCACAATCACATGGCGGCATACTATAAATTAATTAGCTCTCTAAGTATCCGGATCACATCAATAAGTAATACTAACCAATTATCTCAGATTAATGATTAGTTGATTGATAATTGGCATTGATATATATAAAGCCTATAAAGTCATAATTTACTCCAAATGATTAATCCAAGCGGTGATTATTTGATGTTCCGTTTCATCTAAAAAAAAAAAAAGAAAAAAAAAGAAGGAAATATTCAAAATGGCTGTCAATTCTTTTCGAGGAGAATTAATTATTTTGATAGTTAAACTGTGGCTTCATACGGCATGTAAAATATACAAACATACCTAGTCGGATATTATTATTTCAAACTGTATTATCACCACTGATGGGAAACGCAAGAATGAGTCAAATAGCGCCGATTCTCGAGTGAGAAGATGATCCACCATTTGCTTCATATTATGCTATTACCAACGTCAAAATGGTCTAAAGTGATAGATGAGTATAATTGTAAGCATATCTTACAAATAATATCAAAATTTATATCCTATCTGGGATTCCGATTCCTTCAAGGTAGCTGAAAATAACAATAGGCCTATTGTGCACGCAAAACATAAATTTATAGAAAATTGGCAATCCTTGGATGAGATTTGAAAATGTATTGTGCAATATGGTGTGCAAATAGATGTTGTATATACCAGCAATTGTTTTATAGTAGGCCTACCTGAGAAATAAAATTGTTACGTCTTGTTTATGGCAGATAAAATATTCCAGTTGGCAGAAATTTTTTTTTGAATATTATTTGTTCTTCGCCTTTTAAAGAAAGCAGGGGACTATTAAAATGGGTCTGTTCGTCACATACAATAACTCGCCTTCTAATTGAGCTACAATGTTCAAACGTGGTATAGGTGTTCATTAGGAGAATGCCTTGATGGAGTTCGATGCTGAGCATTTTCTGCTTAGGGCAAGCAGAGATAAGCCATTTGATTGGCTGATGCTTTGGGATACGATGACTTTAGTTCTAATTAAGTGAGAGTGATGAAACATGTATAATTTCATTACATCAATACTTTGACTAAGTTTGGTAATGAGCATTTTCTGCTTAGGCTAAGTAGCTAAAAGCAATTTGATTGGTCAAGACTTTGGAACATAACAACTCTGCTTTTAATTGAGGTAGAATGTTTAAACTTGATGTAGACTGAGTTCAATGATTACCGTAACATTTCCCACTAAAGCTTAGCACAGCTAAGCAGTTTCACTGGTTGATGCTTTGGGACAAAATAACTTTGATTCTAACTGATGGAGAGTGATGAAACTTAAGTGTATAGTTTCACTGCCAGGTATTTCAAAACCTTGACTAAGTTTGGTTGTGAACATTTTATGCTTAGACTAAGTATAGATAATCAGTTCGATTGCTCAGTACTTTTGAAAAAGTTAAATGTGCAATTAATATGTGTCATCTATTTATTTTGGGATTTCAGTGGTGGCCATCAGCCTCACTGTTCGCTTGTTTATATAAAAATTATCATCCAGTTTGGCGGAAAAAAATTGAAAGCCAGTGTGAGCCCTGTCAAGTACAAAACAATGTATTTGAATAGACCAAGTTTTGATCTTTATAAATCAGAATAAAACTGATATATTATGCTGGTCACACAATAATATTATATATTGAGAATTAGTCCCTGTCTATATATATATATAAATATATATATTATTTTGAATACATGTATAAATATATATATTATTTTGAATACATGTATAAGATATAGGTATGCATGATGTATTTGGTATGACTCAGAGTAAAGGTATTTATTTACCTTGTTCATTGATACATATATCTATCATCTTGATAAATATATACATATCAAACCAATGTAGTATTCTTTTCTTTTCTCTTTGTGGAATTGATATACCACATGAAAAACTGCTTCTGTGACTGCGACATCTCGAGAGCTCAGTGTCAAAATACCCACTTATTAATTTGTATGATTAGTATTGATTACACAAAATACTATTTTGTCTGGTCTGCACCATAATAGACTGCAAAATTCAGTTGAATTCCACTGACCCCTAAACCAGCAATATGTCTACCAAATATAGATGAAATTCATCACTTGCTATTTTGATCAAATATTAGTTACTATCCTAGCAACATACCTATACAACGTACCCAAAGTCTTATCAAGCAATTTAGGAGAGGAAATCAAAATCATCCACACCTATGGAAATATCATCAGAATTTCTATATCTATTTTGGATAAAAAGTGCAGGGGCATTTGGCTTTGGAAACAATGAACATTTCTAAAATAAGCACCCATATTCATCAAGCAAAGTCCTTCAGAAATAAAATGAAATGAAATGGGGTTTAACGTCCTACTGTTCTGCTCCTATGCTGGGCTAATGTCCACCTTCCCTCTGACTTTTTGGGTCATAAACAGTGCTGGATTTATCTATTGGCTTAGAGGACTGAAACCTAGAGCCCAAGATCCAGGGGGCCTGCAACCAAAGGTGTATAATATTTTGACACTGTCATCATAACCCTTTCTTACATGCACTGCAGTCTTAAACATAGGATTTGCCCAATTGTGTTTAAACATACCTTCATTCCAGCACTGGTCGTAAACTTATTATTTACATAAATCAAATAGTTGGTCTTTCTGTTTATATTACAAATTTACAAAACTAAATATGAAACTTTATAGACTTGGAGGACTGAAACCTAGAGCCCGAGATCCAGGGTGCCTGCAACCAAAGGTGTATAATATACTATTCAAAAAAAGTAGGGGATATTTGATTTTGGGGCCATAATACTAAAATATGCAAATGACTACGAAAAAAGTCACTATAGAACCTAACAGAAGAAACATTTCCAGTTACATGTGACGCCCAAACGCACCAATAGCTACCGCATGGAATGCAGGTGATGCTTGGGATCATCATGGGGGTCCAACCCAAGATTTGCACGACTCTGACTTTGAATGTTACAGTCATTGTGGCATTGAATTCCAGGGTGGAAACATCAGTTTAATTGTTTTAGTGACCAGAAAACAAATTTTGATATGCGTCGGCTTACCCAAAATGAAAGGTTACGTGCCCTTGGCATGCTACAGATCGGCACAACACAGGCGGTTGTGGCGCGGACGATGAATGTTTCTCAGTCTGTCATAAGCAGGCTATGGTCCAGATACCGTGATACACAATCTGTACAGGACAGACCACGCTCAGGTCGACCAAGGGCGACAACTCAAGCCCAGGATCGATTTATCCGTACCTTGGCCTTGAGAAATCGTGTCATCACAGCAAATCAGATCAGCGCTCGTCTTCAAACAGACACTGGTGTGAGAGTGAGTGGCCAGACGATTCGGAATCGACTGCATAGGGGTCACCTTCGCGCCCGACGTCCTCGCGTGATCCCTTGTTTGAGAGATCATCACATTCAGGCAAGACGTCGTTGGTGTAGGGATCGTCAACACTGGGATAATCGACGCTGGAGCAATGTGATGTTTTCAGATGAGTCAAGGTTCACTGTTGATTTTTTGGACAGACGTAGGAGGGTGTGGCGTCGTCGAAACGAGCGCTTCCAAGACGTTAACGACATTAGACATGATCGATTTGGGGGTGGTTCTGTTATGGTGTGGGGAGGAATCACTGTTGCTGGAAGAACGGCTTTACATGTTGTTGCAGGGCGTGTTACAGGCCAGTACTACCGGGACAACATCTTGGCAGTCCATGTTGTGCCGTTCGCACGACGTCATGGCCGCCGTTTCATCTTCCAGGATGACAACGCAAGATGTCACAGGGCCAGGATCGTTACAGGTTACCTCCAACAACAGAACATCACCACATTACCTTGGCCAGCACTGAGTCCCGACCTCTCCCCCATCGAGCATGTCTGGGACATGCTTGGACAGAGGTTACGTCAACGTCAACAACGTCCTGCCAATGTCCAAGAACTTGCTGCTGCGTTGCAACAGGAATGGGACAATCTGGACCAAAATGACCTTAGACGTCTCATTAGGAGTATGCCACGTCGGATCAATGCTTGTTTGGCAAACAGAGGAGGATTTACCCGTTACTGACTTGGTTGTGATGCTGTGGTAACTTTGCTGTTTGACCCCGGGTATCATTTTACCCTTATAATGGTCAGTCTGTGCCTTACTTAGTCTAACGATCATTTGGAATAAATCGATGAATGTGAACTTCATTTCATTTTGTCATTTGTTTCTTCGTCAGTTTCATTAGGTGACTTTAATAACACTTAAAAATCAAATATCCCCTACTTTTTTTGAATAGTATATTTTGACACTGTTATCATAACCCTTTCTTACATGCACTGCAGTCTTAAACATAGGATTTGCCCAATTGTGTTTAAACAAACCTTCATTCAGTACTTGTCACAAACCTAATATTTTCACAAATCAAATAGTTGGTCTTTCTGTTCATATTACAAATTTACAAAACCAATTATGAAACTTTATTTGTCACAGATATTTATGTCACATGTTGAGAATATATTGTTACCTTCTGAAAAATTTACACGGACCCCAATTTCACAAAAGTTGAAAGATTCTTGAAATCTGTTACTTGCATTAAAATATGGATTTTAACAGAAAAAAGTTTTAGTATATGGATTTTTAATTTCGACCATATTTATCAATCCAATCCTGAACACTAGAGTAGCCAGCCACATTACGCTGGCAATTTAAAAAATTAATTTTCTTAACGTCTCCAGTGAACAAATTGTTTTCACAATTCTATGTATAATTAACACAATCTTAACAGTAAAAATCATAATCTGCCAACTCTTTATCTAATCCCCCATAATGTATCTTTATTGTCCTATCAATAATTTAGATAACATTTCAGGGCTAAAGAAAGACCTGCAATAGGCAGATTTAGCTCTTGCATAATGCATGTTTAAAGGAGCTAAATCGCTAATATTTGGGACCTAGAAATTGACACAAATGGATTGAAGTGCATATAAAAATGTAATATGAATATATATAAACTGATTTACATTCAATCGTTTCTGTTTTTACTGTAATTTCTAATCAGTTATGTTTGGAAAAATATGCCAGAAGTCTCAATCGAATGGCAAATCTCTACCGTCTGGTTATTTCAGTCTGCACTGATAGTATTTATTGTGCATACTCTCCAGATAAGAATGTGATGTCATCGTTTGACATGACTTGAAGAATATGTCTAGCCTCATTCTTCGAGTCCCTTGTTACAAATCGCGCTAATACACATTATGGTGCACGATTCGTGTACCAATGGCAAAATCTTTATTTTGTCCTAAATACTGGATATCAGAAGCCCATCCTATCCCGGTAAGATCACAACATCAATGTTGGTTTAAATAGACAAATAATTTCAGTTTTCAATGTCAAAGACTTTGGATGACACTGAGTTAGAGACTTAACTACTTTAAAGTCACCATTATGAACATGATTTGGATAACTAGTATGTACATCAAACAATCCTAAAAATGGGATTAGTATGCCAGATTGTATTCATTGCACATTAAGTAAATGGAAGGTCACTAAACACAAAAGTCACCTTTTTTTAATCATTCACTTTTTACAATCATTTTACAACTATATGAACCTATTTATCAACTTAAACATTTTCATTATCTACATCATAGAAACTTTCTTCTCTTATCACTGTAAAAATTAGGACTAGAAATATATTTATTTCTATATTGTGATATAACAACTTTTTGATTTTTCGCAGTTTTATCTTCTAGGTCTTTTAGCTGGGGGACTTTTTTCTCTGTGACTTCTTGTGAAGTGTACAGGTGGTGGTGAAGGTGCTCTAGTTCTCCTTGTTTCTCTCACAGGAGGGGGTGAGGGGGGTGTTGATCGCTGACTCAGTCGTCTAGATTGCTGCATCATAGATCCTGACGATGACAGAGGGGTATTTATTGGTATAGAAGAATCATCTGGACTTCTAGGTCTTCTTCCTCTACTAGGTTGATCTATTGGTGGTGATGATACTGAAGATCTTCCTCTAGTTTCTGGTGCCTCGTATTCAGGACTTGGTGTACATTGACCTTCAGATGGTGAAGATGATATTGGTGATGTTTGTAAATTGGCAGAAATAGTCGGTGGGGTCAAAGGTCGACCCAGTGGTCTACAAGGATCTGATTTGTAACCGGACATTGATGTTGATGTAGGAGAGTTGGTCCTGTAGGTGGTTCGTGGAGATGACGGTCGCTTGTAGGGAGAAGCTGAATGGTAACCAGTAGGAGATGATGATCTAAAACTAGTTCTTGTGTCTGTTGGTGATGGGGGACGAAATCCTTGGCGTCCTCCAGACGGAGATGGGGGACGATAGCTAGATCGTGCTATAGGTGAACCTGGGGACGGGGGTCTGAAACTTGCTCTTGGTGTTGGTGATAACGGACGAAAAGATCTTGATTCAGTTGGGGAAGCTGGTACAAAAGGGCCGGGTGATATTGGTCTGTAAGTAGGAGAGGATGGTTTGTATGGGTCTGAATCACCAGGACTATAATACCGTTTACTAGGAGATATATACGCTTCTTTAGTGGGGGATCTACTCAAATCATCAGATCTGCTTAAACCTCTTTGATCAGAATATGATCCTCTTTGAGAACCTCTATAATTCTTCTGCTGAAACATACCTCCCCTAGTTTTCCTGAAATATAAATTTATTCATGTATACAATTAATAATAATAATAATAATAATAAAAAATATATATGTATTTATACTTGTTAAAGTTAAATAGGTCATTTCTTCACATTTTGGTGTCGCACTTGCATCTTTAACCCCACTAGTACTCTATACAAAATGTGGGCATCCCGATTCATACAAGGTAGGATTCACTTAAAGAAACATAACCAGACAGTTTAAAATTTAGATAATACTTACAATGGTTTTTGTTGCCATCCAGGGTTCCACTGTGTTCTATGTCTGGCATGTTGTTCAGCTAAACCAAAATTGACTTCTGTTACAGGTTTCCGTACAATCTCTCTTACTCTTCTCTCAGCTTCACCAAAATAAACCTGATCTATTGGTGTCTTCCTTCTCTTAACAAATAGTTCTCCATCCTCCTCTTCTTCAGATATTGTTTCTGTACTTTTCGATTTGGATCTTGATCTCATTCTTGACCTTGATCTTGACTTGGAAGAACGTTTTGAATATCTAGAGCTGGAGTATGATCTTGATCTTGATATGGATCTTGACCTTGAATATGACCGTGATCTGGAGTAAGATCTTGATCTGGAGTAAGACCGTGACCTGGAATATGATCTGGATCGTCTAGAATGAGATTTAGATCTGGAACGAGAGCAAAGAGACTTTGATCTAGAACGAGAACGAGGGGATCTTGAACCAAGGGATCTGGAACGACGTGATCTGGAATGTGATCGTGATTTAGATGATGTTCTAGATGTTCTAGCAGATCTAGACCTAGATGATGCCCTGGATGTTGATTTAGAAGATTTTTGATCATCTTTCACAGATAATATTTCAATGGAGACTGAGTCATCATCTTGTTTTGAATCTTCTACACATATTTCAGTTTGTTCTTCAGGAACTTCTTCGGTTGTCACAGATACTTCAGTTACTTGTTCTTCTGTTATTACATCTGTTTCCATCACTTCTGTTTCTCCCATACTAATAACTGAAGATTCCACCATTTCTGCTGATAGTGTTTTCAATTGTCCACTTTCCACATCAACAACTTCTAAAGCCCCTTGTAAAACTTCAAGGGTACAGGAAACAGATACACTACCATCTTCTAACTCAGTCACTGAAATGATTCCACAAAAGAATCAGTTGATATCCATAGGAGATTGTCTCAATGGAGGTAAGCATAATTTTCTTATATTCAGTTTAGTGCAGGGTCCTAAAATTTTTTGGTGTGTGTGAGAGAGAGAGAGAGAAATGGGATTTAACATCCACTCGACACAACTAGGTTATTATTTCAATAATTCACTTGCACGTAGGGGTTTTTATAAGCAGTGGGAGGAAACCGGAGGACCTGGAGAAAACCCACAAGGTTGGACAGACGATCCTACTCCTTGTCAAGTACAACTGGGGAATCGAAACCAGGCCGTTTGACTCAATGACTGACCTTATGACACAGCGCGAACATGCTAACCAATTGGCCATCCAACTCCCCAAACGTTTTTGGTATCTGGGGTCAAATTAATGAGTGTACTAGCAGTAAAGACTAGAAAATGGGGAGGCTACACCTTTACGAGAGTGACAATGGGAGGAACATTTAACATTCAGGAGTGGTTAAAAGAAAATCTTCACAATTGAAGAACAAGTATATTAGTCATACTTACCAGACTCTGAACTACTCTCTCGTTTTTCTATGAATTTTTCTGGATCTGGTATAGTTTCTGTTGATGCCAGTCTTTTAGATGATCTTGTTTCAACACTTGGTGAGATGGATACATCTGATCTGTAATTTGATACAATGCCATCATATAACTACATACACAAGGGCTTAACTATTATTACTCTGATGCTGAAGTGATCTGATTACTGTCCCATAAGAGAAATACCCTTGTACATGTATATGATATATGAAGGTTTTGCGGGAATGCCATTTTAGCCATGTTGACAATCATCTTACAGTGAAACTCATCTATTACTGTAGCTTTCTTTAAAGATGCATTATGTAAGATTTAGATAAAGAGCTGACAGTTCTCGCTATAATAGTTCAAAAATAGATAATAAAAAGGGAATATCTTGAAAATTCTGTGCAGAGTTAGGGCTGTTTGAAGAATAGGGGTCTTGATTGTCATTGCTACCCCTGTTATGATAGTAATTATCCATTTTTTAGTATTAATTATAAAATTGATAATCCAGATTTTAAAATCATTAACCGCCAATAATGTTTAAATACGTTGAAAATCTAGAGCAACCAATGGCATCGAGAGTTGATTATGGTCTGCTCAACTTTCATTTAATCATGAAATGGATAATCGAGACTATGTTTTTTATCATACCGACTTTAGTAATGACGATCAAGGCTAGGCCGAAATTTCAATCGCTAAATTATTGGTTCAGAGTGGATCAATTTGACTGAAATATTCAGCAAATTGCCTTTACATTATCTTATTTTTAACTATCATAGTGAGATCTGTCAGCTCTTTATCTAATCCCCCATAATGTATCTTTAATGTCCTATCAATAATTTAGATAACATATCAGGCCTAAATAAAGACCTGCAATAGGCAGATTTAGCTCTTGCATAATGCAGCTTTAACTTTCTAAAGAGAGAGAGAGAGAAATTGGGTTTAATTATATTTCAATAATTCGCTTGCGCGTAGGGGTCTTTAGCAGTGGGAGGAAACCGGAGGACCCGGAGAAAACCCACGAGGTTGAACAGGCGGCCCTACTCCTTGCCACGTACAACCGGGGATTCGAAACCACGCCAGTCGACTCAATGGCAGACTTTATGATACAGCGCGCGCATGCTAACCATTCAGCCATCCAACCCCCCTAACTTTCTAAAACTTCACTATGAAACATGTAACAGTAGACTAAAACACAATGATATACAAGTGGCCATATAGTGTTTAATAGTTTGCAATCTATTTTGTTGTGGACTTATTATACAGTCTGTGTCAACAATCTGATAAAATTTGGTATTGTTGAATTGGTCAAACAGATGATCTCGATATGCTCAAAGGAACATAAATATATTTCAAAGATCTGTACAAATAAATATGAAATGTGTACCAACCCTCTAGAAACTGGTGGAGTACAGGGTCTACGATGACTAATTCTAGGTTTATATAAATCAGATGTATCATAACGTTGACTAGTTTTAGATCGACTGCCTTCTGGGGATTTCCCTCTAAAAAATAAAAACATTTGATGTTTAAATCATGATTCTCAGTTGTTTTGTTGTATACATTTATAGTGCACAAGTACTAGGTGCCAACACAATACACATTTACAATACATATTCCCTATAGAAGGAATATAATTCGGTAATGTCATTATGTTCAGAACTGACCATTACATTAACTCATTTCATGATGGCAGATATTTCTTCAGGCCTATATCATTTCATATAAACATGGAATTATGCTATTTTTTCTAATATTTGATAAAAACATAACTCTATTTATACCGTAACAAGTAATAAATGAAGACAACAAACCTCATTGATTCACGCCTTGATCTTGTAGCTGTAGGTTCAGTTGTTGCTAAATTTCTCTGAGATCTTCGAGTCGCTGCCTTTTCTGAATGACTGCTTTCACCAGAGATATTTCTCTTCCTCGCACCAGATTTATCTGAGCCAGCTTTAGAATTCTCAGAAATGTCACTTGATGGAGAATGTGGCTGAACTATAGTCTGTGACTCGTCAAACTTAGGAACTAAAGTAACCGACATAAGAGCTGATTGTGGTAGTTCAATAACAGGCAGGGGACTATCAGGTAAAGGGATATCTGCTACATTTTCAGGGGGACATAACTCATCTTGAGTTGGTGTTGGAGGACTCTGAACAGGCATTTCAATTTCACTGACTTCAAAGTTTTCCATGGTATAATTCATAGTATTATCTATTTCGATTGTCTCAGTTTCTATTATTTCAGTCTCTAATTCCTCCATATCTTGAGAATAATTTCGACTAGAGAAGGGTTGTTTTTGTTCTGTAAATATTGATGTAAATTCCTCTGATGTGTATCGTCTATTTCTTGTTCTATGTCTCCGAAGTCCCAGACGTTTCTGTTGCAATAACTGTTCTTTCCTCTCTTCTTTAGTTTTGCGCTTTTTAACTGGTTTTTCTTTTTTATCATCTTCAGTATCCATAGATGAAGAAATTTGATCTTCAGTTCTTGATTCTGTAATAGAACATATTTTAAAAAAATTTTCAAAAAGAAAATCACTGATCATACAATCCTTGTTTTAATTTTGCTTAAAAAATAAAAGATCCCACAAAATGGAGGATGGTTGGCATTCTTGTGGAAATATATTTTGATTAATTTAATTTCAAAATGAGAAAATATTTGCTTATAGTCAATAATAGTTCCTTCTAACAAATATAGCAAGATTCAATAATTTTGAAATTTATTTGGTGCATTTCAGCCAAAATGTCAACAAATTGTTCATAACTTTTACCCACCATTTTGTGAGCTTTCAGTCCTTTCATCTCGGGAGGTTTCTAATTCTGATTCTTGTTTTTGTTTTTTCTTTCTTTCTTCTCTCAATCTGGCTCTTTCCTCCTCCTTTTCCTTCTTTTTAGCATCAATATCAGCTCTTCTTTGTATTCTCTTATGATACCTTTCAGCTTTTTCTTTGGCCTACGAATTATAAAAATAAAATATAGACAGATAATAATTTAGAAATCAGAAAAGAAAAATAACTAAATACTAAATAAGAATAATGTATCATTTGCAACTGAAATAATTTTTTTTATCAATATTTGAAGAATTAAATGTAAGACTTGCAATTCTGGCTTTCCTCTCTTCTCGTGTCTCCTCATCATCACTATCACTAAGATTATATGTTAAAGATAGAAGTTTTCTAGGTTTAGGTGGTGTTGATAAACTGGCTTCTTCATTATTAATTTTAGATTGTTCACTAGTTTCTTTTCCTAGAGTAACCTCCTCTTTATCTGTAAATAAAAACAGCATTTAATAAACACTTTGTTGCATTACATTTATTAATATCACATGTTCTTTTGTTAAACCTAGCTTTGGAGCATAAAATTGTTGCAAAAGATATCAAATTTGAAGCATAATTTTAAGCTTTGACACAGTTTCTAGAATTTTACTATTTTGACTTGACTGATAGGGGTTCTGGTGCCTAAAAAACCCAACCCAACCCATATATCTCCTAATTTAATTGAACCGATAAAACTGCTCTACTTACTGCTGATTTCTTTCAAAGGCTTGACAGGAGATTTGAAGGGTGATTTCTGTATGGACAGTTCATCCTCCTCACTATCACTTAATGATGAATATTCAAATGATGATAAATCACTGGTATGAATCGAGCTCAGTTCTGAGTCTGAAATATCTTCTTCACCAGTGTCCTTACTCCAAGCAAATTTATATTGCTTCTTGTTAGATTTATTATTCTCATTAATATTTTCATTTGTTTTATTTGCAACATTTTTTTCTGCAGCAGTAACAGTCACTGTTTCAACCTCCACATCCGCCATTTCCACCTCAGTGATGGAAGATCCACGACTATTTTCATCCAAATCCATTGGAGATCCTGATGTTTTAGACATTCCATCTTGTGCTTTAGACTCTGGTGTTTTGCTCCGTGGTTCATCGGGACCAGGTGGTGGAGGTGTAGCTGAATCTTGAGGGGGTGCTGGGTCATTAGGAGGGGGTAGTGGCGCTTGCTCTGTTCCCGGGGCAATTGGTTGATCGGTTGGAAGTGGCGGAGCAGCCATGCTTCCTATAGGTGGAACCCCTGGGGGTGGAGCAGATGCATTAAATGGTTCCAATCCTGGAGGATAAAGTCCACCCCATCCTGGTATTTGTGGAAATGTAGGTTGAAGTGGATTAAAACCAAATTGCTGAGGAAAGGCTAAATTCACTGGAATATTTTGAGAACCAAATGGCATTTGTTGTTGCCAGTTTGTGGGCTGTGTATATGGTGAATTCTGATTATAACCAGCAGGTAACCTGTTATTTGCATTTCCTGAAAATACAAAATATTAGCATATAAATTCAAATAGATGTAAAGGTATATTACAGTGATACATATACAGGGTGACCCATGCAGTGAAAATTTTCCCTACAGAAAGCTGGACTTGACACAGCGAATGTGCACACTTTAGTGGCTTGTCTCGAAGTGATTTCGGGCTAATCACGCAGTATGATAATACTCATCGCACATGCAATTCTCTAGACATCTATCAACTATTATAGCCGTAAAAAATCTATTGTTGACGATTTTGAATAGCAGTAATATTTAGCTTTTTGGTTATTACAGCAGCTTTAGAAATTACGTTCATTTCATTATTTCAGTTGCTTCATCATTAACTGTGCCGTTAGGAGAAGCATCTTTTCGTTTAGTACAAATAATATCTCTGAAACATTTGCGTTAGACAAGAACATGATACTAGCAGTAGTTTCATTTTACTTTGACAAGATTCTTAAAACAATTGTTGAATTGCCTAACGTGCGTGTTTCTAAATTCAATTTCTTGTTCCAGCTTTCTGTTTTCTTTCGTAAAAAAGTAGTCTTGATTACCGCGGCCTGTCAGTCAGATGTAGAATGGTCGGTAGACTGGTTAAGCGAGACTAATTTCAAAACAAGGGCACGTAACCTATTTTTTACTCACAAGTGCCTGGATGTTATGGCCGACACTTGAAACCAACTTTCAGTGTATTATTGATGGATGGTTAAATGATCATAGCTTATTAAGTACAACATGACCATTTAATTAGTGATTATAAATGTGTGAAACTGATTTAAGGCTTGGTGTATATATAAATATTGTGGTGTAATTGTCGAGATATTTGGAGATATTTATTTATGGTGGGTCACCCTAACATGTAAAGATATCTTCTTTGAAAGATATATTCAAGTGATACATGTAAAGATATATTAAAGATAGCCTAGATTGTCCCGAAAGTATTTATTGGGTGGTTATTTCCAATAAAAGTATGGCAAATTTGGTACATATGGAAAGTATAGACACCCAATCTTACTAGAAAAATGCTGGATTACCCGACAAACACTCAAAAATGTCAAGGTATCACTGGCAACCCGACTGTTGTCTGCAAGCTTATTGTGTGCAAGCTTAACTGAGGCAGCAGTTGTTATTTCTTAATCAAATGGTTAGGTGGTTTGGGGAACATTGAGGGGTGTCAATGAACAAAAGACTCTGCAATTAAACAGCGGATAAAGAAGTTAACAGAAAATAATTGAGAATTTACTTTGGCCTCAATATGTATGGTAAATGGAAGGTAAGGTGACATCCATGGTGTCTAACAACAGTTAAGCTATGGGAATCTCCCGGCGAATACAAACTTTTGAGAGGGATTTGAAGCAAATTTTTGATAGATTAATTAGTTTGAATATGTTTTTAGTCCAAATATATCATCACATGACACAGTTTGTACGTGGGAAAGTAACTTTAAAGTGAACAAGCCAACAGTGAGGCTGATGTCCCCCGCCGAAATAGGAAAATAATTAGAGGACACATATAAATTTATCACAAATTATCTTTTACAAAGTATTGAACAATCAAACATTATATCTTTACTTATAGTCTAACAATCAAAGTAGGAGAGTTATTGTTTTCCAAAGTCTCGACCAATCAAATTGCGTATCGCTCTGCTTACCCTGAGCAGAAAATGCTCATTATCAAACTTAGTCAAGGTATTACTGTAATGAAACTATACACCAAGTTTCATCAATCTCACTTAATTAGAACTAAAGTTATCGTGTCCCAAAGCATCAACCAATCAAATTGCTTATCTCTGCTTACCCTAAGCGGAAAATGCTCATCTTCGAACTCCATCAAGGCATTGACCTAATCAACACATACACCAAGTTTGAACATTCTAGCTCAATTAGGAAGAGAGTTATCGTGCCCCAAAGTATCAACCAATCAAATTGCTGCTTACCCTGAGCAGAAAATGCTCATTATCAAACTTAGTCAAGGTATTACTGTAATGAAACTATACACCAAGTTTCATCAATCTCACTTAATTAGAACTAAAGTTATCGTGTCCCAAAGCATCAACCAATCAAATTGCTTATCTCTGCTTACCCTAAGCGGAAAATGCTCATCTTCGAACTCCATCAAGGCATTGACCTAATCAACACATACACCAAGTTTGAACATTCTAGCTCAATTAGGAAGAGAGTTATCGTGCCCCAAAGTATCAACCAATCAAATTGCTTATCTCTGCTTACCCTAAGCGGAAAATGCTCATCTTCGAACTCCATCAAGGCATTGACCTAATAAACACATACACCAAGTTTGAACATTCTAGCTCAATTAAAAGTTATCGTGTCCCAAAGCATCAACCAATCAAATTGCTTATCTCTGCTTACCCTAAGCGGAAAATGCTCATCTTCGAACTCCATCAAGGCATTGACCTAATCAACACATACACCAAGTTTGAACATTCTAGCCCAATTAGGAAGAGAGTTATCGTGTCCCAAAGCATCAACCAATCAAATTGCTTATCTCTGCTTACCCTAAGCGGAAAATGCTCATCTTCGAACTCCATCAAGGCATTGACCTAATAAACACATACACCAAGTTTGAACATTCTAGCTCAATTAGGAAGAGAGTTATTGTGTCCCAAAAAGTGTGACGGACAGACAGACGGACAGACAGACGGACGGACAGACGGACAGACAGACGGACGAACCCATTTTAATAGTCCCCTGCTTTCTTCAAAAGGCGGGGGACAAAAAAATTGGTTAATTCTGTATGGAAGGATCTAAGAAGCCTTTATTCTAGTCTCATGCAACTGCTTCAAGTTCTGTGATACATTTTTACAGGAAAACCAATCTTCAGTTGTCTAGTGGCGTTGAAGACAGGTTTTATTGTTTTCCAGCGAGTAATATAATATTTTTTCAGCGTATTGCTGCGCTTAAATTATGTCTTGGCAAGTTTACAAATGGTATCCAATAGTCATGTGTATCATGTCATTCCACAAAAAATTGGAAATTACGTTACCCCTAAAAAAAATTTGGCAGACAATTCCAAACTGTTCAATATTTTGAATAACAAATAGGCTGGCATTTCATTTTCATACCTAACCGTGAAAATGGAACTTCTCATTTAATTAAATTAAATCAATTTAATGTCTTTACTTTTTTAACTTTTAATAAGATATTTTTCATACCAAGCTGTGACGATTGTTGTTGTAATTTACGTTGATGTAACTCCTCTTGTCTTTGTTTTGGATCAATACCTAAATGTTGACATACAACTTCGTCTATTCTTGGTTTAATAAACTGAAATATTTTTGGATTAACTACTTGTTCAATAATACGTTCTACACCATTAGTTAACATCCCAGATCTGAAAAAACAGAAAGCTTTTTTTGAAACTGGAAATATGCCAGTTTGTATATATTTTTATAAAGAGCCAAGAATTAAGCATCAATGGCTGTATGTATGCCGAAATTAACAAGCAAACAGTGATGTCTCCATGGGCTGTTCCATTGACCCCTTCGAAAAAATCTGGAAAAAACATATGTTATTGTACATATAAAAACTAAAAACTGTGCAAATTTTCTAGAAATACTTATTCCAGCAATTTCGACCTATCGGTTACTGGGTTATGGTGATTTGAATAATGGCGGCCACGCCCATTTTGGACGAAATCCCCAAAATGGAGTGGACCGTATATCAGAAACTGTTAGTCTGATCAAGCTAAAATTTGGAATATCATTTTTTGCAGCCTTAATAAACATATAAACCAAATGTCAGCAAAATTGAAGGAGGTGCGGTTCAACACATTGGGTGATAATTGACATGGAATGACCCAAAACACATATTTTAAAAAAATCTTATAGAGACATTAGTACAAACTATAATTCCACCAAGTTTCAGATTTTAAGGTGCTCATCTACCAGGTTCAATCGGCTTGAAAATACAATAATTGACATGGAATGACCCAAAACACAGATTTTGAAAAAATCAAAAAAATATCAAGATGGCATGGTTCAAGAATGGTTTTAACATATGTTGAAGACATTAGTACAAACGATAATTCAACCAAGTTTCAGATTTTTAGGTGCTCATCTACTGGGTTCTATCAGCTTGAAAATAAGAGGCAATTTTTGAAAATTTGTGTCTGAGACCATATTCGAGGCTAATTTTCTGGGAATCTAGTGAAGACTGGTGCATTTTCATATGTTTCTTACATAGTACTACCGACAGTCTCTAGATAGGCCAAAATCTGGGTCTATAACTATTACACTGTAGCTCCTTGTGCACTACAAAATCCAGAAAATATACAATTACACCCAATTTTGTTTTTCGGTTTTCATGAAAAAGTAGCAGGCAAACCCTACCACTCACCTATAATCTGATTGCAGATTCTTAATCTACACAAAAAGTTGTTTAAGACTACCAAATATGAGCCCTATATCTTCACTAGAAAGGTAAAAACAAGACATCTGGATCTCAAGTAAATTATTGATGTGTATTTTGTTTCGAAAACTTATCGGTAGATGTACAATAACATATATTTTTTTCAGATTTTTCGAGGGGGTCGATTTCCCAGCCCTGGCCCACTTGATATGGAATGACCCCCCATCCTCAATCCCAAAATACATGAATTGTTTCAATGATGAGCGTTATTAACTACTTGCACACTTACCTATTTATAAACTAACGAGCCATCAAATTATCAATTTTGTTTTACATGAGAAGATGCTCATTATAGAACTTGTCACAGTATTGATACAATTAAAATATATACACCAAGTTCCATTAAAACAAGCAGCAAAATTATTGTATTCCAAAGCAACAACAAATCAATTTGCTCATCTATGCCCCACATCAAACTTATTCAAGTCAACAATAAGTTTGATTGAATATTCCACCTCAATTAGAAGCAAGGTTCCAAAGTCTTATCCAATCAAATTTTTTGTTGCTTATTCTACTTAGCCTGCACCAAGTTTAAACATTGTAACTTGCATCTCCTAGATTGGAATTACATAAGAAACATCAATGCAAGCCTGTGTAACAAATAAAACCTGGTTTAACCAGATCTATAAATATGCCGAAAAATTAAGGTGTGTGAATTATAGTAACCAAAACATTGTGTTACTGCTGGAACATAGAAACCATTATAAAGCACATTATTTGATTGTCCACTACATGTAATGAGGGACTTCAAACACAAATATGAATGATTTTACTGTAGCAAAGGAGTGTAGATGAGTAAATTCAACTACTTTGAGTAGTATGGTAGTCATTATTTCATGTACTTACTGGTTGATCTGCTTTCGAAGATTTTCTCGAAGTTGATTTTTGCTCAAATTTGGACTCCATTGTTGTTTTGACAAAAATCTTGTTACATAGTTTTCTACTCTTTGCTGTAAATTTTGATATGCTGGCTGCAAATTAAAGATGTTATCAAATGATAATGACATCAGCAAAAATAAGTAAAACAAGCCAACAGTAAGGCTGACGTCCCCTGCTGAAATCCCAAAATAAATAGATGACACATATTAATTAATCGCACGGTTTTTTTTCAAAAGTATCGAGCAATCAAACCATACACTAAGTTTCATCACTCTCTATCAGATAGAATCAAGATTATCTTGTCCCAAACCATCAACAAATGAAATCGATTAGCTCTGCTTAGCTTCAGCTCAAAATGTTAATTTTGTCCTCACTCTCACTTAATTAGAACTAAAGTTATCGTGTCCCAAAGCATCAACCAATCAAACTGCTTATCTCTGCTTACCCTAAGAAGAAAATTCTCATCAAGGCATTAACCTAATAAACACCTACATCAAGTTTGAACATTCTAGCTCAATTAGAAAGAGAGTTATTGTGTGTCAAAAAGTGTGACGGACAGACAGACGGATTGACAGACAGACAGACGAACAGACAGACGGACGAACCCATTTTAATAGTCCCCTGCTTTCTTCAAAAGGCGGAGATAAAAACAAAAGGAATCTGATCATTTACCACCTAGAAACCTACATGTTCAATTCCTGGCTGCAACCATAACATGTGGACAATTGCATTCAAGCAGTAAAGACACTTGACTCTTGGCTAGAATATCATGGGCTCAAATTCTTATTCTTGTGTGGGTTGAGAAGATTTTCAGGTATGTAAGCCTGGTTCCCACCTGTAAGGAGTATTGTCTGTGTGGCTGATAAATATAAATGCAGGAATTCAATATAATGTCCACTCAACACAAACTAGGTCATTTCGGGACGAGCATATGGTTCAATCTTATTTTAATAATTCACTTGGGCGTAGACGTCTCTAGCAGTTGGAGAAAACCAGAGAAATCGGAGAACCTAGAGAAAACCCACGAGGTTGGACAGGCGACTCTACTCCTTGTCACCTACAAGCAGGGAATCGAAACCAAGCCACTTGACTCAATGACAGACCGTCAAATCCAACGCACACGTGTTAACCATTCGGACCCCCAATACCCTGGAATTGGATGAAGACTTGGCATTAAACAGTCTCAAAACGACTGAAGTATTATGCTGACAAAACACTTAACTCCTTGCAACCACAATAAACTTTTATGTTCACAATGAGTATCATTGTCTCATTTGAGTGCAACCGCTATGAGGAACTCCGCAAGACAATTGTTTATGGGGCATTTGAGATCAAAACTATCCATTTTCTTATGAAAACATGTTTAACCCGCCATTTGCTCTGGCAAAAACAGTGCACATCTTTGTGCACCCACTTAGATGTAAATATAAACCAAAAAACAACCAACAATTAAAAGACCTTTTATTCATGTTTAGTTCAAGCGACTATGACATATATTCAAAACTTTGGTTTATATTTTTTACATACTCCCTCAAGCTCAAATGTACATTTCATCTACTTTTTATGCAATTATCGTCCATTTTTTATGTATTCTTTATCCACTTTTTATAGATTTTTTATCCACTTTTTATAGATTTTTCATCCATTTTTTAAAAAATGTATTTATCATGCATACCGTAATGTATAATTTACATGCTGCCCAAAAGGGTATTTTATGTAATAAAAAAAAAAAAAAAAATCAATAAACAACAAAAGATTCAAACTTTAAATTTAATCCTAATCTTTCAAACATGATGTGTTTGTTTTTAGCTATGGCTGTGGCCCTTTAGTTTCCCCTTGCAAACTCATTTTGTTTACTAATTAAACTTATCCAGCTAAATGTAACTGTAACTATTATCTGCTAAATTAATCAAGTGGTGTTTTTCAATGACTTGACATATTCATAGTTTTGATGCACCGGGATGTAGTCATATGCCATAATGGTCAAAACGGCCCAACTTTAATCATAACGGCCAAACAGTTTGGTTATAACGGCCAAACAATTTGGTCATAACGGCCAAAACATTTGGTCATAACGGCCAAAACATTTGGTCACAACGGCCAAATATTTTTAATTTAATGAAAAACAATATATCTGAGCAAATATTATTGTTGTTTGTTGTTGTTTATTAAAGATTTAACGCCCAATACATTAGATATGATATTATGGACAGGTTGATTTAATTAAATTATTTACACTTAATTGGTTGAAAATTGGTAAAAACATACAATGCAATCTTCCGTGTATATCAAAAGTCTCGTTAAAATTGGTTATGCCAAGAAATAAAACGTCCTTTTATATTAAAAAGTCAATTTAAAGCACACTCATAAAATCGGTGTCGTGAGAAGAGAGGGCGGTTCATCTTCTCCCTTTGTTATAATGAAAACACGTTAAAACAGGTGGTTCAGCTGAATGACGTTTGGCGCCATCAGTGCGGATAGAAAAAAATGCTTTTGTTACGTGGATGACATAAGCCACTCAAGAGCTGTGGATATTGCCTTTAATTATGCGGTATGGATGGAGCATCCATCTGGTAGACTTTTTAATATATTAACATTAAATTCAGGAATAACTACACCACCTTGGCTTAACCAGAATATGTATGGTGTAGAACTGTACCAGGGTTTACAGTGGTATATAGTGGGTCGCAGAAAGGAAAAAATAAATTAGTAGATAAAAATGGATATAATACATATGTCAAGAAGTCTTCAACTGAGAGACAGGACAACAAAACATCAATGTGGTGCTACTGTTATACAAACCATGTGTCCTGAAGAATTTGTCAGTGGAAAAATAGCCCATAACCACAGAAACCAACTGGCAAATTACATGCTGTAATTCAATGGAAAGAGGTGAGTACTAATTAATCAACTGGTTGGATAATCCCTAATTAGGTACTTCACACCCTCTGATCTGATTAGGTAATATGAACAAGTACAAAAGAAGGTAGTATCAGTAGTAGTAGTAGTAGTGTGTCGATGCTGCTAGGGATATGTACCAGAGTTTATGATCTAGTAGTGTAAAGGTGATATACAATGCAATATCTATATGTAATTTTTTTTAATGTATTAAATTAATGTTTATGTAATGTATGTATTTATATTATCTATTATGAAATAAATGTGTTTTTTTTATGTATTAAATTATAAAATTAATGTTTATGTAATGTATGTATTTATATTATCTATTACGCAATATTTTTGTTAATAAATATCATTTTCTACATGTAAAAAATGTTTTTTGGCCGTTATGATCAAATTGTTTGGCCGTTTCGACAAAATTTTTTGGCCATTATGACCAAATTTTTTGGCCATTATGGTTTAGCCTTAGGGCCGTTATGTCTATAATAACCCGATGCACCAAGGGTGCCAACCACAGACATAGAAGTCTATGCATGTATGTCTTCTGATTTGGACCTAAAATGTAATGAAAATGAAAAAGATGATTTGTGTCTACCGTCTAGGTGAGGAAGGATTGTAATGAAGGGCTATAGAAGACAATCAGTTATTATTAATAATATAGAGCGAAGCTCTAAAGCATCACCCAAGCGAGATCACGCACCTCATAGAACTATTTCTATGACGCGTCTAATCATTGACGTCACATAGACACATATTTTTGACGTCAATGAAAATAATTCTCACACTTTTTTGTTCTTTTTTTAAAAACAAAATTAATGTATACAATTTAGATCTAAATAAAAATTTAAATTATTTAACATTTTTTGTATCACTTGAGAAAATTAATTATAAGGTTTTATATTTGACAACAATCACATCAGCTTCGCTCTACTTAGGCAATGCCTGTTACATATCATAAGTTATAAGGATTATGTTTTGTTTACTCTTTTTACCGTACCTTTGTGTCAACATCAGCAAGACATTCTTTCCTAAACTGATCAAAAACGCCCTGTGACTTGATTGTGTTAATTATTTCTTGAACTACCACTTTATCTGGTTCAGGAGGCGATTGATCAGTTAACGTAGAAGACATTCTATCTCTTTAACAGTGCAATATGCACAAACAGAATCTAGAATTTCTTTTACATGGAGGCTGCCATTTTTATATATAATTGCACCGGTATTTTTTAGGGGAAACGAAATATGACATGTGATATCATTCAATAAATTATTTTAATCTATTTAACATTGTACATCAATTTTTAGTAATATATTTATATACTTATGCGTTAAAATCAATATTAGAATGTTTTATGAGAGTCAGTACAAAATTAAAATATTTGTTATGACAACTGACATGAGATAAGTACTAAGTAGGTCAAACTCGTTTTCAAACTTCTACGAAAAGCTTAAAATCTATTTTTAGAAGAGAAAATTCCAGATTTATCACAGGAAGTTGTGAGTTGGAACGTCCACGTGTTATAATTACCTCATTTCCGCTAGACAAACCAATCGTTATCTTAGAAGTTTGTCATCAGACATTATTGTAAACACGACAGCAATCTCGAAGAAATAATGACGAAACATTCAATTTTCAACACGATGTAATTCCATTATAAATTGTTTAGATGGGTTGGAAGAAAGTCAAGAAATGGTTTCCACGGTTGATCGGTGTAATAGCCTCCCTGAGTGCCTTGTGTATAGGCAGCGGAGATGGACTGGAAGAAGATGGAGCAAAAAACTCAAATGTATTTAGTAATACTTGCAAACCTATAAAAAAGGACAAGTAGGAATATTAATTATTTTTTCGTGTTTGATGTTTTTTCTATTCTTTGCATGATTTCATTCTAATTGAGTTATGGGTATTTATCCTTGATATGGTCAAATAAAAAATGACCATATGAAGGCTTATGTTTGTTCATTAACCTATTATTGCTATCCCTATGATGATTATGATTGGAATTAATTTGACCTTGCAAACTCAAATGTTATTTAATATTTATGATGACCATGATTAATAAGGAATACTTTTTGATGGATAACGATATAATCATGATACGGTTTCTGATTTTAAAAAACTGCAAGACACGTTTAGCTCCTAATAGGAGCTTAACGGGTTCCCCTTTTGACGTCATTTTCGGTCATGCGCAGACCCTGGCCTTATTCGTAGACTGAAACCCATAGGCCATTGTGTGTTTTTTTGTGAAAATACTGTTGTACAGTAAGCTTGTTTTACATAAAATGGAACCAATAGTTAAGACGTTGCAGTTGTCGAGTTGAGTATCGAATAATTGTTATAAACAAGAATGAGAAATATATTGTGATTATGAAGTAATTTTGCTTTCTTCGTTTATACTAAAGGGTCAATTTGCAGTCCCGCCCATATACATGTATATTATTGGCAACCCAGTGTTTCTTTTTTCGTTTATACTGAAGTGACAACACTGAAGTCTTGTTTATGTACATGTACATGTATGTTAATGGCAGCCTAGTAGTTTTTGCATTTTTACTGAAGTGGCAACTCTATGTATGTATATTGAAAACAAATCCAGTCACTTTTTCTTCCTTCATTGATTCCTGCTCATGTATTACACAGTATATTGAAGGCTGAAATTTGATTTTGCTAAGAGTCATGCCCCTTTATTTTCGGTTAAATGTCTGACAAGAAAAATTTTGAAATCCCATCACTGGGCGGTAACCTAATATTCATTGATTATGCATGTGCATGTATTATCTAGAATAGCTACATGGTTTTGTGCAGGTACACAACCTATTTTAAATAATTTCATTTATCTATTTTAGCTCTCATATGTTTGTTAGTACATTGGATGGTAGATTATCTGCGTTGGATATCCGTAATGATGGCGAGCTTCTGTGGTCTGTACAGGCTGATGCACGTCCCCTGTTGTCTTCAAGTATAGGAAAACTTGAGGTCAGCAATTTATATATTGATACATAGTATAACCTTCACCATACAAGTATTATGATTATGACTCATCAATCTATATTTAACATCTGTTATTTTTCTTAAACATAATAGGCCATCTAACCTCATTAAACAATTACGACTTTCTCTTTCAATCCATTAGACTTTCAGCCAAAGTAAACAAGAGCAAGGTTTGTTATAATTTTACAAAAAGTTTTATCTAGATTAGTAGGTACACTTAGTCTTAAATGATACATAGAACATTCAATGGCTGTGTATTGTGATACACATGAATCCTGGTAGGGAACACAAAATAAAAAATGACATCTGGCGCACTAGTTATTATCCGATGTTTACTGGATAACTAGTGTGTGAAAGTTGATTACCCGATGATCTCCAGATAAGTAGTGCTTGCTCGATTTTAACTAGTACACAATGTGTTTCAGATTTTGCTGCCAGCTAATAATGATAAAAATGTGTATATGATAACATGCATTCTTCACACCATTAATTCCTATGTTGGTAACCGAATTCCTACTCTTTTTAACAGTTGTGCCAAATCCCTCCCATAGTAGTGTGCATCAGATAATAACTAGCTCGGCAGGGTAATACTACACTGTTTTAAACAGTGATGGATGGCATACAAATATAAGAGACAATATGCTTGCACCTTCTAGAGGATCTGATACCACATTTTACGTAGTTTTCTTATTATCTGGCGTGCACTACTTATTATATGGCACTTACTAGTTATTTACTCGTGCCATACTATAAAGAACTGGTATAGCAATGTATGTTTTTACTTTCAATCAAGGTCATTTTGTTATGATTTTAGTTGAACAGAAATGGAGTAAGAACAAGACTAATACCATCTTTAGATGGAGGTTTATATCAGTATGATGGTGAGAGTATTGAAGCTGTACCAATGACAGCAGAGAAACTGCTTAGTTCAACTTTCCGTTTAGATGATAATACTATGATGATAGGAGGAAAAGATAGTAAATCATATGGTGTTGATGCCAATACTGGCCAGGTTAGTTTTCATTGAAATTATACATTTCATTACCATTGTATTTTAGTACAGTACAGTACTAGAATGCCAAATGTGAAACAAATTGGACTATGAAAGACTGGAATTATTCATATGTTTACTATGGTCAACTCTTCTGACTGAACTTTATAATCTGCCCCTCACAAGCATTCACCATATTGCATGTGCAGTTGTACATGATAAAATCCATTAAAATGACACATTAACCCTCACTTTCTTTATTATTCTTATACTTATTTAACTTTTTTGTCAACTATTGAAAACCCCTGCATATCTGAAGATGAAGCTTCATTGAGATATTGATGAAATCATATCTTTTGCTAGCAAGCTTCAAATATTGAATCTCAATTAATATTTCGAAACTATTGCAAGAATGGTAACTCATTTATATTGCTTTCAAATGATAAGTTATATTATTTTGGACTCAGTCTTCCAAAATTATTAACACAGGAGGGTCTTTAAAATTTTAAAAACTTGAGATACACATTTTTGCAGGTGCACTAGCAATACATTTTATTTTAATTACAGGTTCGCTATGTGTGTTCTATGGAAGGGTGTAAATTTCTGGGTGATGGAGAGGTAACTGATGATGAAGATGTTATTGTTATAAAACGTAATACACAGACAGTTAGAGCTGTGGATGCTAGATCAGGTGTAGAAAGGTAAACTATATTATAAAATATACACCAGACTTTATTTTATCAAAACATTGGTAATAAAAGATATTATTTAAGAAAATAAAAGACATAAATGTTAAAAGGAAGGTCATTTGAATTCAAATTGATTGAAAATTACAATTTTAGGTGGAACTTTAGTGTTGGAAATCATGAGTTAGATTTTGTAGATGGAACACCACCTATCCCTAGAGTTGATGATGAAGATGATGATGGTATAACAATAACAACCTGTCAACATCAAGGTGAGACAAACAACACTTTTCAAATCAAAAGAACATGGCAGATCATTTCTTAACTTAACATGTAATTTTTCCCATCATTGTTGCCTATGCAAAGGCGGGTTGAATGGCCGAATGGTTAGCGTGTGTGCGCCGCATCATAAGGTCTGTCATTGAGTTAACTTGCGTGGTTTCTATTCCCCGGTTGTATTTGACAAGAAGTAGGGCCGTCTGTCCAACCTTGTGGTTGCCTCCCTCTGCTAAAGATCGATACGCATAAATAATTATTGAAATAAAATTGCACCATATGTTAGTCCTGAAATCACCTAGTTTGTGTCGAGTGGACTTAAACCCTCTCTCTCTCTCTCTCTCTCTCTCTCTCTCTCTCTGTGCAAAATGTATTGTCCCTGATTCCTTGGTACAGAGATTATAGGTAAATACATTGTTACTTTCACCTGCATTATTTTAATTTCAGGTGATCACATAGAAGAAGATGAACAATTTAATACTGAACATCAGGATGAAGCCTTGAAGATAATTGTTCCTGAAGGAAGAATTGTTGCTCTTAACCCTGCAGATGAAGCACATATCCTTTGGCAGCACAAGGTACCTACTTTTGTAGATGGATGAAAATGTAGTTCTAATTCTCATTGTATAATGACAAATAGGTGAATATAATGTAAATAAATATGCAAGAATTTGCTTATTATTTTTATTTGCAGTTCTCGAGCCCCGTAACAAATGCTTGGATACTTAAGAAGGGCATGATGAAACGTGTGAGTTTATTTGATAATCGACATATTCCTGCTTTATCATCATTTACACCTGAAGGCACAGAAGAATTAGATGATGTACCAAAAGAACCCTTATTATATGTTGGTAAGAACTAATTTCAAATGTTTAATAAAGTAGCTAAGAGCTGATATTTGTTTAGCAAATTAAAAATATAAAATGTATTTATAGGCAGAATTGGAAATGATGCTATTTATATTGTAACATTATTTTATTTAAATTATTTATTCAGGTATGCACCAGAATCAGCTGTATGTACAACCATCAATAACTTTAACTGATGATGAGAGAAATTCAGACATTTTTGTTGGTAATCCTGCATTACCTCAGATTTCCTGGAGACCATATCTTAGCTCTTGTAAGATTTCTTTATCAATGATAATTTACCTACAGTGTAATCAAAGTATGTAGATTAAAAAATGGATTCCTTGTGTTTTATTAATGTTATATTTCAATTATACATAATATAGTGCAAAGCAGCAATACGTACACTTGACAATATTGAATGAAAAAGCATCTGCCAAATAAAAAAATATATCTCCAAGAATAATCATAGCAGTTTTCTTCATGATTCTACATAAACCAAAAAAAAAATGATTACATTTCTGTCAGTTCATTCAACAATTGAGCACCCACAAATATGTTTGTTTATATAACTGTATGGTAACATGGTTTATTGTAAAATCATATTTTTAGCTACTTCACGAACACCAATCTTTCATGGAAACCACAAAGATAAAGTACCTCTTCTTGGTGACAAGTCAACAGAAAGTGGAGATAAGTCATTGATAGTGTGGCATGAACATTATCCCTTTGGTAAGAAAGTCAGAAACAACTATCTTAGCATTTAGATCAGATCTGTTAACAATTTCAAAACACTGAAATGTTATCTGGAAGATAGAAAAACTTGTATTTGAAACCCATAATGGTAGCTGTTTCATAATACTTGATAGAAGGGATTGTATGCACAAACAGAAGAGTTAAAATAAAAGTGAAATTATATAATTTCTGGAATAGAAATTTGACACACTTATTTTTGACCAAATTGTCCAAATTACTTCTTTTCTCAGATAGGTCAGACCAAACACATAATAAATCTTATTTGACTTTTAATTTACACAAAATGGGGTTTTATTTTCAGTAAATATTATTGTTTCATTCAGATAATGGGTATTATTTATATCCTGATGTGACACCTTTACTGCCAGTAAAAAATTTGACACCCGAGGCTGACAGTATAATGTACATTCCACAATCACTGCATTATTGGTGGTAAGTTTTCCGTTTCTACTTTGACATCTATAGAAAAATGACTGGCATTTCAAGAATCCGACTGTCTTTTTAATACATTTATTTTAGAAATTAAGATTATTCTGAATTTATTTAAATAAACAAATTTATATTACCAATTTAGTTGACAAAGATTGATTTGATTTCTTAATTGATATTTTCTAGGAAAGAAGTCATTGCCATCAGTCTAATAACTTCAGTAGTTCTACATGTGATTCTTAATAAATTTGTAAAAAAGGATTTACCCAATCAGGTAAATATTACAGAGATTATTTTACAGGACCAGTAACAGATTTCATAGGGTAGCCATATGTTAATGCATGTGGATTTAAGTATGTAACTTTTACAAAAAGTTGTAAAGAAATAACCTGTTTGTTTCAGTTCAAAATTTTGAGGTGTTTTCAAATTATCTCCAAAATCAAATAATGGGGATATGTAGCCCAATTTGCTCAAATAAAGAATTTTATTAATGTGTGTCCTGATAAATAAAACACTCACACCATGATTAATTTGTATACATGGTTAACCAAACACTATCTAAATTTTCACTAAGCTTGTCACTTGACTAAGGAATATAAAATTGAACGTATGTATCTTTTCAAAATATTATCACAGATATTCAGATTGTATTCAGGTACATGTAACTAGTTGAAACATTGCATTAGGGAAATTTTATATGCCCACGTTTTTATGTGGATGTATATTGTCGTCGCCCCTGTCTGTCCGTCCACCATTTGTTTGTGGACAATCTACAGGTCACAATTTTTATCTGATTTTGAGGAAACTTGAAATATAGGTCTATCTCCCAAAGGTCTTGGTTCCTTTCGATATTGGCATGTATCGGACCGTAACTTCATGGAATATGGCCTCTGATTGTATGAAATATCACGTTTTTAGCTTGTGGACACTCTAGAGGTTACAATTTGTGTTCGATTTTGATGAAACTTGAAATGTATGTTTATAACCTATAGATCACAGTTCCTTTTGGTATTAGCGCATATCGGACCGTAACTTCCTGGGTTATGACCTCTGATTGTACGAAAAATCTCGTTTTTAGCTAGTGGTCCCTCTAGAGATAACAATTTTCAACCAATTTAAAAACACTTTCAATATATCACTGTTGCACTATAATTATGGTTGAGTTCGAATTTTGTGAAAATTGGACTGAAACTGTCGGACAAAATGTACGCAAATAGTGTTAAAGTATGTAATATCAAGGTTGTGGACCCTCTAGAGCAGGGGTGTCAAAGATGCTGCCCTCAAACCAGATCTGGCCCGCCAAGGGTTTAAATGTGGCCCGTGGAACATATTGCAACAAACTGACATGGCGATAATTCTTAGAAACTAGCGATGGAAATCATTTACTATTGTTTTCTGGATTGATTAAGACTAGTTCTGTATGTCATAGATATCTAAGTTGTATGTAATACAAGAGAACATTGTGTTCAATAGTATATCTTGACAATTTGAAAACCAGTCTATAAAATCACCTGTGTCATGGACGTTTGGCTTTGATTTTAGAATTCAGTTAAGTTCAAGGACGTTTGATGTTATCTGATATTTTTGTAGATTTCCGGCCCACTTGATGTAAAATTTTAGTTGATGTGGTCCCTGAAATGAATTGTGTTTGACACCCCTGCTCTAGAGGTTACAATTTTGCCGAAACTTAACACATGTGTTTATATCTCAAAGGTCTCAGTTACTGTCAATATTCACGCATATCGAACTGTAACTTCCTGGATTATGACCCCTAATTATACAAAAAATCATGTTTTTAGCTAGTGGTCCGTCTAGAGGTCACCATAATGATGGTTGAGAATTTATTTTGTAAAAATTGGACATGGATGCTCCTTGGACGCAAATAATGTAAAAGTATGTAATGCCAAGGTTGTTGACCCTGTTAGATAGAGGTCACAAATTGTATCCGATTTTGATGAAACTTAAAATATATGTTTATATCACAAAGATCTCGGTTCCTTTTGATATTCTCGCCCACCAGACCATAACTTCTTGGATTAGGTCAATGGCTCCTGATAGTATGATCCTCTAGAGGTCACAATTTTTATCTGATTATAAAAAACGTTTAAATATGTCGCTGTTGCACCACAAAGAAGGTTGAGTTGGAATTTTGGGAAAATCTAAACGAAACTGCTCAACAAAATAGCCACTCCTTGTATGAAAATAATGTAAAAGTATATAATACCAAGGTGTGGACCCTCTACAGGACACAATTTTTGTCCGATTTCGATGAAACTTAAAATATGTTTTTATTCCAAAAAACTCAGACCATTACTTACTGGATTATGGCCCCTGATTGTACGAAAAATCACTTTTTTTTTTTTAAATTTTTCTCTATCCATCTCTTGCAAAATGTTGGCATATCTTGCATGGCAACCTCTGGTTTTTACACAGAATTGACTAGTTTTATGTACTAACATATGATTGGGATGGCCCTTATAAAATAAAAGCAGTTGATTGTATCATAAAAATAATTAATAAATTATCTTAATCACTTTACATGTGGACTGCATTTCATATTCACCAAATCTCCACTGAAAGTGCATGGGATATGTAAATTTAATTAATTTTAACACAGAATGTCTTTTTATTTGGTATAATTTACAGCAAAGTGGAAGTAGTAGCAATGATATGATTAATACAAGCCAAATGCACAGAACTGATTCAGAGAATTCAGAAACACATTCAGAATTTGCATCCAGGTATATTTTACTCTTTTTTTTTAATATATGGTTTTGCATCATAAAAAAAATAGACTGGATAATTAATCATTAAAGTTTTAAAATTAGAGAACAAATATACTGGTAACCGTAATAATGTGTGTTTTACCGGTATATGGTGAAAATATTCAATCTACCGCATTGGTGTCACATCTAAATCAAACCCTTTAAAAACAGACGATATAACTCGATACTTGATATCTAGTGAATCAAAATAATTAATTCTATATAATTTTTAACTATCAAGTGAAATTAGAAAATACTTTTATTTCTCCAATCGTTATATTTTATTTCAAATCTTATTTACAGGTTTTCATCAGAATTTGAGTTTGTACATAGTTTAGGCAAAGGAGGTTTTGGAGTTGTGTTCGAAGCTAAAAATAAAATTGATGAATGTCATTATGCTGTCAAAAGAATTACTCTTTCCAACAGGTAGGCCTATTAAATTTATGTATTGATACTTGTACATTTTCTTTTTTTTTTTCTGGAGTAATTCTTCTTCTGGGTGTCAGTTATTCCTCTAATATTGAGTTTCAGACTCGGTATTATTAGAAGATTATCAAAACATGGTCACATTATATTTTTCAGTGTTGGAGCGAAAGATAGAGTTATGAGAGAAGTACGAGCCTTGGCCAAACTTGACAATCCTGGAATTGTACGTTATTTTAATGCTTGGATGGAAAATCCTCCTTTGGGCTGGATAGACAGTCTAGAAAAATGTTTAGAAGATAGGTATGTCCACTATTTTATTAAAGCAAACAAACAATGAGTATTTATTTGGATCATTTTTATACGCCCACATGGAAATATGGTCGTATATTGCCGTCGCCCCCGTCCGTTGGTCGTCCAAAATTTCTTGGGAACACTCTACAGACTACATTTATCATCTGATTGTTTTGAAATTGATATATGTTGTTTACAGTAGTGAGATGAAGAAGTTTATTTAATCTTAATAACTTCCGTTAATTTCTTCTGGAGTTATGACCCTTGTTTCACTTTGTTGCACCTTGTGAACACTCTAACGACAAAAGTTATCAACCGATCTGTATGAAATTTATATGCATCATTTAAATTAGTAAAACAAAGAAGCTTATTGAATTTCAGCAATTTCCATTAATTACATCTAGAGTTATGGCCCTTGTTTCACTTTGTTGAATCTTGTGAACGCTCTAATGACAACAGTTATCATCCGATCTGTTTGAAATTGATATGCATCATTTAAATTAGTGCAGCGAAGATGCCTATTCAATTTCAACAATTTCCGTTAATTACATCGTGAGTTATGGCCCTTGTTTCACTTTGTTGTACCTTGTGAATGCTTTAACGACAAAAGTTATTATCCGATCTGTATGAAATTTATAGGTATCGTGTAAATTAGTAAAACGAACAAGCCTATTGAGTTTCAGCAAATTTCCGTTAATTACATCTAGAGTTATGGCCCTTGTTTCACATTGTTGAATCTTGTGAACGCTTGAACGACAAAAGTTATCACCCAATCTGTATGAAATTCATATGCATCATTTAAATTAGTGAAATGAAGAAGCCTATTGAATGTCAGCAATTTCTGTCAATTACTTCTAGAGTTATGGCCCTTGTTTTACTTTGTTGAACCTTGTGAACGTTCGACAGACAAAAGTTATCATCTGATCTGTATGAAATTGATATGCATTATTTGAATTAGTAAAACGAAAAAGCCTGTCGAATTTCAACAATTTCTGTAGATTACTTCCAGAGTTACAGCCCTTGTTATAGTTTTTAGAACCTTGTGAACCCTCAAACGACGAAAAATTATAATGTCAACTGTATGAAATTGTCTATTAAATTCCCCCCTAATTACCTACAAAAGAATAAATATACGACAACTCTTGTCGACCGCTCGGACGGTTTAGCTGCTGTGGGCATGTGTTTTGTTGCCTGGCAACCTATCTTTATAATAACTGTCAAAGAAAGTAGGCTTATTTGAAACATTTATTTTTTTGGACAGCACTAGTTAAGCATACTTAGCTTAACAGATTATACTATTTGGGTACCATGTTTATATGTGTGAGCAGTATTCTGATTTTTATGCAGTTACTCTTTTTTAAAGCTTGCACACACAAATCAATCCCCACACTTAAAATAAAATGCTGAGAAATTTTTGCTTTAACTTTTTTTTTTTATCTTTATACAGTGAATGTTTTACACCAACGCCTTGTAATTCTGGTACTGACCTTTGTTCACTGCCACTAAAACAGAATAGAATGTTTGTTTTGGGTTCATCTGCTACGGAATGGGGAGTAAAGTGTGGAAACTCTGCAACATTTGAGGTTCATGGTGGTGATGATTTGTTATTAACAGATGAAAGTGGATCCTATAGTATTGGAACTTGTGATAGACGTAAACATTCTGATGTCAACGAAGATTCTTTTCAAATTGAATTCGCAAACTCATATTCTGAATCAAATAATAGTTCATCACGAGCAAAAGCTTGGGAAGATACAGAATCTTTTGAAATACCATTCCAGAATTATCAGGACAAAAATATGTCGAACAATGATAATTCTTTTTCAGTTGTGTTTGAAGATTCTGGCTGCCGTGATAAAAGCAGTAAAGGATCACAAAGCACTGATGTACTTAGATCTCAGGATAATGTATTATATAAACCGGACTCGACTTGTGATAAAGATACAAATGACAATGAAGCTTTGAAAAAAGTTGTTGTACAGAAATCAAATGCTGGTGGAAATCTGTATCTCTATATACAAATGCAACTGTGTCGTCGAGAAACATTGAAGGATTGGTTATGTGCAAATACATTAAATCGTGATAGAGAAACAGTATTGGATATTTTTGATCAAATAGTTGAAGCTGTGGATTATGTTCATAAATGTGGATTAATTCATAGAGATTTAAAGGTAAGACTTGATAAATATGAAGGAGGCAAACCGATTCTGATAATTCAGAGAAATTAAGAAAAGGTTCCTGTTAACTTTATCTGTTTTTCTCATCTAGAATTCTTTCAACATGGATAATACATGTACTAAAGCTAAAACATAGAGATGAATAATATCTACCAGATATAAAAAATATGTTGACAAATGTCTAATTCTCTGTTTCACTTATTCCCATGACTTGAAAAACAAAAATTAATGTTTTAAAATGCAATGTTGGAAAGGGGTGATTTTTTTTCCATCTTAATATCCTGAAATTCACAGTACTTCCTCAAACCATTTGCTCTGTAATTCACTGAAAATTATTGTTTTATCAGTCCATTATATTTTTTCCAATGGCTTTATTATGTTTCGCATGATTTATAAAAAATTTTGTTTGTGTCTCAGAACGAAATATTTAACAAAGTGTTTTGTTAACAGTTTGAAAAGGTGATCGAAAGTCTAACCACTTCCGGCAATGTCTCATTTTCTAGGAGCCAATAAATTATTTGACTTTTGTGTAAGACTATTATTCAGTTGCTTTGTTTTGGTTTTTTCCTTCCTAGTAAACTTTTCAACTGCTGTCCCATACATGTAATGTACATGTACACATTTGCTGTAAGGAAAATGTACTCAATTAAGACGATTATGATGTTGCTTTTATAAAAGTCAACTGAATTTCTGTATGTTTTTTCGAACCACTAAATATATGAACATAATATTTCAGCCATCTAACATATTTTTCTCCATTGATGGTGCTATAAAAATTGGTGACTTTGGTTTGGTAACCGGTTTAGAAAAGCAAAGTGATGAATATTTTCAAGCTGTTAAAGATGGCTCTGTTGTTAAACATACAGCAGAAGTGGGGACACAACTTTATATGAGTCCCGAACAGGTTGGTAAACTTGTTAAATATTATATACCGTAATTCAATTTTTTTAATACCCATCTACAGGTATTTGGATAATTATTTTTGTGCTTCTCCACCCATGTGGAAGCCTATTTTTATACTTCTCCATCCAATGCCAAGTGGTTTTACCCAGATGAAAACTCAGTTTGATGCATGATAATATCAAATCACAAACTTAGCTTGTTAAAAATATATAAGAAATAGTAAATACATGTAACTAATGAAACTGATTTGTACATTTAAATAAATACCTGTTTATCTTGTCATGATTGTGCTGCATTTAGCATCCAGATAATACATGTAGTTATTCTCCCGTAAAGCAGCTTATAAGTTTTATCTGGGTAACATGAGGCTTTAATATGTTTTAAAAGTTTTACTAATAGCTAAAAGAGCAGTGCTGGGATTTGATTCTTCTGTGATATATCAAAGTTTCATATCATGATAAAATTGTTGTTTAATGCATACATGTAACTTCAAGGTGTAACACAATTTTCATTTCATTTGAAATCAGAATAAGCTGTTTGGCATATAATCTGATGTTCAATTTTTACTAAAGTGATCTTTACATTATTAATGGTTAAAGGCTCAATACCACTCTTGTTGTAACTGAATAATATGTCCCAATCTTTATTCCGGTCAACCTTATTTAAAAATTTTGAAAAATTCAACATAATGGTTTGAAACGTCTAACGTAAACCTTTTCAAATGAAACTTCGATTTAAAAATATTTTCGAACCCTCTGGACAAGTAAAATAGGATGTAATGGATAATTTACACAACAGGTAGGACACTTAAACATCTAGTACTTAGAGATATTATTTATTTTCTGGAGCTTTCAAGCCAGCAAGAGTGTTATTGTCCCTTTAATGTTGTGATTTTTCTTTTTAAAAAGGTTGCAAGAAGTGTTTATGACCATAAAGTTGATATTTTCTCAATGGGAATGATTCTATTTGAGTTGTTTTATCCATTCTCCACTCAGATGGAACGGATAAAAACATTGGTGGATGTAAAAAAGCATGTCTTCCCTCAGCGCTTTATTAAAGAGATGCCAAATGAGGTTTGTTGAATCATAATTATTTGATTTCCTTCCGACAATTTGAATAATGGTGAAGACATTTATTAGATTTTTTTTGTCTTTATTATTTGTAAACAGTTGTCTATGTACATGTACATATAGGTTACAGAGCTTACGATACATGTACAGTAGCTATGGGGGGTACAAATTATATCTTTCGCTATATCATTTGCATTTTTGAATGTCTATTTCATTGCAGTGCAGTGTCTTCAAAATCTCTGATTGATTTGTTGATATTGTTTTCTGGAGTACATGTTGAATAATCAATTTTAGTGCATTTTATTACAAATTAGATACTGTTTGAAAAATGCAAATAATGATCAGCTGCTTTAAAATGAGCTGTCCAGTTATGTGTTTATGTATGTCATCTTATTATGCCATTCATTTTCATGTTTATACATATTATGTTTCAGAGTAAATTTGTAAAGTGGCTATTAGCCTTAAAGTCCCATGAACGGCCTACTACATCTCAGATATTAGATAGTGAACTACTAAAAGACTTTGCATGCCGTAGAAGTTCAAACAGATTTCGCAGTAGAACAATATCGGATGATAGTTCATCATCAGTTAAAGCTTCCTGAATTAACATTTTCATTATTCATTTTCATGTAATTATTGTACCATAAATTATCCTAGTTACTGTTATTTATATTGTTATATTACAGATGTAAATATTGTTTATTTTTCATACAGTGATATAGAACACTAAATGGGAAACCTGGAGTATGTTATCGTTAAGCTGTTCCATATTAAGAAATCAATGGCTATTTATTATTTATCTCAACATTCCTTAATTAGGGTTCAGATTACTAGTATTGTAAGTAAATATTTGCATCATGAAAAATTTTGCTTGTTTAATTTTCCTGAATCTCAATATTGCATGGGTTCATAAGCAGTTGAATATGGTATATTCGATTTTTACGTCTTTAATTTGTTTATTTAACTAATGAATTATTGATTGTTTAATTTTGTTTTTTGATATAGTATTTTTGAGCTAAATATTCCTGAATATTGACTTGGATTAAACAGAATTTTATAATTTAACTAATGAATTATTGATTGTTAAATTTAGTTTTTTGATATAGTATTTTTGAGCTAAATATTCCTGAATATTGACTTGGATTAAACAGAATTTTATACCTTTTGAGTTAATGGCTAATGTTAAGCAAAGTCAGCTATCAGGAACAGAGGATTCTGACTTCAGTTTATTTTTAAGTGTGCCATAATATTACTGTGCCATTTGCCTGTATAATTGGTAGACAAGTTTGTCTGATTCGGATAAGACCCTGTGTGGTGCTAGCACCATGGGGTAGAAATCAAGACATGTACAATGTACTTTCTGGAAAGGTTACATAACTAGACATTTCTGATTGAAAATTTATGAACCAAGTGCTTGTGATAATAGTGATTTCACTCTTTAATATAAATTATTGTCCATGCTAATGTACCATACTGCCATTATGTATGTGAGAGAAAAATTCAATGTATAAAAATGGAATAAAAACCTCAGGTGTTGATATTTATTTGTTAATTCATTAGTTAATAAATATTTAACAAATTGTGGTATTATGAAATAGCAAAGTAAGATGTTTTTTCTAATTGGTGATTACTGAATTGGAGAAATGAAGCTCTAATTTCTTCGAACAATGGCTGCAGTCTTTCTCTGTCTGTCTTAAAGTCTGTATCATATGAGGGTTGAACTGTGAAGCAAGATCCACTTCCAACAAATGACATTTGACTGAAAAGAATAATAAATAAATTAAATGTCATAAAAGGAGTCAAAATTTAGCGACTATAGCAAAAATGCAATTGTTATCGTAAAATGCAATATATCTGAGAAGAGAGATCATAATGGAAGGCTGTTGAAGTGGGGGGGGGGGGGGCAAAATGGTCTAACTTGTGATCATAAGGTATGTTAGTGAGTCAAGTGGCGTGGTTTTGATTCCCAGCTGTACGTGACAAGGAGTAGGATCGTCTGTCAAACTTCGTGGGTTTTCCCCGAACCTCCAGTTTTCTTGCTCTGCTAAAGACCCCTATGTGCAAGCGAAGTATTGAAATAAAATTGAACTCATATGTTTGTTTGATATGTGGATGTTCAACCCCATACTCTCCACAATGAAATTGGTTAATTGTGTGTACCGGTCAACTAGCTTAGAAAAAGTGATTTTGGTCAAATATTGAAGATTACCTATTGACTTGCAAAGGCTAGCTTAGAAAAAGTGATTTTGGTCAAATATTAAAGGTTACCTATTGACTTGCAGAGGGAGGTCTTTAATTCGTTCAACTGCTTGTTGATATCTTCTATCTGTGATATAGCCTCTGTGTGATTATATGCAAAATTACCTTCTCTTGGATTTTCACTGTTTTCCCTAGCATGAAAAATATTCATTAAATGGCACCAAGTCAATTTGATTACATGAACATTGATATACATGTAGTCTACTAAAGAGAAAACAATTTATGAACACAAGATGTATGTCATAGCATATGATAATGTGTGCATAGTTTTTTCCCCCTTAATTCAACATTCCCCATACAGCATCCTGTTACTGACTAATTCTGTGACTATCCTGTAGGCCTATGCAGAGGAAATGAAGTAAAATTTAAGTCCTACTCTTCTGCGCCAACGGGGCAATTTTGCGCCCCAAGCGAACAACGAGGTGCTTTTTCTAGCCACACATGGGGGAAACCACAGTCATTCAGTACAATGCCATGAATCATGACACAGTTTAAAATAATGCAAATTAACTGTCCCAGGGCCAGATATAGGCGGAGGCCTAAATTCATCAATTCAAATTCGTCTGGTTTAGCAGTAATACTGTGTAATGGTTGGATGTGAACTTTTTATTTTATAAACTATTCATTGCCCTGCTAATGTGTTGGGAGGAGAACAAGTTTACATGGATGATTCCAACATATTCTCTGTTGACATAGTTCTTCTAGGTTCACACTTGACAGCTCGCTTTGTTATGAATTTGAGAATTCGTCTGCTACAATGCTTGGCACGTGACAAAACGTGAAAGAAAATATTTTTAAGGCTTTTAGAAAATTGAAATTTAATTTAGAAAAGTTTCAAATATATCTCATTAGATCTACTTTGGTCAAAATATTAAGCAATATTCATTGAAAATGATACACGAAAAAAAACCAAAAAAAAAACCCTGAGAAAAATGCAAAACACGTGACATTTTTTGTGCTACTGCTATGGCGGAAAGACAAAGATTTTGTATCATTTTGAAGATAGAAAATTAAAACCTGTAAGACCAAGAAAAACTAGGCTTAGTGGTAAATTTAATGGCAATTTGACTTATATTTCAACAGAGGGGTAATTTGTTTAGGTCTTGCCGTTTATGTTTCTAACAGTTTTTGTGACATCCACGACCTCCTCGGGCACAAATTTGGAGAGGCTAACAGAAGGCGAGTCGGCTTAGAAACATCGTCGATAGTTAGGATGGCGCAAAATTTTGAAATAAGATGATATCGATGGTCTTCACACAATGATTTATAATCACAGTTTTGATTTACTTTAAAACTACAAATCATAATGTGGTCTCTATCAAGAAGTTTACTGTTCACAATCTAAGAAATCCAGATATGATAGTTTGTCAAAAAGGATAAAACAATTAATACATATTATGATATAGGTACCGTCTTGGCAGTGGGCTCAGATTTTAACGACCATAGTTAAACAGACATTATATAAAAGCTAAATCAGCCTAGCATTGCCAGTCTATCTTTGGGCCTTAAATGTTATATAAATTACTAGACATACATGTATATTAACATGACAAGACCACAATCGATGCTATTGGATGGTTCTGATTTTTCCGATTGTTAACTTTCCATTTATTAGTAGTAACATTCCAATATCACCAGCTTATGGAGTGTTTGTGTCTCAACTAGTTCGTTATGCGAGAGCTTGTTCATTTTATTCTGATTTTTTAAGTAGATCGAGGCATTTGTAATGTAAGCTTCAACTACAGGGATACTTGCGAACTAAACTTATTAAAACCTTTAAAAAGTTTTATGGACGTCATATTGACTTGATTGGTAAATATAACATGTCTCTCTCGGCTATTATTCTAGATATATTTAATTGACGCGTATACAATCTCCCTGATAATGTCTGTCTACTAAATCGTTAACACTGTTCATCACATGCATTTTGGACACCAATAGTCCATTGGCCAATCACGCTATTTTACCAAGATTTGGCCTAATAGTTTGGATGCAGATATGGCGGGTGTGGCGCCAGGCAGGGTAAGCTTACTCTTCCGGACACCTGTTACCACTGTTTGTCGTGTATTTTGTACACCGTGAACAGTCCATATGCTGATTACACTATTTTGCCTTATAACACTATTTTGCCTATACCGTTTTTTTAGGACCTTGAATTTTGTCTAATTGTTTGGATTGTTCGTACTTGGTTTTATTTTATTAGAACGGTTTGGGCATTTAACGATTTAATTTAAAATGGAGAACCAGTACAGTGGTTACGATCAATGCACACATCTTGTCAAAACTACAACCATTATAACTTTGCTCAAAATAATGAAATTTGAATGAAATTTTTAATATATTTAGTTTGCATTACCGGTATCTATTTTATACGCCCACATTTTTATGTTTGTGTTCCCTGCTTCTAAGCTATTGATTGGAAGTTTCTCACGTTTTTATGTGATGTATATTGTCCATCCACCCACAGTTTGTTTGTTGACTGTCTACAGGTCACAATTTTTATCCAATTTTGACGAAACAAATATAGGTTTGTCTCCCAAAGATCTCAGTTACTCTTGTATCAGACTGTAACTTTATGGATTATGGCTCCAGATTGTAGAGGTCACAATTTGTGTCCGGTTGTGATGAAACTTGAAATGTATGTTTATAACCTACAGATTTCAGTTCCTTTCAATATTTGTGCATATTGGACTGTAACTTCCTGGATTATGGACCCTGATTGTACGAAAAATCACGTCTTTAGCTTGTGGATGCTCTAGTAGAGGTCACAATTTGTGTATCTGATTTTGATGGAACTTGAAATGTATATTTATAACCTACAGATCTCAGTTCCTTTTGAAATTCGCCCATATTGGACCATAACTTCCTGGATTAGGGTTCCTGATTGTACGAAAAGTCATGCTTTTAGCTAGTTATACCTCTAGAGGTCACAATTTTTAACTTATTTAAAAACATTTGAATAAATAACCACAGTCGAGTTTGAATTTCATGAAAATCGGACCAAAACTGTTGGACAAAATGGACGCTCCATGTACCCAAATAATGTTAAAGATACATTCGTTAAAAGGGACATAACAATTTATTTTTTGGGGGACTCAAACAACAGATTTGATTTTGAACCATGTGGAACCACTTTTCTGAACAGTTCAAAATGTTTTGATATCATTGGCTTAGTAATGATTAATCTAGAGTATCTTGACCGGCATATATAGTTATATATTTTTTTTTTCTTTTTCATATGAAGTAAGTGTATTAAATACCATATTGTATAATCATCAGAAAACAAAGATGAGTAGAGAAGATAAACGCGAAACTCTTCGTGATCATTTGAAGAGTGGATACAAAAAAATTAACTTGCTCAATGCTAAAACGAGAAAAGTGAAGGCAGCACAAGGTTTTGTGATGATGAAGAGAGATAAGATAATAAGAGAAATGGAAGAAACACTGGGTAATCTTTATAAAGGAATTGAACAAATGAAAACAAAATTTGAAAAAGATTTGAGTTATGTTGTTGAAGAGAAAATAGCAGAACTGGATTCCGAATTTGAAGAAATTCAAGAAGATATCTGCATGTTGATGGAAATATGTGTAGAATCTGAGAAAACTTTGAAGATGGGAAATGAGGATTTGTTACATAAACATAGTAGTGCTTTGGTCAGTTCATTTAACATGTTGTTTGAGTCTGATGAATGTTCGGTTGTTGATTATGATCAAATGATTGTCATGGATTTTAGAGCTAATAAACTAACAGAACTGTTATCCAAGAAAGGCTTAGGTTATATAGTTACTAGTGAGGGTGAACAGTATCCCCCAACTTCTGACAATTTGGTCGATGTGTCTACCCAGGTGAATGGTGTCGTCAAACACACTGATGCGACTACACAAACTTTTACTATGAACTTTAATCAGAATATCATGCGTCCCCCATTAATACAAAACCCGTATACATATATTAATCCTAACAGTATGTACATGGCAAGACAGAATTATACGCCTTATATTCCTGCTGGCAGTAATTACTATACAGGCCAATCCTTGATATCCTCTATGAATCATCCATTAAATATGAACAGTAATAATCTTGGCAGAAATCGTTTGATGAAGCCAGCATTTCCTCTTCCTATGTATTGCCCCCCTGTACCTGTTCAAACTGAAAAACAACAACAGACAGAAGTTGAGGTTAATCCTGTGTTACTGAAGCCAACATTTCCTCTTCCTGATCAAACTGCAAAAACACAACAGACAGAAGTTGAAACAAATAATATACCTGTGACAAGAGATTATATGGCTGATATACAAAAGCTTTCATCAGGAGACAGATACAGACCTTTGTTTTCCACTGATTTGTCAAATGGAAATTTTACTTCACCAAACAAGCAGACAGTGGCACTCTCGCCTACAGCTGATAGTCAGAGAGAAAGATGTCCATCTACATCTAGTACCACAAGCAATCATAGTACAACAACAGATGTTGTCAAACCAAAAGCAACCAAAGAGGAAAAAGCGCTAAGCCAGTATGAGGAATCAAGATCTAAAAGACCTCCACGATTACCAGGAGCAAAAACAGTTGATAGATTGATGAATTCTGGTGTGGTTACAGGTAAAGTAAAGTTGCTACCATCTTCATCTCCTCTCTTACAGGACGATAAAAAGTGTATCAAATCTAGAGCATTTAGTGTTAGATTTTCTCCAACTTCTATTAGTTGCAGCATGCCAGAAGCTGGTGAAAATCCAGCCAGATCTTCATCAACCGATTCCTTAAGCCAAAATATTCAGGAACTAAAAGATCTTCAAAGTTCTTGTCCAAAGCCAATCTCTACATCAACTCCATTTTCATGCAGTAAAAACAATTCTATTGTACCCAAACATACCAGTTACGATTCTGCCAACTGTGATTCCAAACCAGTGGTATTAAATCTTGCTGATGCGAGTAAGACAATTACTTTCAGTGGTGAACATGATGCAAATCAAAACTTTGTGAAATCAATTAAATCTGAAGTTGTTTCACCAACATGTTTTAATGATAAACATAGTCAAATTAGTGATGTTAACTTGCCTAATAAAGATGCCAATGAGTCCTGGGATGAAGAACTAGTCATTATTAAGGAAGAAATGGTTTCTGTTGAGCTTGAACACATATCTAAAAATCCAAATACCGTAAATTGTTCAAGCAATTCTGATCAACTTAAGGAGAAATCTCGAACTGTATCTGGTAACGATAGTGGTATATCTCAAGATATACATTGTACTGGTACATCTAATCCTGTAGAGGCCTGGGATCAAGAAATAGAGATGGGAAAAAGCAACACTGGGAATTTTAACAAGGCATTTAATCCGGAAGATATTGCACCTAGTAAACCCAAAGAAATTAAGGGTTTTGGTTCGAGCAGATCACAGATAAATGTAAAATCGGACACGGGACCGTCTAAAAGTATAAACCTGACTCAGTTTAAATCTTTATTTGAAAAACATATAGAATCTAATGACAGTGTACCAAAATCTGGTCACAGTGTTGGCAATGGAGCATCATATCATGTGGATTGCAATGATAAGGCTAAAAGTGAGGTGAGTAAGACTTTACATTTTTATACGCCCACATTTTCATGTGGACGTATTATGCCGTCGCCCCTGTCCGTCCGGACGTCCTTCCATCCGTCCGTCCACAATTGTTTGTGGTCACTCTACAGGTCACAATTCTTATCTGATTTCGACGAAACTTGAAACATAGGTTTATCCCCAAAAGATCTCGGCTGCTTTCGATATTGGCATGTATCGGATCGAAACTTCATGGATTATGGCCCCTGTTTGTACGAAAAATCACGTTTTTAGCTTGTGGACCCTATAGAGGTCACAATTTTTATCCGATTTTGTTGAAACTTGAAATGTAAGTTTATAACCCAAAGATCTCAGTTCCTTACGATATGTGCGCATATCGGACAGTAACTTCCTGAATTATGGCCCCTGATTGTACGAAAAATCACGTTTTTAGCTTGTGGACCCTATAGAAGTCATAATTTTTATCCGATTTAAAAAACCGTTCTATTATATCACCGTTACACCCTAAGGATGACTGAGTTCGAATTTCGTGAAAATCGGCCCAAAATTGACAGACAAAATGGCCGCCATTCGTTCCCAAATAGCGTAAGAATATGGTATATCAAGGTTGTGGACCCTATAGAGGTCACAATTTTGATCCGATTTTGATGAAACTTGAAATACATATTTATAACCCAAAGATCTTGGTTCCTTTTGATATTCGCACATATTGGATCATAACTTCCTGAATTATGGCCCTTGATTGTACGAAAAAATCACTTCTTTTTTTGAGCTTGTTCTCTGTGCATCTCTTGCAAAATGTGGGCGTATCTTGCATGGCAACCGCTTGTTATCTGATTTTTTTGAAACTTGAAATGTAAGTTTATAACCCAAAGATCTTGGTTCCTTTCGATCTTCAAGCATATCGGACCATAACTTCCTGAATTATGGCCCCTGATTGTACGAAAAATCGCGTTTTTAGCTTGTGGACCCTATAGAGGTCATAATTTTTATCCTATTTAAAAACACGTATGATTATATCACCGTTACACCCTAAGGAAGGTTGAGTTCGAATTTCGTGAAAATCGGCCCAAAATTGACAGACAAAACGGACGCCATTCGTTCTCAAATAGCGTAAAAATATGGTATATCAAGGTTGTGGACCCTATAGAGGTCACAATTTTTATCTGATTTTGTTGAAACTTGAAATGTAAGTTTATAACACAAAAATCTCAGTTCCTTTCGATATTCGCGCATATTGAATTGTAATTTCCTGAATTATGGCCCTTGATAGTAGGAAAAATCACTTTCTTGTTAGCTTGTTCTCTATCCATCTCTCAAAAATGTGGGCGTATCCTGCCTGGCAGCCGCTGGTCATTCAGTGGAAATGTGATCATATACTGCTGTCGCCCTTTCCATCTGTACACAATTTCTTGTGAACAACCTACAGACAACGTTTGTCATCTGATTGTTTTAAAATTGATATGTTGTTTACATTAGTGAGATGAAGAAGCCTAATTAATGTGAACACTGTAAGAGTCTTAACAACAAAATTTATTATCATTTCAGCAATTTCCTTGAATTACGTCTAGGGCTATGGCCCTTGTTTCACTTTGTTGAACCTTGTGAATGCTCTAACCACTTAAGTTATCCTCTGATCTGTATTGAATTTATGTGCATTATTTCAATCATCAAAACCAAGAATTCTATGGAATTTCAGCAATTTCTGTTAATAACTTCTAGAGTTATGGCCCTTGTTTCACTTTGTTGAACTGTGTGAATGCACAGTCGACAAAAGTTATGAAATTTATATGCATCATTTAAATTGGTGAAACGAAGAAGCTTTTTGAGTTTACGGCCCTTCATTTACTTTGTTGAACCTTGTGAATGCTAGAATGACAAAAGTCATCCCCCAATCTGTATGAAATTTATATGCATTACCGTATTTGAATTAGTAAAATGAAAAAGCCTGTCGAATTTCAACAATTTCTGTAAATTACTTCTCGAGTTTAAGGCTGTTGTTTCAGTTTGTAGAACCATGTAAATCCTCAAATGACAAAAATTATATTTGAAATTGTCTTGTGAATTCCCCCCCTATTGCCCACAAAAGAATAAATACGCGACAACCCTTGTCGACCGCCCAGACAATTTAGCTGCTGTGGGCCATGGGTGTATATTTTGTTGCCTGGCAACCTATCTTTACAATTTGTAAATTGTTTTGTAAATTTTTATACGCCCCTGTCCGGCCGCCTGGCCACAATTTGAAGATACTCTATGACAGGTCACAATTCTTATCCGATTTTGACAAAATTTGAAATACAGGTTTATCTTCAAAAGACCTTGGTTCATTTTGATATTGGCATGTATCGGATCGAAACTTCATGGATTATGACCCCTGATTGTACGAAAAATCATGTTTTTAGCTTACATATATAACCCAGAGTTCTTGGTCCCTTTCGATATTTACGCATATTGGATCGTAACTTCCTGAATTATGGCCCCAGATTGTACGAAAAATCACGTTTTTAGTTAGTGGTCCCCCTGGAGCTCACAATTATTATTTGATTTTAAAAAACGGTCGAATATATCACTGTTACACCGTAAGGAAGGCGAGTTAAAATTGCGTGAAAATCAGACAAAAACTGCCGGGCAAAATGACCGTCCCTTGTATGCAAATAGTGTAAAATATGGTATCAAAGTTGTGGACCCAGTAGAGGTCACAAGTTTGATCCAATTTTGACGAAACTTAAAATACGTGTTTATAACCCAAAGATCTTGGTTCCTTTCCATATTTGTGCATATTGGATCATAACTTCTTGAATTATGGCCCTTGATTGTACGAAAAAACGCGTTTTTAGCTTGTGCTCCCTCTAGAGGTCACAATTTTTATTCAGTTTTAAAAAACTTTTAAATTTATCCTCGTTACACCCTAATGACGGTTGAGTTCCAATTTCTTGAAAATCAGACAAAAACTGCCTGACAAAATGGCAGCTCATTGTACGCAAATAGTGTAAAAGTATGCCATACTAATATTTTGGCCGCTCTAGAAGTCACAATTGTTATCAGATTTTGATGAAACTTAAAATATATGATTATGTCCCAAAGATCTCGGTTCCTTTCTCTAATTGTGCATATCAGACCATAACTTCCTGGATTATTGCCCCTGATTATACAAAAATTCAAGTTTTTTTACCTTGTGGATTCTCAAGAGGCCATAATTTTTTTTATCCGATTTCAAAAACCGTTTAGATATATCATCATTCCACCATAATGAGGGTTTAATTCGAATTTCGGGAAAATCGAAATGGAACTGCCCGATAGAATAACCGCTCTTTCTACACAAATTGTTTAAAAGTATGTAATATGAAGATTGTTGACCTGCTGGAGGTCACAATTTTTATCCGAGTTTGGGGAAACTTAAAATATATGTTTATGTCCCAAATATCTCATTCTCTTTCAGTATTCGCACTTTCCAGACCATAACTTCCTGGATAATGGCCCCTGATTGTCTGAATAATCACTTTATTTTTTTTTAACGTGTTCTCTATCCATCTCTTGCAAAATGTGGGCGTATCTTGCCTGGCAACAGCTGGTTAAAAAAAACAAAGAATATGTACATGTAAGATATGTCTATGTCTGTGGATATGATTACAGACTTCATTGTGGAAACCAAGAGAAAAAAAGAAAACACAACCTCAACCTTCAACAAATTTCTGTGTTTATACTCAACATAAGAACTCAAAAGGTAAAAATATCTATCTTAAAATTAACCCACATGTATACTGTTTGTATTGATAGGTATTATCTGTTAGAGCTCATTGTATCATGCCTGTAGCATTATTATATGAATTTATTCAGTTGTTGCATTTGGTGTATCTTGTTTAGAGAGTACTTACATGTATATAAATAAGCTTACATAATAAAAAAATTTATTGTAGAAATAACTGCTAGCCTGCTTTATAAGATGGGTAAACCAGGGCATGGTGCTTCTTTTACCGATATATTAAATTTTCCTATTGGTCTTACTGTGAACAGTAAAAAGGATATTATAGTGAATGATACATCCAATCATGTTGTGAAGATATTTAGACAAGATTCACTCATCTCTGTAATGGGGTTAGGGGTAAGTTTCTGATTATACATTTATCTAAGTGCATAAAAAGTGTAATGTCTAATTAGCGTAATTCCAGGCGACTTTTTTTGTGAACACTCTTGTGAATTTGCAGGGATGCTTCATGTGGTCTTAAGGAAGAAATTTTTCCTCCATTTATTTTCTGAAGAAACCTATTTAAATTTTCCATCACATATCATGGAGTTAAATGTACATATATTAAGCATAGCTGATTGGTATGTATGGTGTCCTGACAAGACTGTGTATATGATTCATATCGTTGAATTTATCACCTATAATCTATACTAATATTTGTGACTGTCATTTCTCTGGTTGTTTGGGGTTGGCTATGTCTGGTTGTTCGGGGTTGGCGGCTGCTCTATGGCTGTTAAATTCTAAAACATTTTTTTTTATGTATTAGAGAAATAAATAATGATTGAAGTATTTGTAGGTAAAAATTATTTTCTATTTACATGTAGTGTAAATGGGTATTAAAATGAGTAATAGGCACCATTCTGCCCGAATGTGACCTCACGTGTTGAAGGCAGTCATCTTTTACAGAGATATTAGAAGACATTTGTAATTCTCTGTGAAACAGATTAGTTCGCACTGTGGAGTAACATAGGCTACGTGGCATTGGCCTACCGCTTCCGGTTTTGAAGTTAAACTATTTTCAACCTGTGCAGCGGCGGGTCATCTGCTAGTATTATTTATAATACCGTATGAATAAATTTTTGTTTTGAAAAGCATTTGGTATGGCAGTTTTATTACATCGAACGCTGAGCCAGTATTTGCTTCAGTTTTTACAACAGGTTTTTTGTGTTTAATTAATTTCATCCTGTGTCATTTATTTATTTTTAGGATGTACAGATGCAGAGACCATCAGCAGTAGTTGTTAATAAAACTGATGATGTTTTTGTGAAAGATAACTGTGCCATTCATGTATTTGATTCTAATGGCAAATTTAAATACACTTTTGGAAAAGATAAATTGAAGCAACCATATGGTGAACTATTTCATAACTCTCAGACTCTTTTCACTAGCCTCTGCCACCCAGACCGTTGCTGTCAATGTCCACTTCTATGGGTTATGTCCTGGATACTACTAATTTGAACACAAAAAGCATAAGTGGCCTGGTCTACTTCAGGAATTCTTTTTTCCAGATAGCTGATTGGTAGTAAATATTTGCCCTGGTCCATTATATGTTATACAATGTATATGGTAGTCACAATTAACCCAACTGTGTCTAAGAAATGATTTCACATTTTAAAACTTTTTAAATCCCCACATTTCATGCATATTGTCATCGCCTTGCGATTTTCAATAGTTACTCAGTTATAGCCCTTGATCACTTAAAAATCTTTTGGACTCACTAGTGGCTAAAGTAATTTTCAAATTGATCTGAAAGTGATACACATGTTATTGAGACGAAGAAGTCGAATTAATTTTCAATGATTTCTAATAACTTAAAAGGTAAATTCAAGCTCTGATTATCTGTACGATTTGTATCATGTTAGCATTATGAAGAAAAAGAAGCCATTTAAAATATTGATTATGTCTATTTCTGATGGTACTACTCTCAATTAGTTTTTAATGTCTTGTAAATGGGCTCATTACCCAACAGGAAAATAAATATTCTACAACCTTGTGATTTCTCAGATGACTTGCCTGTTGGGGGGGCATAATAATATGTTTCATTGCCTGACAACCTATCTGTCTAGCTAGCTAAATAAGTTCTCCCAAAATAAACAATCTTTGGGCTGATCTGAAAAGCTGCGAGATAACTGACATTGGAAATCTCAGTTGTATACTGAAACACGACTGTCTGGGCGAAATTCTCACTCTTCCATTGAAGACATAGCATAAAATAGTATCAAAATGACAAAGTATTGTGTTGACCCTATTCTTTTCCCTTCCCTTCATGTATTAAACCAGTTCTTGTAAGACAAAAGATACCGGTAGTTGTTAAATTATTAATGTTTTGTAATTCTAGGATTAGTCATGACAGAAGATGAAACATTATTAGTGTTAGACATACAGAGACCGTTGCCTTGTTTATATGAGTTTCATCAAGATGGTAAAATGGTAGCGTGTTATCCATATCAACCATTAGCACAATCACAACCTATGTCTAAATGTCGCTTTATGGCATATTATGCTGGTAATCTTCTTGTCAGTGATTTAGGTAATATTGTTGTTTTCTTTTTACTAAACTTATTTTCAGGTTTGCTCTGTTACTGTTAAAGGTGGTAAGGACAATACATTATCTTGTAGTGTAAAACTAAGGAGCAATAATTCCACCTACAATAGCTGACAAAGTTTTAGTAACTGGGTTCCTTATCAGGACTAGCAGAACAATTCAAGCAAGTTTGAAAAAAAAAAAATGATAACATTTAACTGAAGCATGTTTCTAAGATTACAGAGGCAATAACTCTAGACAAAATTGTGACAAGTGAATTTTGACAGGATTCCTCATCTATAAGCTGAACAGTCTTTGCAAGTTAAGTGACAACAGTATGCTCCCACATGAAATGTTAGAGTATAAAAAGATGTGTGTAGTGTGTACAGTACACGTCATAAGGGGGCAATAAGGTTTCAATAATATCTTCTAGATATCAGCGGTTGCCAAGCAAGATACGCCCACATTTTGCAAGAGATGTTTAGAGAAGACGCTAAAACGAAAACGTGATTTTTCATACAATCAGGGGCCATAATCCAGGAAGTTAAGGTCTGAAATGCACGAATATTGAAAGGGACTGAGATCAGTGGGATATAAAGATGTATTTTAAGTTTCATAAAAATCGGACAAAAATTCAACCTTTGTATAACATACTTTTACACATTTTGGGTACAAAGAGTGGCCATTTTGTCGGGCAGTTTCGTTTCTATTTTTCGGAAATTTGATCTTGACCTTCATTATGGTGTAACGGTGATGATATATGACCAGTGCTTGCAAACTGAGTCGCAAGGAGGAAATTTTGAAAATTGAGTTATTATTTTCACATTCTCCACCTCAATACGTTCAGATTGATGTATAGTTGGTATGAATCGTGCAAAAATTGACTGAGCTGTATGTGTTTTGAAGTTGCCTAAGTCAGAAAAGGTAGTTTTGAGAAAAAGCAAGTTAAAGATGTCAGTATGTTCTAAAGCAAAACCACGCCATAATATTTGTTAATTTTTTTCGTTTAATATTGGTGTTATAATTTAGAACAAAAGAGAATAGTCCATAGATTAGTAATCTAGGTTTTGTATATTATAACTTTTATGGAAATAACTTCTGTTAATCTCATCAATTAATTAGCACCTTAGTGTTAGCGCACAGGAGATTAAGATTGTTGATTGGGTAATCAAGTTTAGTCTTATCAAAGAAGCCGCCACATCTTTACGTGTGTTCTTTTAATGTTGGCATATAAAAAAGATTGGATATTAAAGAGTTTAGTAATGTTGAATTATTAATATCCTGTTTGTTATTTTTCACTACATATAATTTAGGAAGAAGTACAATGTATTTAACAAATAGAAAGGGTGAACTGATAACCCAGTTTAGTAGATATGGTAAAGCAGGAGGAGAATTTAATGAACCGTCTGGTGTAACAGTTGATTCTGATGGACATTGGATTGTTGCAGACAGTAAAAATCATCGCCTTCAGGTATACTGGACTGGTTTGGTGTTAGACAATAAGATGTATATTTCCAATACCAAATGATACCATGGTGACATTGCTATATCGATATCTCATTCAGTTAGTCATTTAAAAATCTGATACCGAATGGTGTGAGACAAGTTTGTTTAAATTTATAACCAAGATGTGTATCTTAAAAATACAAATAAATTGAACTGTAAAGAAAAATAATTGGCTGCTATTTACAAAATAGTTAGCTGTGATGTATTAAAACAAATTTTCAAAACAAAATGCAAAACAAGAAAACACTCTGTCAAGTGTCAGCCGGCATGATTAGAGTACCAAGTATAAAAGACAGTTCACATTTCTAGAAATACATTATCAATAGCTGTATATTGCACGATAAATTGTAAGTGGTGCTGCAAACTGCTTTGATGGCAGTTCAGAATCATTGTTATTATACAATAATAGTGTCTTGTTTGATGGAGCCAATGTGGCTAAGTGAGTCACATACTGGCTCGCTAGCCTGCAGGTCGTGTGTTTGATCCCTGCATTGACTGAGAAAGTTCATCAGGATTTTCCGGCATGGTTTCCCCCTTGTCAGTGGTGCAGAACAGAGGACCTGACAAGGACAACTCTCTAGTCGTTTGGATAGGATGGAAAAGCAAGGACCTGTGTATACATTGGCGTGCAATCGCTGTGCATGTAAAAGATCTCTAGGCAGTTGGAATTCGATGTAAGAGTACGTCATAGTGCCGCTGCCCGGGCAAAATTTCCCTCATAGCACACTGTATGGCGTATGCCTGTCTCCATTAGCCCAGTAGGATCAGAAAAGTAGGACTTGAACCCCATTTCATTTCGTATTGTTTGATACCCAATGATTTGTTTAGATTATATTGTTCAAGGTGATATGTATTTTTGTGTGGCTTGGGTTTTGGACAGACTATTTATATTTGATCAAATAAATTATTTTCAGGTGTTCAAGTCAAATGGTGATTTTTTAAGTGTTATAAAATTTAAGGAACCAATCATTCGTCCTTCAGATATTCATTTAACAGAAGATGGTACATTAATAGTGGCAGACTTTCTTGCCCATATGGTTAAAGTGTTCACATTGGAGAAGTCATAATTCAAGCCATAATTATTAAGACTTATGCAATAAAGCAGTGCTACTTAGTATTTAGTGCTATAAATTTCATACGCCCACATTCAGTATGTAAGCATGTATTGTTATCTGTGTCTTGGTTCATCCACATTCAGTTTGGACATATATTGTTATCACCTATGTCTGTTGGTGCATCCTCTGTGCACAATTTTTTTTTGTTTGAACACACTACGTACAAATTTGTGTTTAAATTTATTCGATACAATTTTTTCAAATTTGGTGACATTGTTCAATATGGAAAAAGCAAGAATCCTAATGACTCTACAAATTTTGAATTCTGGTGAAACCATTGTATTTTAATAGGATGGATGTAAAATAAATGAAGTATTGCATCCAGCAACTTCAAAATTATGTTCACCAGTCTATAATATATGGTTATATGTAAAACTTCATTTTATTTTGTTTATTTGAAAAGGCTTTAAAAGAAATTGAAGCAGTTATTTATTTTTATCATTCTATCAAAGATGTCATTACTCATTAATTAAAATAATTTCACCATCCATATCGTCTTCGTGTCATACTTTATAACTTTTAAAGTCCTATTTATTAATAAAAAGTGGTTGCCATGCAAGATATGCCCACATTTTCCAAGAGATGGAGAGATAACTGAAACTGATAGGGCTCCTCCACAAATTGTACCAATGAAAAATCTGTAAAAACTTGAGCTTCTATAACAGTCGCAAGGGACAGGGGTTAACTTCACTCAACAACTGCTGAACATCAAGTTCAGAAGGTTTTTCTGCAAAGGAGGCGTATATTCAGAATGGAAGGTCTGATTCACACCAATATCAAATTTGATCAAAATCTTTTGATCTGGAACACATACTTAAATCTTATTTAAAACCGACAAAATCATTGCCTCTGGAGGGGTCAAAATCTTGGTATACGCATAGGTGTTCAAGCGGGGGGACATCTGACTTTTTGGGCAGACGGGTAAAGTGACAATATATTATTTTGTCTAGTTGGCAAAATAAAGTGCTGGAAATCTAATTTTACTTTTCTTTTAATTGAATACAAAGAATTTGTACTGAATTGACTATGGATTAAAACATTTTGTACAGAGCCACTCTACTTTGTGCCAAATTTTTCCGGCATCGATTATTATTTTTTAATGCAGCTGCAACAGTCTGATTGGATGGTTGGAATTTGACAACTTTGAAGCTGCTTAACTCCTGGACTAGAATAGCAGAAAAACGCATCTCTGGTTGTTGTTCATAAACAGTAATCAAAATTGAATAAAAATCTTTACTGCTACAGGCTCTACAAGCTTTGTAATTTTCATTTTCGTACGATCAGGCAATGTAATCCAGGAAGTTATCGTCCGATATTTGCTAAAGTTGAACTTATCCCTGATCTTCACATATATTTCACGTTTCAAGCAATTCCGAGATCAAACCAAGACCTGGTTGGTGAGCCAGTGCCATTCTTCCTATGTTCCAGATCTATGCTGGTAGAGAAAAAGGACAGATTATAATATTGAATCCAAATTTAATAATTTTGGGGAAAATTAAGTCTTTAACAAAGTGGATTTTATTAGAGTAAAATATACAAAATTACATGTCACAAGTTTTAACACACACATATACATTCCATAAACAAACAACTGAATAACAAATACTGGTGATAACTGAATATTAGAAATGGTATTTAACATTGTAATAACATGGTTTCGAATTGGAAAAGACCCAAGAATTCCCCCTTCTGTTCACCAAATTAACAAAATCTGTTACTGGTAATAATTGCAACCTGTAAAGTATTTACAGACAAAAAATTAACAAACAAGTCAGTGTGGTACTACACCCCTGGAGGTCAGGACATGCACCAAAATAAAGAATTGCTATCCTTACAATATAAGGAATATGATCCATTCAGAATTACAGCCTGTAGACAAAAAGCATAAAAATTGTGTGTGGCTCTGCCCCTGGGGGCTGGACATGGTCCAATATAAATAGGTACAACCCTATGATGGATCATGCCGAAATGGAACCAGATCTGCTAATAATGCAACCTGTGGATTTATTTACATACAAAATATTAACAAAAAGGTGTGACACCGCCCAAGGGGGGCAGATCATGCACAAAAATCAATAGTTGCCATCCATGATAATCCATTCAGAATTGTGGTCTTCATGTGCTAAAAACAAAAATTGGGCGTGGGTCGGGACATGCACTAAAATCAATAGTTGCCGCCCTTAAGTTCTAAGGAATACATATGCCAAGTTCCAAGATGATCCATTCAGAATTGCGGCCTGTATGCGATAAACACGAAAATAGGACATGGCTCCTATAGGACATGCTATCCTTAGTCTATAAGGAATACATATTATGTCAAGTTCCAAGATGATCCAAAAGACACACACACACACAAAAATGGGTGTGGCTCTGCAAAAATTGGGCCTAGCTCTGTGCCTGGGGGTCGGGCATGCACCAAAAATAATAGATGTCATCCCTAGGGTATAAAGAATAAGCCTGAAAAGTTTTCAAGACGATTATTAAGAAGTTCGTCCTGTTGGCAACACACAGACATGCAATGAGAAAATGGGTGTACATTCACTTGTTTTTATTCATTCCATACTTGGTAATGCACAGACTTTTTCAATATTTTTTCGTTTTCTCTTTTCTAGTGACAGTCAATTTCTGTTTTTAATTGTCAGATATCCTTTCAGTCTCATATAACAACTTTTGATCTTCGAAGGAATTATTAGTGAGCAGAAATTCGCCCATGTATCTGTTATCACTCGTCACTTCAGTCAGTTATATAGAAGGGTAACTTGTGTTTACCTTTTGCGTTCGTCACTTCGTTAGTTGAACCCTTGATTACGCATCTATCATAGCAATGATCTCTGTGTTAAAATTATATTTGGAATGTGTTAAACCAGTTCAATCACATATGTGATAATAACTGACACCAATATTGTCCTTTAAACCACTTTTCCCTATACAGTTTAATTATATGTACAACACAACCATTATGTAAAATAACATACATGTAACATCACAGCAAATAACATAGCACATTTTTTTAATGATAGGCCAAGATGTTGGACAAACAATTTACAAAAACATAGAAACTAAATGTTGACCGTAAAAGAGATGTTACTGTCTGAACCATCGTAAATTTAAACAGATTTCTTCGATTATGAACAAACTACTTAACTTTGGTTATTATAAGCTAACCTGTGTGTTTGAAATCAACTCGTGCTAAATAAAATTCATTGCACAATTAAATATTCTAACGAATAAAAAAAGTTCTCCCTTGAAAAATTTGACTATTTACTTGTAATTTCGACTGAGTGGAAGACAACATGGCTTTCGTCAAGTATTGGGTGAAACCAATGATGTTTTTGCGGGGGGTGGTTTAACTTTGACAGATCCATGTGTTGCAATCAAAACAAAGCATGATCGTCTGAGTTTGGGCAACGAAAAATATCAAATTAAGGCAATTACATAGAAGATTTATATTGAAACCATTTCACAGATACTCATAATAATAAAGTCATATATTATATATAACCTAAAACTTTCCTATCTTTATATTATCAATAATTCAACAAGCAACATGAAGTTCACATCCAACATTTCTGAGTGTATTGTTACTTTGATAGCCTGTAAGACCTTGTAAGAAGGGTAACATTACTTCCAGATTCAACAGTTTTGATACGGAAAACTATCCAGTCTGTATTTCTTGCAACATTTATGTAGGTTTATCTTGTCGGTTTTCTTTTGCATGTAGTGATGTCCTCCTGCACTTACTATTAAAGGAGCTAAACCTTTCCATAACATTTAAAATTAAACACAAATTATAATTCACAATTGGGTCCACTTCAATCAATATTCATGTTGTTATCTTGACGTGAAAATATGCGATCCTTCTATCCAACAGTTAAGACACAATTAACATTTTATAATCACTACAAGAGGTTGGTATTTTAAAATCCATTTCAGTTAATTCCATATCTACCCGGTATTTGAAATATATGTAATTTTAGATAATTCTATTTTTGAAAGTTTGAATTGAAAGGGGGCTTTAAAGAAATAAAATACAAACTCGAATGATTCAACACTTTTTATGGTTTACTTTCTTGAATTTTATCCAGTTCTCAACTATCTAGACAACTGTGCTCTGTACTTAAAGAAAAAAATATTATAATTTCTCAAACCCACCTGCAAAGGGTATTAAAAGAAATTGGGTTTAAGTTATATAATGCACATAGTTAAAGATATGTCATTGTTTTTGTGCCGCATGTCAAAATTCTCTCATCTGAGTCTCTAATCAAATATTTCAAATGGGGAAAGCTATAAACATTGCAGAGATTTTACTAGAATGTAAAAGACGGTAATAAAGTAAAGGAAGCAGTTATGTGTGTAAAAGCTCAAACTCAATCCTGAGCCGAGACTTATTGCTTTTTCTTGTACAAAACTTGAATTGTCGTAAAAGTACTGAAAACCGGTTTAATGTGGTATATGCTGTCGCCCCTTTATACGAAATGATACCTTGGTATTGCGTGAAGGTTCAAGTTTGTGGGATTTCAATTTTTCAAGAAGGAACTTTTTTAATCGTTGGGATATTTAATTGTGCAATGGATTTTATTTAACAGGAGTTGATTTCAAACATGCAGGTAAGTTTATAATAACCAAAGTTAAGTAGTTTGTTCATAATCCGTTCAAAATTTACGATGGTTCAGACAGTAGATGTTCTGCATAAAAAACTTGAAATATATATGTAACACTCAAAGGAGGCATTCCTTTGACAATTAAAATATTATCTAAAAATTGCCTGGAAAAAAATCATGTGGCAAATGGGCTTACAAATGCAATTTGCCAATAGTTCCCAAAGCATCCGCCAGACATTACTTGGGGTTCTTGAGCATTCATGGTCAGTCATCTATTAAGAAATCGTACGTCATTCTTATTGATGGCAAAGTATTTCAGGCGCGTGTCAAGGGGAGGGGATGGGAGGTCCAGAGTGTCAGGACCCCCCACCCCCATGTCAAGCCTATACAAGAGAGACCCAGGAGAAAGTCTATACATTTAAAAGAATTAATTTTCTTCAGAAATGGCCTCAGATGCAGGGATATCGACTTCAACTTTCAAAATTTTCTGGGGGGAGAAGCCCATACACCCCTCGAAGATAGTAGCATTAAGCAGTGAAAATGTTCTGAAAAATGCAATTATAAGTTGATCAGGCAGTAGATGAAAATAAATTTCACAGATTAATATATTGATTCTTTCAGCCAAGTCTTGCTTTTGTAACGTTCAGTAACTTTATGTATGACAGCACTAAATGATCAATTTTTTATATACATTTTTTATCTTCTATTTTTAACTTTACTACCTAGTTTTGCTTTTTTATTTGGAGGTGTATTATGTTGACTTGTGCTTGGCCAGATATCGCGTTTATTAGTAGAAACTTGTGGATCTTGCTGACTTGTTGATGGTGTATTAGAAACAGATGATTGATTTTCTTCATCACTATCATTGTCATTATCACCATCGCTATCCTCAACACCACTATTATTCTCTTTTTCTCCGTCATCATCACCATGATTATCTTGATCGTTTTCAACATCCTAAAATATTCAATTATTATATACTTATGCAATCATCAATCCAGTAGCAATTTCTGCCATGCTTTCAACAAATTTTATTATGGAGGATTTGTCAGATGCCTAAGATATTCAAATATATAAGAATTCTTTTTAGACACTCCAATATCTCCTTTAAATTTGATGAAACTTACAGGATAAATTGCTTACTACTGCAACTTCATACATCGAGAACAGATCTCCACCCTAATTGGCCGCCATATCCAACAATTAGTATATTGTTTAGTATTAGTCTATTCCATTTTACATCTGTCATACACACGAAGACTAAATAAACTTTTTCGATTTTATTAAATGGAAGCAAAATAAATACTTATTTTCAACTAAAATCAATTATTTAGGAATTAAAAATGTCGGTCTACTAGCTTAGTGTCTGTTCTCAAGCAAAGCTAACTGTAGACAGACAGCCTGAGGTTAGTATGTAAAAAGCTAGAAAACTGATACGACTGACCATCTATACAGTACCAGTATAGTTAAATAAAAACTTGGTTCAATGTTTTTCTTTACGATAAAATAATAATTTACCTGTGTAGGATCCTCATCTGAATTTGATGAAGAAGAATCGGATTGTTCATCTAACACAGCTTGTACAGCGGCTTTATTTATACGAAAATCACGAGCTGTGCTCATCTTTACATTATCCATTAAATTTACCTACAAATCATAATATATTTATTCATTGATATAAATTATCTTGGTCTACATTAATATTATTAAATAGACAATTTTGTTAGCTATGGGGTTATTTGGAGGTATGGGGTTATGGGGTTATGTGGAGGTATTGCCCCTTTAACTTCATCATAAGGAGGAACCCTATCGAAATTCAATTTTACAAGGAGTGTTTGTCCCTGTCAGTAAAACCTTGTAAATCCTCTGTAGGGAAGAGTTTTTGAGACTGAATAGAAACGGGAGAACATTATCAAATTTCAGTCACACATAAACTTTATCGGGAGATAGTGCCCATATCACTAAAAGTCTATCAAAATTCAGGGTCACCTATCAAATTTTATGGATAGTTATTGACCCTGAAACTTGAAATCCCTCCATTGGTCAAAGTTGTTAATTTCTTTTGCCCTATTATAGTTTTTGGGATTGTTCTATTGGCAGTTATTGATCTGGTTACTGAAACATTGCAATTGTTACAGGTCAGAGTTTATGGTAATATTCAGCAAGTAGCAAGGAAGAAACAAATCAAAATTCATCCTGTCACAGAAACCTTGGTATCAGTTCCTGCTATATCAGTAGCATGGAAACACTGTGTTTATTTACATAATATTCTATGTTATCTTTTGATGGGTCTGCTTCATTAGCCCAGTCAGAACAGAAAAATAAGACGTTAAACCCCATTTCAGTTCTTTTCATAGGTCATGTTAATTTAGTATGGCTCTAAATCACTAATCTGGATCACAATGTTGGCGGAGAAAGTTCCTTAGCCTTTTCTAGACTCGTTTTCTGTCAGGGGACAAAAAAATCAAGGTTCTGTAATAAATACCATTATCAGCATTGTTAAAGATCCCACGACATTTGGAAATCAATGCCGTGCTGTCCAGTTAAAATTTCTCTGATAGTATACTTTTTGGCCTGTCTTCATTGAACCCCATTTTATTTCATTCTTAGTTTATTTTCATGCTGCAAACAATTTTTATATTACTTTAGACAGTACTTTGTATTTACCTTTGATTTTTTTGTAAGTTGTATGAGAAACTTTTCAAACACTTCTATAGCATATATCAAATTAGGTATCATCTTCGTCTGTTTTATCACCTATAATTATAATATCATCATTATACAGGTAGTTCATTACTATTAAAGTCCCATTTCTAAGGTGCTAAAATATGAAGTAAACGAAATATTTCTAGATAAATGGAATTGCATCAAATATACACCAACAGTAGCATTTTGAAGAGCAGCTTTCAAGCTGCCAGGGACAATGATTATACATAAAATTGATGGGCATCTTGAAAGGGTTGCTCCCCCGGATTAGCTGAACAATCCTAGTAAGTTTGGAGAGGAAAAAAACCCAACTCTGAAAGGGTCAGTTGTATAAACAAGTGTAATAAAGAGTTGTATGTATATTAACCCACCTTGCCAGTAGGTATATTAGTATTAACAGGTTTCTTCTTATCTTTCTTAGTTTTTATATGATCTGCAGCCTGTTGTATGTGTTCTTTCTCTAATGCCTGTTTAGTGAACAAATAAATAAAACATATATATTTCAATAAAATTTTATAAATTAACCCTGAAAAACTAATATTATATTTATATTACCAAATATCGATCATTCCATTTGTATCTATAACATACACTTTCTAATTTGTAGCTTTCATTAAGCCTAGCACTAGACACTCCTATTACCCTTTCCTGAGAAATGAGTAAATTCTATAAATACTTACTTGAATATATGTTATAAAAGCATATACACATGGAGATAATTTACTTCCTATCAATTTAATCAACTTCTCAAATCTTGATGTTAAATGGCCAGTCTTTTTGGTATACAGAGATATATACTGAAATAATATTTAATATCGTATGTAGGGTATACTGAAAAAAATTATTTAATATTGTATGTAGGGTATACTGAAATAATATTTAATATTGTATGTAGAGTACAGAGAAATAATATTATTTAATATTGTATGAAGGGTATACTGAAATAATATTCAATATTGTATGTAGCATATACTAAAATAATAAACATGCCTGTGCATAACAGCACTTAAGACTGAAGGGATAGCACCATGTGACTTTGTACTGGGCACAGGGGCCTATTCATTGAAGTCACAGGCCACTTTCTGGGTAGCTGGGGTCATTTTAATATAAGAATATGAACCCATATTCCCCCAAAAAGTGATCAATCAAAAGCTGGTTTGTTAAAATCTAAATTTCATTGCAGATATCATTTAAAATATACTTACATATTTAACTAATACGGACAGTGATGTATATAATTTAGTTAAAGATTTTAACATGATATCTGTACATATCCCACTAGGTAAAGCTGATTGTACTAATTCATAATAACCAACAATTATTACACCATATCTACTACATATACTCTTCTCTCTTGTTTCTTGTTGTGTAGCATTCGGTAAATCATCACCTAAAACATCAAAAATATCATTTCACTATTACAAAGAATGCTGTCCATTGCTCAACAAAAAATAGAACATTTTAAGAGGACACAAAGACAGTCTAAAAAAAACCTGAACGTTTTCTTTGTAATTACAGTCTTAATTCTTCTTCTATCGAAATAAAAACCAAACTGAATTATTTCCTTGTGTGATCTTCAATCAGAAATGAATCAACAGTGGAAATATTATACAAAGACAAAAATAACATGTTGAAGTAATTTCTTAATTAGTTTGGTTGGCAAAGTTAATTTAATAAGTTAATTTGAATAAAATTTGAATGATTATATTACCTGATTGTGAGATTGATGTATCTGATTTAATATAACCTATGACCCAATCCATGTCATCTAATTCTCTATCTATATGATGTAATGTCAGCTGTAATACAGTTGGAGCAGCTGTCCGTATTGTGATCAACGAAAAGTTAGTTTTATCTTCAACTTCTACTTGCTGAAATAAATATCATTTAATCAAGTTTGGACTTTTTTCACAATGTGTTCAGTTTTTCCTTTACCTCAAGCAGGACATTTCCTCAAAGTTTCTTACTCATTACCACTTTTAATAGGCATACTATGAACTATGGTTAAGGGTTGGTAACTCTTACTGAACTAAACAATAAACATGGTATAATGGGATAACTCATAATGAATAATAAATGATTGAACACAGACTAAGTATGGACAACACATTGTCAGAAATATCACCCCCAGTGGAAGCAGATATTAACCCCTATTTAGTAGTAGTAGTAGTAGTAGTAGTAATAGTGGACAATACTATGCTGCTGTGACATTCAGACTAGATTGTAGTTTTAACACATAGAATAATAATGTTAAAGTGAGAATAAAGAATATAAAACCTGATCAACATCTCCTAGTTGACTGTGAACATCCTGACACATATCTTTTAATATTTGTGGTACACTTGTCATCTGTTGTGTTATAGTTAATAATGTTGATAACACTTGTTTACATGTTGGTATATCATCTGCAATAAATAAATTAGTTTGGAATAAAGTCTTGCACATGTTTGCATTAAGGACTAAAGTGGGTTAAGTATTTTGGACTATATCCTCTGATAAATCTTTTTTTTCCTTCCTTTTTCTCATAACTATAAACATGAGTGTGTAACCTGGAAGTTGACTTTAATATGTAACAGGTTCAGGACTAACAACCGCCAACAATCCAAATACCTGATTCTGACAATTTGACAATCCTGATTCTTGTGGGTTTTCCCCGGGTCCTCCAGTTTCCCCCAACTGCTAAAGAAGCTTACACTCAAGTGAATTATTGAAACACAATTGTGCCATTTGTTAGACCCAAAATGACTTTATTTGTAGTGAGTGTCAGTGGACATTAAACCCTATTTCTCTCTCTGATCCTACCTATAGTTTGATCAGTACATATTTTATGTATCCATATTTGTACTTCTTCATACTCGGTTCCATGATATGGTAAATATTTACTAAGTTGACCAATAATAGACAACAGCGATCCAACTTCTTTTATATTCTGTTTATCTTCATCAGTAGTAAATATATTAGCCACTAATCTCTATAATATACAATGAAATATGTGAATATCATTATTACATCTCTCACTAATCTCTATGATATACATTGAAATATGTGAATATCATTATTACATCCAGAGGCGTAGCCGTGAAATATATATTGGGGGGGTCCGCAACCCTAACCCTAACTCATTTTTAAAACCCCTAACCCTAACTCATTTTTGAAACCCCTAAAAAATATAAACAAACACCATGTGGCCATGCTGTCTACCAAGACACTGCGTGCAAAAGCATTATGGTTACGTTGCTGGCTGAGCGGGCGATAAATATTTGGTTTAGGCGATAATGTTTTGGGGTACCTACATGCGATTCACTCTGATAAGTGGCAGAAAAAATTTAACAAAATATTACTGACAGGCTAACTAGACACAATTTTATGGAACACAGTTACTTTTCACTTCACACATGTTTCCAGGATGATTCTCTCTGTGTTTTATTTTAGCAATGTAAACCATATTGGGATATTTACAGGTTTTATACAAATAGAATCTTAACTAATCCTAACAAGCCAACAGTGAGGCTGATGTCCCCCGCCGAAATAGGAAAATAATTAGAGGACACATATAAATTTATCACAAATTATCTTTTACAAAGTATTGAACAATCAAACAGTATATCTTTACTTATAGTCTAAGCATACAATGTTTTTGATGGAATAATTATAGCATATTAAGGGGAAAACATGCTCTATGCCTACAGATCTAGAGTTTGGTTGTATCAACGGGTCTATTTTCCATCTTGCTGCAAGTTGTGCAAAGTTCACTGTTTTCTTTCTGTCATTAAATGTCAATTCATTATTGCATACTACATATTTAATTAATTTATAATAGTTTCTTTTTCAATTTGTTTTTTCCATTTATTTGTTTATTTACCTTGCCTATATTCATTGTATTGGATTGTATTGGAATTGCTCAATTGATGCTTTTATCAATACCTGGTTATAATATTATGACATGTAATGTGGCAAGTTGAGTCGGGACATGTAGGCTATAATGTAACCTAAATGTATACATAAGTGGATTTCGTTTCATTTTTTTCGAAAATATTGTACAGATAAAAGAGGAGGAATTACAGGGGTAATACATTGGAAAGCTTCTTCAAGCATACACACCAATTTTGAACATTTTAACTCAATTCGAAGGAGTGTGACGGACAGACAGACAAACAGACGACGGACGAACCCATTTTAATAGTCCCCTGCTTTCTTCGAAAGGCGGGGGACAATAAGCATACACACCAATTTTGAACATTTTAACTCAATTCGAAGGAGAGTTATTGTGTTCCAAAGTCTCAGCAAATCAAATTGCTTATCGCTCTGCTTAATCTGAGCAGAAAATGCTCATTATCGATCTTAGTCAAGGTATTACTGTAATGAAACTATACACCAAGTTTCATCACTCTCACTTAATTAGAACTAAAGTTATAGTGTCCCAAAGCATCAACCAATCAAATTGTTTATCTACTTAATTAGAACTAAAGTTATAGTGTCCCAAAGCATCAACCAATCAAATTGTTTATCTCTGCTTACCCTAAGCGGAACGGACAGACAAACAGACAGACGGACGAACCCATTTTAATAGTTCCCTGCTTTCTTCGAAAGGCGGGGGACAATAAGCATGAACATTTACTCAATTCGAAGATCAACCAATCAAATTGTTTATCTCTGCTTACCATAAGCGGAACGGACAGACAGACAAACAGACAGACGGACGAACCCATTTTAATAGTTCCCTGCTTTCTTCGAAAGGCGGGGGACAATCAAAGTAGGAGAGTTATTGTTTTCCAAAGTCTCGACCAATCAAATTGCGTATCGCTCTGCTTACCCTGAGCAGAAAATGCTCATTATCAAACTTAGTCAAGGTATTACTGTAATGAAACTATACACCAAGTTTCATCAATCTCACTTAATTAGAACTAAAGTTATAGTGTCCCAAAGCATCAACCAATCAAATTGCTTATCTCTGCTTACCCTAAGCGGAAAATGCTCATCTTCGAACTCCATCAAGGCATTGACCTAATCAACACATACACCAAGTTTGAACATTCTAGCTCAATTAGGAAGAGAGTTATCGTGCCCCAAAGTATCAACCAATCAAATTGTTTATCTCTGCTTACCCTAAGCGGAAAATGCTCATCTTCGAACTCCATCAAGGCATTGACCTAATAAACACATACACCAAGTTTGAACATTCTAGCTCAATTAAAAGTTATCGTGTCCCAAAGCATCAACCAATCAAATTGCTTATCTCTGCTTACCCTAAGCGGAAAATGCTCATCTTCGAACTCCATCAAGGCATTGACCTAATCAACACATACACCAAGTTTGAACATTCTAGCCCAATTAGGAAGAGAGTTATCGTGTCCCAAAGCATCAACCAATCAAATTGCTTATCTCTGCTTACCCTAAGCGGAAAATGCTCATCTTCGAACTCCATCAAGGCATTGACCTAATAAACACATACACCAAGTTTGAACATTCTAGCTCAATTAGGAAGAGAGTTATTGTGTCCCAAAAAGTGTGACGGACAGACAGACGGACGGACAGACAGACGGACGAACCCATTTTAATAGTCCCCTGCTTTCTTCGAAAGGCGGGGGACAATAATTGTTGTAAATAAATAGGAGTTTGGGCCTACTATGTAAATTTTTTGGGGGGTCCAAGTATATTCAGACCCCCCAGAAAAACAATTGGGGGGGGGGGGGGTCGGACCTCCCCGGACCCCCCCCCCCCCCCATGTGTGACGCCCATGATTACATCTCTCACTAATCTATATAATATACAATGAAATATGTGAATATCATTATATTATGTCTCTCTAACTAATCTCTATAATATACATTGAAATATGTGAATATCATTATTACATCTCTCACTAATATATAATGAAAAATGTGAATATCATTATTACACCTCAAAGAGCTACAATTCTAAAACATGAACAAATTTCCAATTCCTTTTTTATTCCTATTCTTCAATTTCTGCATAGAAGTATATGTCAAAACCCCTTTAAACCATCAATGAAAATCTTTTATTATTGAAAACTTGAAGACATTCAATGTGATCATATAAAAACAAAAGAAAAGAACCATTTATGGTTTATAACAGATCAATCTAGTATTACCTATTAATTATTATCTGAAATGAAGAAATTACCCAGTATAATAAAATACATCTTACCTGTAATTTTTTAATATGTTTGTGAATTTTTTCCGTTTTAATTTTTTCTGACCATTTTTCATTTTCTGCATAATCTTCTAAAATTGACATAGTACATAAATGAGAAAACATATATCTATACTAATATTTGTGACTGTCATTTGTCTGTCTGTCTGTCTTTTCGGGGTTGGCGGCTACACTAGGTCTGCCCCGAGTCTGAAATTTGGGGTATAGGGGTAGCTCGGACCGGGGAGTAACATAGGCCAGGTGGCGTTAGTCTACCACTTCCGGTTTCGGGGTTATGACCCCCGAGCGAAGCCGGGTATCCTGCTAGTAAAGTATATTTTTAAGACACCTGACCATCAATTAAAGAAAGTGTTAGTAACTTAAGCTATAGCTAGTACTTAATAAACAATTAACATTTATCCTGAAGTATGAATCAAGGACAATAATCATAGTGGTTACATTTTATGCTAATTCTACAGTTCAAATATTCTATGTCATTAAATGAATGCTAATTGAATATTCGATTCAAAGGAAATTATCAAGTGTACAATGGTTTTTAATGCATTTTTAGATTTCTAGAAACTACAAATCAATATACACTCCATTATCTGTTTATTTTTTGATATTAGTCACTCAATGAACATTATTATATATTTCACTATAGATGAAAAACAAATCAGATTCCATTACCAATAATTGACATCTAAATACTAGTGTGAGCATTAGATATTTGCGAAAAGGAGGACAAGGTTGGGTGGAGTTGGTGATTCTTTAATTAAGAACAATAGCATGAATTTAAGGAAACTTTATTATTTTCGGTGCCTTCTGAGGCAATAGTTTACTTGAAGACACTGTAAAAATATTCTGAAAATGGGAGAAACTGGCATAGTCAATGGTATTGGACCATACATTTGTATTGTATCGAAAATCCTATAATCTTTATAGATTATTGAAATATAGCTATTGTAAAAATATGAGAACAGTGGCATCTTATGTGAAAACTACATACCTAGAGCTTTAAGACATTGACATAGTTTATCTTTATCTGTTGTACATATAGTAAATACGTGTAACAAACCATCTAAACATCCTGATACTATAGTTTTATTATTTCTATCTGTTGTCATCTGATGTTCTATATAATACACTAAAAATAACCTGTAAATAATATATCATACAACTGTATCAATTTCTGTTACTCTATATTACACTAAAGATGGATTGATGGGCAATGAAACATACATCCACAGTTACTAAGTCGACAAGCAGTCCACAAAGCTTGCCGCCTATTTATTTTCTAGGTAATAGGAGCATTCACAAGACAATGAAACTAATCAAGACAAACAACTCATGATTTGATCAGTAATTGTCTCCATAAGAATGTGTTAATAGATTATTGCTCTATCCAGTTACTAAATGCTTCTAAAAGATCAACTCATGATTTGCCTCTAGAGCATCCACAAGATTTTTCAAATTGATCAAGTGCCATAACTCTGACAGTAAATATTGAAAAATTGGTGAAAATCAATAGGGTTCTACATCTCATGAAAAATTTACACTGTGTATAAATTTCACGTCAATCAGATGATCCTTTTAGCCTTTAGAGCCTCCACAAGCAATTGCAGACGAGTATACAGCCACATTTTAATGTGGGCCTATAAAAACAACCTGTTAATAATACATCATACACCGATATTAATTAATATCAATGCTGTCATATTTCAAAAGACTGCTCTTTCCATGTACATAAGATTAATTGTTAAGGTTTCACCCATAATTTGTTTTTAATTTTTAGTAAAAATGCTTCAGGAGCTCTGTGAATTAACTCTGTGAATTCAACATTCACATTACAGAATTCAGAGGGTAAATTGGTGTATATATAAAAGACAAAAATAATAATAATAATAATGATTTTAATAGAAGAAACAGAACTTACTTTCCCAGCTGACAACAATGGTTCATTAGTTTTGATTTATCAAGTCCTGCTGATCCATCACATACACCCTTATCTGAATATTGGTGTAATTTATTAACTGCTGTTGTTACAATATGTTTCATAAAATCTAAATTAGTACGTAGAACATCATATGCTGTTTTATGTTTTGCTGAAAAATCCCTGAAAGAAAACATTACATCGTACAATATTTTGATTATTCTTAGACTAGCATTCAGTTATTATTTCCATGGCCACATGCGCTATTCAATGTAAGAAAGAACATTTTTTTCTGGACATTTTTTTCCAACTGTCAAGGATTCTTTTACGTGCATGTCAAAGTGTACACAAAAACAACCTTAGCAGAATATTTTCATTATCGAACTTAGTCAAGGTATTGATGTAATAAAGCTATACACCAAGTGTCCTCACTCTCACTTAAACATGCATTATGCAAGAGCAAAATCTGCTTATTACAAGTCTTTCTTTAGGCCTGAAATGTTATCTAAATTATCAATTAGACATTAATTAACTTATCCAGACCATAATAAACTCTCGATGTCAAGGCTAGCCTTCGATATTGGCTGGATTAGATTCCTATATGCTGCTAACGGCCATTGATAATTAAATCAAAAAAATTGGATAATCGAGACTATGCTGTTTATATTAATGATTTTAGTAATGATGACCGAGACTATGCAAAAATTTCACCCGCTTCTTTCTCGGCTCATAGTGGATCAATTTGACTGAAATTTTCAGCAAATTACCTTTACACTATCTAGTTTTTAACTATTATAGCGAGAACTGCCATCTCTTTATCTTATCTCCCATAATGTATCTTTAATATATGAGAGAGACAGAGAGAGGGAGAGAGAGAGAGTTTAATGTCCACTTGACACAAACTAGGTCATTTCGGGACTAACATATGGTTCAATTATATTTCCATAATTTGCTTGCGCATAGGGGTCTTTAGCAGTGGGAGGAAACTGGAGGACCCGGAGAAAACCCACGCAGTTGGACAGACGACCCTACTTTGTCATGTACAACAGGGGAATTGAAACCGCGCCAGTTGACTCAATGACAGACTTTATGACACAGCGCGCACATGCTAACCATTCAGCCATCCAACCCCCCATTAAAATAAAAATAAAAGTAGAGAAATAAAAGAAGGGAAGAAAGGAATGGCACTTGCATCCCACAAATACAATATTATTTGCATGGTTTCATATTTAATGTGAAAGATCAACTTTTAAGTTGAAATAACAATAAATATTTAACAACAATAATTGAATACAGGTCTTACTTACGTTAATAATAAAGTCACTATATCAACATTAAAACTGAGAGAAAATAAACTAGCTGGAGCTTTACTAGGTTTACTTGTAGAAACTTTGCCTTTTTTACCATTAGCTGTACTGGCCTTCTCCTTTAATAGATCACTTAATTTAACATATTTCTCATATAACTTCAGAACTTTTTCACACTTTTCTACACTGCAAATAATCAGGTTATAAATATTTTATTATTGTCATACTTCGTAAAGGTAAAAATGATCCAACTTTTCAAGACTCATTTTGATAGTGACAAAAATAATGCCACTGATGAACTTTCGCATCATATTTAGGCCTAAAGGGACCCCATCCTCTTTGTATACTTTTATATTTTGTTTTATTTCTTATATATATTTATTTACCTTGAACCATTATATCCTTACCTGTTTTTATTATGAATAAAATTGTATTCCATCAATACTTCATATATACCCAACACTAAAATAGCAAATATATTATTCTTAATACCAACTGTGTTTTTTAGTGTGAAATCAGCTGATTTATCCTGAAAGATAGAAAATATGTACCAAATTAGACTTTAGGTCATCTGTCATATATATATTTCACTGGAACTGGTCTTATAGCAAACCTGGTTAACTTTGCTTTGGTTAAAGATATCATTGTTTTATCAAATAATTCATTATACAGCTGTAACAAAACTACAAATGGTGCATTACTCAGCGATTAGAAAATTACAAAAGGTGCATTACACAGAAATAAGAAAATTACACAATTAACAATTTGAATCCATTCACAGACATAGCTTTCCACAATGAAAATGATGGCACAGTTTTTGACTCGTATCAAACATAGCAGAGTTTTGCTATGATCATGCATGTAAATACTGAATGATACAATATTCCAACGCAAGCACTGAGCTGACCTTATGGTAACTACCATCTACATAAAATGTAGTTGTCAACACATTTTAGTCAAGAGGCCACTGTCCCCTAACCCTACTTCACAAAAAAAATATAAACTTCTTACAATTTCAAAATCTTCCATTTCACTAGAGATCATACGGACAGTTAAATCAGCTAGTACTTGTTCTAGCAGTATTAGTGACCTATCTTCCTTTTCCTCTTCCTCATCATCATCATCATCATCTGTGTGTTGTTGGGTCAGTGTTTCTCTTGTCTTTATAACTATATGTTGAATACATGCCAATAGGTGAGCCTGTTTAAAATATAAAATATAGAAACTCTTACATATCATTAACAACTATACACAACAAAGTACAACAAAAGTAAAGAATGTAATTTTGTTTGATAACCATTTAACTCTTTTTTTAACCCATAGAGACTAACAACAAAAATTAAATAAATGAGACAAGATGTTTGATACGATCAATGGACTTTTGACTGATCACAACACTTCTGTAAAATAACACAAAAACAGTCACCAAGTCATTTTGTCACATATTTATATATCTCACTTCACAATTTAACGCTAGAGTTTTATGTGATTTTTGTTGAATTATTGTCATTAGATCTACTAAAATGCTGACATATAGCTCCAAGTTAAATTTTTCTGAACAAAATGTAACATTTCTTACCAATGGTTCAGCTAAGAAGACTTGTTCCCCCTGTGGTAAAATACATTTATCTAATAGAACTGGTGGATTTATCTCCTCATCTTCAACATAAAACTTTGTCAACTGAAATATAAATTTTTGTAAATATTTGTAAGTCATTTCACTTTACAAAATCTTGAGAGTCCAAGCAAACAATGTTGATTATAATTCTGGAAATTATATATTAGGTTAGTTTAACCAGAACTAGAACATAAAAATGGAACATGGACCACTGTACAAATTTTGGTTTCATTTTGATATCTTGGTTATATAAAATAGATGTATTACCTGATTCAATAAATTGTCCAACACCGGCATCTGTAACTGTGTATTACGATGAACAACTTCATAAAAACCCTGTTCAAATATTTATTACTATTTTACTTTGCAAAAGTAGAAATGAAAATTGTTAATTGTGTAAAGTTACCAGATAAATGAAAAGCACAACTGAGAATTGTAAATTATTTAAATTAAATGAAATTTGCTATTACGTCAACAAGTTGTATCATATATAATGACTTATTTTCAGATAAATTTTCATATGAATGGTATTTGTTTTAAATTAGTTGCTAATTCTGCTCTTACCTCATATAACTGAAGACGTACATCTGCTTGCTGCGTTCCAACTCTTCTCAGATTACCTAATATTTCTATACACACAGCCTCATTACTAGCAGGATTATAACGTGTATGTACATCAATTTGTACCTATTCAAATGAATAATTAAATAAGACATTAAAATTCAAGGAACAAAACTTCTTTGATTGTAAGAAAATATTATCAATTCGATTAAGTGTTATTTCACTTGGTGAAACATAATCTACAATCTACAATCTTATAAAACCCTAGCCATTTTATTTATTATGTAATATAAAAAAGTTGCAAGAATGTACAATGCTAGCAGTTAACTAAACATACACCAGCTGTGACATGAGGGGAAATTGTCAGTTACTTGAAATAAATAAACTAGCATCATCTGATGTAACAGTTACTCCCCATACTCTGTAATCATGGCTGTAAAGTCACAATTCCTGTCACAATGCCACAGCAGGTGTGTTAATTAAAACTAATTTGTACTTGGAAATGCACATTCTTAAAATTAATTTAAAATCAGGTCATGAATAAAATATTTTTGAAATCTGCAAAAGCTGGAGTCTGTATAACAAAAGTCTATCTTTTTTTTGCTTTATATGGATAATCCATCCAAATTTATTTTCTTAATAAGACAATTTTTATTAAAGTTGTAAAGGAAACAAACCTGACTCAAGTTAAATGGCTGACTACATTGACTGGAGGGTAAGCCACCTAATACTTTAAAATGTTTCAATATCATCAAATATCCATATACACCAATCTTCCTTGGATCTAACTGTCTGTAATATAAACCACACAAAGCTTTGCTGCATTATAATTACCTCACCACATTTTACTTTAGCAAGAATATAGACAGGCTTATCCAAGAGGACATGGAATTTGGAGACTAATGGGGGATAATGGCTTCCAAGAGTCTTTTACACAATGTACTTTATGAAATGTAACGCTAAATATCAAAGATAGGTTGGCAGGCAACATACATACACACACCATAGCTAAGTTGTAATAGGTGCATTTACAAAATATCAAAAACAACCCCATGATGTAATTACCATTAATTTGATAGGCTTCTTGTTCTTAGTAGGGCTAATATAAACAAAACACGCACCTGTAATCAGATGATAATTTTAGCTGCATGAGTAAGATTCCAGTGTCTTATGATTTTAAACAATTTCAAGTTGATCAGGTAACTTTAGACTTAAGGGCAACCACAAAATTTTTCAAAAAGATGAATGGCAATAAATCTGACAATGATTATTATTTGTCTCATGAACATAAACACTGTGTATAAATTTGAAGTAAATCATATGGTAATTTAGACCTCTACAGCATCCACAATTACCAGATCTCAAAAATGAGCATTCAACTGACTGAGAGGTGACGACAATGTAAGACCAAATTTCAATATTTGGGCGTAACCAAACAAAATTGATTTTCAAAGTAAATTTACCTTGAAAACATGGCTTTCCTTAAAACAATGAGAAGCGTATCTTTTAATGATGTGCTTAATTTAAGAAGAGGTTGTATGGCCGTTAACAAGCCTTGTCCAGAACTTGTTGGTAGGTAGGACAAATAATCAAACGCTTCCTTCACTTTTGGTATTGCTTCCAACAGAAAATGTGGAGATGAAGATACAATGTCTGATAAAAGATCTGTAATCAAAGTCAGTAAAAAGATTTTAATTTATTGGTGAAGAATCATTAATTATTTTACAAAAAGGCCAGCAGAAGATTGAAATGCCATCATTAAACATGAAAATAAAATAAAATTAAAACTTGACATTTCAAAAATAAATCAGATTATGTAACTTACCTAAATAATGTGAGATTGGTTGAGTTGCTTTGGTTACAATTCTATTAAATATTTGATCCAGTATTTCCAAGCGTACAACTTCATGCACCTGATATAATAAAGAATGTGCTTTAAAGTTTGACATATAATTTTCTTGGGCGTAGGGATCCTTACCATTAGTGGGAGTAAACCAGATGACCCAAAGAAAAATCAATGATGTTAAGCAGGCGACCCTATTTCTTGTCACGTACAAGTGTGGGATTCAAACCACACTACTTGATTCAATGACAGACCTTATAATGATCTAAATTGCACACATTAGAGCAAACAGCCATACACACACACATCCATCCACATGACACAATGGATGCAGGTGACAACAATACATATCCACATTAAACGTTAACAAACAAATATAAGCAATAACAAATTAAATCAAGTGAATTTGTTGTTTCCTACCTTAACCGTATTTTTCAGAACTTGTTTACCAAGTTGACAAGTAAACTGGGAAGGAGTTTTTATTGTTGCTTGATAAATTTCTTTTCCAAATGCTGATTTGGGTCCACAACTATCCATAAGTGTAAATCCTAGTTGAACCAGTCCTTGTAAAACATGATCCCAGCCATATTTACTATAAAACAAATCATAATACATTATCTTGTTTATAATAACAACAGTATTTAAGTACATAACTCAATTTTACAATTAACCATGCATTATGCAAGAGCTAAATCTGCCTATCGCAGGTCTTTCTTTAGGCCTGAAATCTTATCTAAATTATTAATTAGACATTAATTAACTTATCCAGACCATAATCAACTCTCGATGTCAAGGCTAGCCTTCGATATCGACTGGATTAGAATCCTATATGCTGCAAACGCTCATTGATAATTAAATCAAAACAATGGATAATCGAGACTATGCTTTTTAACGTAATAACTTTAGTAATTATGAACGAGGCTAGGCGGAAATTTACAAAGCTGATATCTCGGGTTATAGTGGAACAATTTGACTGAAATTTTCAACAAATTACCTTTACGTTATCTAGTGTTTAACTAGTATAGCGAGAACTGTCAGCTCTTTATCTAATCTCCCATAATGTATCTTTAAATGTTTTGATCAGAAATACTATTTGTTAAACACACAAGAAGCCATTCAGCCATTATGAGTGGATTATTAATTTCAATACATATTCTATTGACTGCCTTTCATAAGACACTAATATTTTGTTTTACAGTAGTACCAGTGTTATAGATTCTAGGCATGTTTAATTTATATAGAGTACTCAAAGCATTGGCTTGTACACATGGTTCCAATCTGATTAAAATACAGATCTATATTTTGTTTCGTGTTTATATACTTTCGATGGCCTACACTACAGGAAGATCAGACAAGTTGTAGCGATAGGTCGCATCAGAGGTCATGCGAGCGGCTTTTGACCCTATCAGGTCAGACATTTGATTAACAAATCAGCATTGATGTTACTGGTGGATTACCCATAGTTCCGCGCAAAATGCGCCTAAAGCTCGCCGTAACAGACCGTTTCATTGGCTAATCACTCACATCATTTAGAACACGTCAATGATAACAACTCTTCCAGATCTTAGTGTAGTGAAGACAAGTAAAACGAAATTTTGAACTATACTATTCAAAAAAAGTAGGGGATATTTGATTTTGGGGGCATAATACTAAAATATGCAAATGACTACGAAAAAAGTCACTATAGAACCTAACAGAAGAAACATTTCCAGTTACATGTGACGCCCAAACGCACCAATAGCTACCGCATGGAATGCAGGTGATGCTTGGGATCATCATGGGGGTCCAACCCAAGATTTGCACGACTCTGACTTTGAATGTTACAGTCATTGTGGCATTGAATTCCAGGGTGGAAACATCAGTTTAATTGTTTTAGTGACCAGAAAACAAATTTTGATATGCGTCAGCTTACCCAAAATGAAAGGTTACGTGCCCTTGGCATGCTACAGATCGGGACAACACAGGCGGTTGTAGCGCGGACGATGAATGTTTCTCAGTCTGTCATAAGCAGGCTATGGTCCAGATACCGTGATACACAATCTGTACAGGACAGACCACGCTCAGGTCGACCAAGGGCGACAACTCAAGCCCAGGATCGATTTATCCGTACCTTGGCCTTGAGAAATCGTGTCATCACAGCAAATCAGATCAGCGCTCGTCTTCAAACAGACACTGGTGTGAGAGTGAGTGGCCAGACGATTCGGAATCGACTGCATAGGGGTCACCTTCGCGCCCGACGTCCTCGTGTGATCCCTTGTTTGAGAGATCATCACATTCAGGCAAGACGTCGTTGGTGTAGGGATCGGCAACACTGGGATAATCGACGCTGGAGCAATGTGATGTTTTCAGATGAGTCAAGGTTCACTGTTGATTTTTTGGACAGACGTAGGAGGGTGTGGCGTCGTCAAAACAAGCACTACCAAGACGTTAACGTCATCAGACATGATCGATTTGGGGGTGGTTCTGTTATGGTGTGGGGAGGCATCACTGTTGCTGGAAATACGGCTTTACATGTTGTTGCAGGGCGTGTTACAGGCCAGTACTACCGGGACAACATCTTGGCAGTCCATGTTGTGCCGTTCGCACGACGTCATGGCCGCCGTTTCATCTTCCAGGATGACAACGCAAGATGTCACAGGGCCAGGATCGTTACAGGTTACCTCCAACAACAGAACATCACCACATTACCTTGGCCAGCACTGAGTCCCGACCTCTCCCCCATCGAGCATGTCTGGTACATGCTTGGACAGAGGTTACGTCAACGTCAACAATGTCCTGCCAATGTCCAAGAACTTGCTGCTGCGTTGCAACAGGAATGGGACAATCTGGACCAAAATGACCTTAGACGTCTCATTAGGAGTATGCCACGTCGGATCAATGCTGGTTTGGCAAACAGAGGAGGATTTACCCGTTACTGACTTGGTTGTGATGCTGTGGTAACTTTGCTGTTTGACCCCGGGTATCATTTTACCCTTATAATGGTCAGTCTGTGCCTTACTTAGTCTAACGATCATTTGGAATAAATCGATGAATGTGAACTTCATTTCATTTTGTCATTTGTTTCTTCGTCAGTTTCATTAGGTGACTTTAATAACACTTAAAAATCAAATATCTCCTACTTTTTCTGAATAGTATATAAAAAACGAAACAAAATAGGATCTGTGTTTTAATCTGATTGACATGGTTCTTAACCAGAGAACACAATGATAACCCACAAGTTAGGTAGATGACCTATTCTTTGTCACTTATGTCAGATCAAAACTACAACCTGATGGATTAGATTTCTTCACCTTCATACCCCCCTCCCCACTTCACACACTGCCGAATCTGACTTGATAAAGATAATATACATCAACAATAAATACAGGTATATTAATAGTATACACTATGTTAATCTGACCTGTTATCAACTGTTTCTAAAACATAACTAGTAATATCTACTGTATCTGGTACTAATTCTCTTATCCACTTAGAATTATTTTCTTTATCTTTATCTTTAAAACTCTTCAATATTGTGGATTTTATAAAGTCATAAAGCTGAAATTTTAAAGTGAATGAGATATCAATTGTTTGCAAATACTTTTAATTGTTATTCACAAAATTTTCCACACTTATGCATTTGGTAGTTATGATGTGCTCCATGTCAGCCTGGAACATTTTGAGTTGAGGGCTATGCAATCGAGTGACACAGAATTGAGTCACAGTTGACCCAATCCAGGAAACAGTTGTGGTATAAGCAGAATGAAAAGAGAGAGAAATAGGTTTAACATCCACTTGACACAAACTAGGTCATTTCTGGACTAACATATGGTTCAATTTTATGTCAATAAATCACTTGGGTGTTAAGCAGCGGGAGGAAACCGGAGGACCCAGAGAAAAGCCACAAGGTTGGATAGGTGAGCCACTTGACTCAAAGATAAATCTTGTGATTTTACGTGCGGACATGCATTTAACCACTAGAGCCCCCCGCCCCAAGAATTAATCAACTGATGAATGAATGAGAAGGTATCATTCAGGTGGTGCATTCCTTTTCGCCTAAAGTTGTATTTACTTGAATTGATTGACATCCCTTGACTAATGAATTCTGGACTCAAATGGACATGCGAATATTAATTTTCAGAGCAAGTCCAGTTAAACAAACCTGATCTTGTAATCTATGTATACGAGCTACAGATAAGGCTAGAGCCAGATTGAATGGTGCTAATACTTTAACTGGATGCACCAGCAGTGTATTCTGAAAATAAACAAAAAAAGATTTACACAGCAATAATTAAACTACAATGCACACACAATATCTTGGTCATCTTGAGGATAACATTTATCTATATTTAAGAAAGACATTTTGTTCATGCATATTTTTTTTCAGTGCTGAATATCAACAGACTTTTCAGTTGTATGGTCAATATTGGAGCAGAACAACTGCCAGAAGGACATGAATGACGCTGATTGGTCCACAAAGGTAATCAATCCCTCCCTCGCATTGTACAGAAGTCTAGCCTCCTCAGCCCACTAACCAAACTAATTTAAATAAACTATATTTCTTACCTTTAAATATCTAATAAATTCTCTACCCAATTCTTGATCCTGTTTAACTGAGAAAACTATATGTAATATTACAGTTCCTTCTGTATATCTTAATGTCTCTGTATCACATTCTTCACTCATCAAATCTTCACTAGCAATAATAAATATAATATCAATTAAACAAATACAAAAATTAATAATAAAATATCTTAATTCACATGGTATATCCATTGCATATCTTAAAGAAGTTACTGACTAGAACCAGACAGCAGGTTACTTTATTAGTATATATTCAAGAATTAAATAAAACAGGTATAGACTTTGATTATTTTGAACTAAATTTGCACTAGTTTTGATTCCAATTGTAAATAACAAAAAGCACAATTTCATTAAATTTGATTTTTTTAAAATTATTTCAAACGGTAACAAAGTTATACTCCAAGAAACTAATTTCATACCAACAGACAGACGGACAAACTAGCTGAGCAGGTGTATAATTATGACACATAAATGATTACAGCTAATGTTACAGTTAATTTGTGTTATAGACTTGTTATTTTAGTATATATTCATACATGTAAATTAAATAATTACGTGATTTCTGATATTTGATTTCTACAAACTGTATCTTTATCAATATAAAATGAAGTAACACCCTCAATAACCAGACGTTTATGACCCTTAAAAAGAGTAAAATACATTGATACAAGAACAATATAATATACTTCAAAATAAGAAATCTTGAATATCTGTCATTAAAACAATAATTACTATTTATACCTTATTTCCACCATTGTTTTCAGCTTTTAGGATTAAGGCTGAACAAATCTAGATAATCACCCTCTGTGTTGGTTACTTTTTCTATGAAAACGGCCTTTAAAATAAAATGATTAAAAAATTTATTTACCCTTTTGGCCAACAACAAAAGTTGATAAACAAGAGCTGGTAAATCTTGTAGTGCCATTTCAGGAAAGGATCGTATAATTTTTTCTATCACAAATTTCAATTCTTCGGATGTCATTGGAACATCTATAAACATGGCTGCCAAATGAACAACTGTTGTAGGATTCCATCTATAAAAAATAAAAAACATTTGGAAATTCATCTCAAAGTATTTTACGAGAATCTGTCTATATTACACAAACAAAACGACAAAACCTAATGGTCCTATATGATGATTAAGAACTTGCGCAAAGACAAAATCAAATTTGGTGGAATATTAAGCATATAATACTTAATGAAATCTATGACAGCAATTTCCTTAGATCTTGGAAGTCAATTCTGTGTGTGGGTTGAACTCATAACACACATTGTTCTAAACTTTACAAAGTATGGTTAGAGGGAATATTATGTTAGTTGGGAATTGTAATTGTAAACTTTATAAAGCATGGTTAGGAGGGATATTTTAACTTTATGTTAGGAGGGAATTGTAAACTTTACAAAGCATGGTTAGGAGTGAATTGTAAACTTTATATACCATGGTTAGGAGAGAATTGTACAATTTTTTATAAAGTATGGTTAAAAATTACCTTCCTGAACAAAGAGTATTCAAAATATGATTTTTACATTCAGATCCTCGCATACTACCATCTCCATATATAACTTTATCTTCTTTTGATAACTCATATAATATCTTTGGAAACAGATCAACAGCTCTGGAAATAAAAAAAAACACCATTACAGCCACCTATTTCCCGCCATAATCTATAAATTTACTAGATGACAATTTCCTTATAATTATCAATATCATACTGAATTATATTTATTGATTGTTTATCTTTTAGCACATATTTATTAAAATATAAAATTCCACTAAATGTTATTGTTCAAGCAGTTTGACAGCAATTTTTTTCTAGATATGTATTACTATGCATAGGATAATGTGATTTATTGCCTTGTAGATATTTATGTATTTACGCACAATGTACAAGAAAATTTGAGCTAGTTTAATGTCAGATATGTTTTGTAAGATGCTAGCTATGTTTATCTCTTTCTAAAATAGAATTTTAATTCAAAATGTGTGTACTGTAACAAAATATTTTTTTTCTACCATAGTCGACATGATTTGATTCAGCTTTCACTACTGATTTTGCTGCATAATATATAGTGAGGTTTATTACAAATAAACATACTTTCCTCCTGTGAAAGTACCATTTTTCACAGATTCTGTAAACTGACTGGCTAATTCAACTAAATTTGCTCCACCCAATTTGTCAGCCTAACAAAAATAAAAATACTTGAATCTTGTGTGGACAGGAACCTGTAGGCTATATAATGTCAGTCAATGAAAAATCATCTATGCAAGAAAACTTCTTACAACATATTTCGTTTATCAATATAGATAAATTCCAGCTTTGATTCTAAGATTTGTGACTGAACACAACCAAGATATGCAATGAGAATTTTGTTTGATTTATTTTTAACATGTATCCACCATGCATATCTTACCTCAAGCATCAATAAACCAACAAGGTTAGAAACAGTTTGAATGTTGATTTCATTTTTCTGCAGAACCTTTATCATATATTTATAAATAAGAAGCTGATTTTCTTTTCCATCTTCTTTTAAATAATATAAACCTAGAAACAGTTTAAAGTTGAATGATCGCAATTTAAAACATCAATCATTTATTAAGAATTAAGTAAACTGACTAAGAGAGAGAGAGAGAGAGAGAGAGAGAGAGAGAGAGAGAGATGGGGTTTAAAATCCACTTGACACGAACAAGGTCATTTCGGGACTAACATATGGTTCAATTTTATTTCAATCTGACTAAAATACAGGGGTCATACGAGCGGCATTTGACCCTACGACGTCAGACATTGATCAATCAGTGTTAAAACGTTTCTAGTGGTTTACCCACAGTTCTGTACACCGCTTGCCAAGAACTCGTCGTAACAGACCGTTATTTTAATCAGATTGACTTTTCACATGAGCGTGTAAATTTCTTGGACATCATTAGAAAATCCTTCAATTTCTATTAGAATCAATTAGATACATAAATCTTCTTTTTTGGGGGGATCATCTATTGGTTAACCCTACATATTTCAACAGTGTGGAAATCCTAGTGCATAAAAAGAATATTATAACAATAAGATTACCTGTTAATACAGCTAGTACTAATACGGTTGGATCAGTCCTTCCTCTTAATACATAATTATCTAATAACTCTTTTATCTACAATAAGACACACTCACATGTGTATATATATCAATAAAAAATCACATTTCATTCTTTGAGCAAATTTAAGTTAAATTTCTTTGTATCATGACATGATACTACTGAGTAATAAATTATTCATATTTGTGTTCATACTGTAGTGTTTATGTTGTTTGCTTGATCTATATGTGAAGTTTTATGTAAAGTTTGTAAACTTTATATGTTTCCAAATACAAAGTTGACTTGGAATGGATACTGGTATACTTATTACTATCATACCTCACTAAATTCTTTACTTTTCAGTATTTTTGCCAATTCCTCATATTTGCGTTTCTCATAGTGCAATAAAATTTGTTTATCCATATTTCTATTGTTTCTGAAATAAATTAACGGATACATGTATATCAAGCACAGATCTAGGACTATTTTAGATTGAGGATTTCCGGCAAAAGTGCCCATTATTATATAACTAATAAGGGAGGAAAAAGGCACAATGACAATGCTGAAATATGCAAAATAAATGGATTAGGCTTTGCAGAACAAATTATGTCTTGTTAAGTTGTTTGTCTGGGATCAGTATTAGGATTCAGACTTAAAGTAGCTAAGTTTCTAACTCAATATCATCCAAAATCTTCAACATTGAAAACATGATTTATTTGTCAAATTAAATCAACATTCATGTTGTGATCTTACCGGAAAAAGATGGGCTTTTGATATCCAATATTTAAGACAAAATAAACATTTCACCATTGGTACACGAATCATGTACCATAATGCGCTTCGGCCCCAGTTGTACCAAGAGACGAGGCTAGACACATTGCACCAAATCAAACCAGACGCTAGAAATTTGCACTCTCTTGAGACTGCTGGCTTATTTCGCCGAACATAACTGATTTGAAATTGGAGTAAAAACGGAAACCATTGAATGTAAATCAGTTTATATACATTCATATTACATTATTATATGCGTTGCGACCCACTTTTGTCAATTTCTAGGTCCCAAATGTTAGCGATTTAGCTCCTTTAAAGTTAGTTGTACCATGTATATAGGCCTAATATAAATTTTAAAAATAGGCCTCTTGATTTGTCCGACAAAAACGAAATATTTAGATAGTTTGAACAACTGTCAGTGTCAATTTGTGGTTGGTTTATAATCTAAAGTTCGTCATTTATTGTTAGAACCTTGAATGATTATGTCTCACCAATTGATTAGTTAGAAAACTTGTCGTTATTACTGATTTTGATCATTTGTAAAACTTGCAAATTTAGTTTGTTTACAACGTGAAATTTAGCGGGAAACACCGCACTTCCGCTTCCTGGAATTGGTCCAATGAAATTCGCAAATAAAGTTGACCTACTTTCAGACAGTCGGAAGACACAGCAAATTTCTAAAACAATCTAATCTTCTCAAAATTTAGAAATTGGGGTATGTCTTCTAAGAAACGAATTCGAGAAAATGGAAGCAAAACAGATGAAAATGAAGCAAAAAAACAAAAAACAGGTCTTCCTGCTCATACTGGTGGCAAATCAACAAAAGCACCAAACCATTCTATAACATCAACAGTAGGCCTAACAACAGCCACCCAAAGTTTCTTCTCCAAATGTAGAATGTTTATTTTAAAAGCAGGAATTGAAAAAGCCAGATTAAAAATATTCGAAACTCAAGTAGAAAAATATGGGGGAGAAATATCGGATAGTTTTAGAGATGATGTGACTCATATTATTGTTGAGGATAAAATTGATTTGGAAAAGTTGTGTCGTCTGCTAAAATTAGATAAACCACCAATAGACATTCCTATTATAAAATCAACATGGTTAAGCACATGTTTTCGTGAGAAACAGTTAACAGACACAAAAGACTTTACCCTAGACGTCCAACAATACAAAGATGCAAAGTCAGAAAGTGATACCAAGAACGCGATGGAAGATAACATTTTAACTAATGATGCTGTTCAACCAAAATTGGAAAACAGCGAAAACAAATCATACAAGAAAGTTGGGATTATGTTTAACGCCTTCACTAAGCCATCCAAAAAGACTGAATCAGATAGTGACTATGTTGAGAGTGATGATAGTGATTATGGTGAAGGAACTAGTACCAGTACAAGTGATTTTTCATCTGACATATCCCCTGTCAAAAGTTTTCCAGTAGGATTTCATTTTGTAGCCTAATGTATATAACAAGTGAAATCTTTGGTACAATTTACAAATATGTGGTTGGTGTGGATAAGTGAATGTTAAAACCAATTCCATTCATTTCAGAATATATAATAAATGTCCAGTTGTCCACCAAATTCTTCTTCTTAGTTCTAGTCTCAGTGGTAAATGTCAATGGTAGACAGTTATTTACTAGCCCAATCTCATCCAGTATTTATTTTACTCTGGCTAAAATTCATTATGAAATTGTCAACTACCATACTAGTTAAATCAGTATCAATTACTAGTGTACAATATATTAGTCAAGAAATCTATTTATCATTTCATTCATCTTTCAGGTTGGAAGCTGGACTTGTGCTCATTCATCCAAAAATCCTAAACCAAATATGAACCAAGCCATTACAGCTAAACTAGAGGTGGTATTATAGACAAATTGTGATTTTTAACACTTTTATAGCATTCTGTATATTACTCTATACATGTATGTACTTATATTTTGGTGAGGACTATTTGCAGAGATACATGTATGGTTACCAATAGTCTATCTTATATTATTGTTTAATGTGAGTATTAAATAACTCACTGGCATTGATCAGTGAATTATATTGTGACGATCTCTACTAGATTTAACTTGTTTGTATTCTTTGGAATAGGAAATGGTGAAAACCTATGAAAGTACAAATGATAAATGGAGAGCTTTTGGTTATCAAAAAGCAATTCAGGCTCTACGAAGTCACCCTAAACAAATATCAACATGGGAGGTATGTGGATGTTTATCATCAAGAGTACATTTGGAGGTGGAGTGGAAAGAGAAACTACCCAGAAGTTTCTACTCTGTTATACGCCCACATTTTCATCTGGACATATATTGTCGTTGCCCCTGTCCATCCAGACGTCCGTCCACAATTTGTTTGTGGACACTCTACAGGACACAATTCTTATCCAATTTTGACGAAACTTGAAATACAGGTTTATCTCCAAAAGATCTGGGTTCCTTTCAATATTGGCTTGTATCGGATCGAAACTTGGTGTATGATGGCCCCTGATTGTACGAAAAATTACGTTTTTAGCTTGTGGACACTCTAGAATATCAAATTTAGATGAAACTTGAAATATATGTTTATAACCCAAAGATCTCTGTTCCTTTCGATATTCCCGCATATTGGACCGCAACTTCCTGGATTATGGCCCCTGATTATTTAAAAAATCGTGTTTTTAGCTTGTGGTCCCCCTAGAGGTCACAATTTTATCCGATTTAAAAAAACATTCAAATATATCACTTGTTATACCATAATGATGATTGAGTTCGGATTTCTTGAAAATCAGATTGAAACTGCTGGACAAAATGACCGCTCTATGAATGCAAATAGTGTTAAATTATGTAATATCAAGGTTGTAGACCCTCTAGGGGTAACAATTTTTATCTGATTTTTAAAAACATTTAAATATATCAGTGTTACAATCTAATGATGATTAAGTTCGAATTTTATTTGATGAAAATCAGACCGAAAATGTCCGCTTCTTGTATGCAAATAGTGTAAAAGTATGTAATACCAAGGTTGTGGACCCGCTAGAGGTCAGAATATTTTTTACCTTGTTTTCTGTCTATCTCTTCAAAAATGTAGGCATATCGAGCATATCAACTGCTTGTTTAATCTTATAGAATGAAATGGAGTTTAACATGAGGCTAATGAAGTGTGCTTTTTGGGAAATGTTAACTGGATAGTAATGTGTCAATGTGTCAGTTTACTCTACGTTGATTTCCAATTCCAAGGTTTCTTTTAAATGCATGATATCATGCAGACACTACCATGTTTTTTCTATCCCATCCAAACAACTAGATGCTGTTCCTTGTCTAGGGGAAATCAGTTTGAAAATTCTGAAGACCCTTTTCAGCGAACACCAGGATTGAACCCAGAACCTCCTTTTAGTTAACAAGTGACTTTTCACCAAGCCACAATAATGTCTCCCAAATACATAAGATGAAGATGGGATTTTGTTCGGTTTGCAGCTCCCATTTTACAGGAGTTATTCCCCTTATCATACTTACAAGTATTTATTATTACTGCTTGGCTAGATATATCATAGCTTTTATTTCTTTATTTATAGGAAGCGAGAAATTTACGTGGTGTTGGTGCTAAATTAGCTGATAAGATATGGGAGATAGCTGAGAGTGGTGAACTGCGTAAATTAAACGAATTTAAATCAAGCGATGAGATTAAGATATTAAATATGTTTACGGATGTATGGGGTGCTGGTCCCACTACTGCAAGAGCATGGTACCAACAGGTATTATATTCTTCTGCATTCTTTTCATATATATTGAGGGACATGAATATTTTATCATATGGAATAATATAAATATAAACTATTTATTGTTGTCATTCCATGTATTTAATCAAATGTTTGTGATTTTAATTTGTCGAAAAGAATTCATTTTTACAAATTTAATTATAATTTTGACTTTGTTTGTATTAGGGATTTCGAACTTTAGAAGATCTAAGAACCAAAGCTAAACTAACCAGTCAACAGAAAGTAGGCGTTCGACTGTATGATGATTTATTAGAGAGAATGCCAAGATCAGAGGCAGGAGAAATAGAGAGTGTTGTAAGTGTATGCTGGACCATGAACTATATTTTATTGGATGTGATGGATAGTCGTTTCAAAATAAAATGGGGTTTAATTAAATTAATCGAATGCCAAAAAGTGACAATGTATCTTACTTATAGTTCCATGGCTAATTCAAAGAGGCCTCGTCATTTTAAATGTACATTAATAAGACCCTAGTATTTTAACAATTACAATTATTCTCTAAATATATTGTGGATTTATTATTGAACAGGTAAGGGAGGCAGCTGAATCAATACAAAGTGGTATTATATCTCAAGCTTGCGGTTCATATCGTAGAGGAAAGACTACATGTGGTGACGTAGATGTATTACTAACACACCCAGATGGTAAATCACATCGTGGTGTGTTTACTAAACTAATAGAAAAGTTAACTGATGAAGGTGATTAATTAAAATGATGATGTACACTGTATAGTAGCTACAAATTTGTTATGTATAGTTAGATAAATGATTGAATTACCAAATAAAAAATACCAGATTTATACTACCTGTTTGAATATCATAAAGGCACAATATTCAGACTGAAGGAAAAATACTGGCCATATGCATTAAAAAGTAGTCCTAACAAAAAGCATATTGGTCCAAAAATCAATTAATCCTAACATCAATTATGGCCATCTAAAATTCACGATAATTTCTATTTATTTCATGCTGAAATCTTGTTATTGAATGACTGAAGGATAACTCATTTCTAACCTAGGGTCTTTGTTTTAATCATTTAAATTGAAATATGGAAAATGGTTATGACACATTGAGATTTAAGGAAATCATATACAATCATTGTAAAATATCATTATAATCTATCATGATTATACGGGAGCAGAACAATTGCCGACCACATTGTTTGTATTTTGTTATGTTGTTTTACATCATATACTATCTATAATGTCACTGACACATGTCCAACACATGGCGACAGTTTCTATATTCTCTTATTTGAACAGGTTGTTCCCCAGCTATAATCTGTTCTGGCACTTGTGTTCAAATATGGCTTATTTATTTTGTAATTATCTATAACTGTTTTCAATTGAAATACTATCTTGGAAAGAAATCGTACCAGTAGTTATTTCTGTTTGCAGTAAAATTTACAGTTATGTTATTATGATTTGATGATGATTACATGTATAGATACTTAATAGGCCTCATTCATCATTTAATAAACTATACTAAAAAAAGAAATAAAATGGCCGGCAATTGTTCTGTCATCAGTTATCCTAGATCCGATTATACTGTATCTGAAATATTTATTATATAATAATAAGAATATGTGATATTAAAGATCTGTTTCTTATGTTTTCAGGGTTTTTAACAGATCATTTGGTCTCAATAGAAGATAGTGGTAATCAGAAAAAATATCTTGGTGTTTGTATTTTAAAAGGTGAAAATAGAAAGGTACTGGTAACTAAATTATCAGATTTATAAAAAAAACCCAGCTATATAATTGGCAGTGCTCTTGTTTTTGTTATTGAAGCGCTCGATAATTAGTATTTTTAATTTCAGCATCGTAGATTGGATATTATAGTTGTACCATATGATGAGTATGGGTGTGCTCTAGTCTATTTTACTGGATCTGCCCATTTTAACAGATCTCTGAGACACATGGCTAAAAAGATGAATATGTCTTTGAATGAACATGCCTTAAAATATGGAGTTGTAAGAAAGGTAATGGAACCAATATTTCATTTTCTGTGGATTCATCAAGTCGTCACGGTCAGTCTCAGATAATATTTTCACTTACTTACTGGTATATAAGAAGTAAGAACATACATATCCTAATTTTGAAAATGTGAAATATCTCAAGATAGTAGAGCTACGTTAGTAAAGTTTGGTGAATTGTTCATTCATACCATAAGGAGACATGCAGACATTTCATCTATCTACATGTGTTCATATAGGATTATGAGAACTTGATGGAGTAATATGTGTCTGTGTCTAATATCTTTACAAATCTATTTGGTGTCTTGGTTTTCATCCAATGTTTTGGTTTTATTAATTAATACTTAATTGACACAACTACAGTAGAGATGCTTACCATTGGTATTTGATGACAACTGGTGCCATTTTCTCATATGAGAGACTTGTCAACTTACTGTTACTCATAAAATGCGTCCAGGGATTTTGTACTTGACAACTAGTGAGGGTATCTTTATAACTACTTCTGTATTTTATTATTTCAGGGTAATGAAAAAATTCATGAAGGAACTATTATCCCAACACCAACAGAAAAATCTGTATTTGAACATTTTAAAATTCCATATAGACCACCAGAAGAAAGAGATCATTGATGGCTGGATATTTATTTATTTATTGAATTGTTAATATTTTGTGGTCATTTGATGAGTTTGCTCCCTATGGCCTACAGTATTTTTACATAATCATAATATCATATTTATTATATAGTGCAATAATACTAATATGGTTTAAATATTATTCACAAAGCATAATTTCATGTAATTGTAATTAGTTTACATAATTCTGTTTCATTTATTACATGATTATTTAATTTGATACAATTTTAAATTTTTTAATTTATTAGAATTGTCTTAATTTTTTTAATTTATTAGAATTTGTCTTAAATTTTTTAATTTATTAGAATTTGTCTTAAATTTTTATAAAATTCGCTCTATGTAAATTTTAGCCTTTATTTTTTATGTCATGTTATTTATTTAAACACATGTTATTTCATTAATTTTGTTTAAGTTATGATTTTTCACTTACTCTCACTAGTCTGAATAATTATAACAAGCCTGGCACACACTACGCTACAACTTAAGTGACAAGTTTGGCGACAAATAGCGCCGCAATATAAGTGGAGTGAGCACACTACACGTCGACTTTGGCGAACACGAAAAAATAACCTGTCACGTGCTTCATCATGTGACAACTCTAAATGCATTTAGATCTTTTATATCAGGTGGTGGCGTAGTCGTCTTAGTACAACATCGGTAGAGCGCAGTGCGTTTATAGTATTCTAAGTAACAAGTTCAAATTGGGCGACTTATGTATGCATAGAAAACAGGCCGAGTGAAGATGAACCCAGAAATATTCCAGAGTATCCTAAATATAATTAGCCCTCTCATTTTCTTGGTACAGGTACTGGTAAAAACATCCATTCTAATTACCATCTATGAATCCTAGGACTATATTATTATTGAGTATATTGCTATACGGAAAAATCCACAGGGCCTACGATATGTATTTGACATGTTTCTTTTCTTACGATAGTCTAACAAAATAAAATTTACAGTTCGCACATTTAATAAGTGCCAGGATTGAAAACTTAATTTCAATTAGTCAGTTAGGCCTAAATTGGATTACCCGAGCCACTTATACATGCAACAGAAAAATTTCTGAGAAACCTCGTGAGAAACCAAAAATGATTGTTTTAATAGGTGAATTTATTTCCTTGTTTACCGCTTAACTTTTCGCTGAGGTGAGCACATTACACAATTTGTTGCCGAAGAAGCGACGAGTTGGTCGATCATATCAAACATGTCAGATATCAGCGACGATCGCGCGTTGGCGACGAAAAATCGCTAGCGACCGAGTGCGCACACTAGGCGAGTTTTTGATTTTTCATCGTCCATGACCGAAATCGCCTATATCGTCCCTAGGACTATTCATGTCACTAATCTGAACCATGCTTTCAAATCTCATTCTTGAAAGATTCTACAGTCATTGGCACCTTCTTCCTGCTAATATTACCAACTAAACATATGCATTAGAAAAAAGGTGTTCACAAGTTATTGTGGACCACCAACGGATCGAGTCAACGAAAATTTTTATATGCCCACGTGGAAATGTGGACGTATATTTCCTTCGCCCCCGCCCGTCTATCGGTCGGTCGGTCTGTCCGCCCGTCCGTCGTACACAATTTCTTCTGAACGCTATAACGCTAAAAGTTATGATCCTATTGTTTTTGTAATTGATATATGTTGTTTACATTTGTGGGACGAGGAAGCCTATTGAATTTCAGCAATTTTCGTTAATTACTTCTAGAGCTATGGCCCTTGTGTCACATTGTTGCACCTTGTGAACGCACTATAGCCAAAAGTTATCATCCGGTCTTTGTGAAATTTATATACATTATTTGAATTAGTGAAAGGAAGAAGTCTTTCGAATTTCAACAATTTCCGTTAATTAGTTATAGAGTTATGGCCCTTGTTTCACATTGCACATTATGAACGCTCTATCATCAAAAGTTATCTGACGATCTGTATGAAATTGATATGCGTCATTTAAATTAGTAAAAAGAAGAATCCTATAGAATTTCAGCAAATTCCGTTAATTACGTCTGAGTTATGGCCCTTGTTTCACTTTGTTGAAACTTGTGAACGCTCTAACCTCTAAAGTTATCTGCCGATCTGTATGAAATTTATATTCGTCATTTAAGTTATTCCAGAACATATTTTGTGACAAGCTTCATGAACTCTCGGGGTGGCTTTGGGTGTATGTTTCGTTTACTGGCATCCTATCTTGATGAATCTGTTGGAATATACATGTAGGCCTATAAATGAAAGACTAGCCAGTGAAGATTGATAGACCAACAGAAAAATGATCAAGGATAGGCCTAACATTTAAAACGTTTAAAATAAAGATCTCTTTGGGAAGTAATTGTTAATTTCTACCAAAACTAATTTCTGCTTTATTTATATCTAACTTCTTGTTTACAATGTAGAGCAAGTGCATCCGTCAATATATACTAATGTCCAAAAGAAAGTATACACACTAAAAATATGACTAAGTTTTATTTTGATTAAAAACATTTGAAAAAAAACTTTACTGGGTTTGTCTCTTGCGTCCAAACTCAATATTCTAAGCAAAATAAAAAAAAAAGCGAAACAGATTGACATTGTACCCAAATGCCGCATACGATGGAAAACGACTTTGGTTGATGCAGCACGAAATGCACAGCTAGTGTATACTTTCTTTTGGACATTAGTATATATCAATCGTATGGAAATCTAAATAAAAATTATTTTAACACACTGGAAAAAAAAGGTATAAATCTGTCGACGTAGGCCTACTTCCGCAATTCAGTATCAGATTAACGTTCTCTCGTTGTGCATGTACTTAAAAGCTATTAATTTAAATTCGCCCCAATAAAAAAAAACTATAGGCATAGTTCAGCGGTCCCCATTTCACATTGAGATACTTAAAAGACTTTTAAAACGTCTCGAAACAGCTGCAGGTGTTTGTAAAAAAAAGTTTTGAATAGGGACCTTAGATGCCCTCTATTCGATATATAATATCTTAAATTCTTTGAAAACTTTTAAAATGTATTTAAACAACTGCAGATGTTTGTAGATGCCCTCTTTCCGACATATTTCATAAAGCAATAGCAATGAGTGTAATGAGCCGATGAACTGCACTCAAGTAGCTCGTAACCCCTTCCTCAAGGATATGTCTTATCTGGCATTTTTAGAAAAAAAACATATACATTTATAACAAAATATTTTACCGAATCGCAATCCAATAACTATTTGGTCTTTTTGAGTTTGGGTATCTCGTAATATATTCTACAATGAATTAAAACAAAACCTTCTACCTGCATGATAAAAGACCGATTTTTGTCCGAAGAATTAATTTAGTAATAACTCCAAAAGACATCAAATTTGTCCACTATGCATTTGATGTGGGATTGTTTTTTTGTGTGTGCACTCTTTCAGTCGGTACGCCAATCTCTCTACATATTAGATCTTTTTCGATATTTTTTTCAAACCTGCTGCAATTGTTTGGGGAACCCTTTCGAAATTCACAGTCGCACATAGATTTTGCGCTATTGTTGTTGTTTTTATTTTTTAAAAGGCTTTATTTTATTTGACTTGGCCCAAAAAGTTTCTCCTTGGCATAAATTCCCGTCTTCACCTTTAACTGTGACGGTGGAGTGGGTCAAAATTAATTCCCTCACTCCCCTGCCCCACTTCGCACATTTTATCAAATGGTGCATATTACTACTTGCATGTTCTTATTTTTGCCTCTCGTCACATTTTGGGTGTAATTAATACTTTCTTTCAAGGTAACAACTACTTATATTTAAAAATATATAAGCGGATAATATATCTATCATTGTAAACGTCTTTTCGGACATGTTGAAGCCTCGATCTATTGTATTACAATTATCCTCTTAATTTATTGTGACGAGAACTGGCGACCCTTTATCCCTTTCATAATTATATGTATAATTTGTTTCCGACAAAACATTCACTAAGCACGAATGTATTTTTTTAAAGGTGCATAAATCGCTGTGGAAAAAAAGGGTAATATTTTGAATTTACATAATCACTGATTTAGGCTTATCAAATGTGCAATAATTTTTGAAGACGAAGGTCACTTGTGGAACGTGTGACAAAAGACTGTGTGTATAAAATTCGGGAAGTTGGTTTGTAAATTAATTGAATGAACTACGGGGATAGATACACATAGCCTATCAACATGTTCTCTGATAAACTCGTTATCTTTTTGGCTGTGATTCAAGGTTTCCATTGTTTGCCAGGTAAGTAATATATTTATGTTACATAACATACTATTATACTTGTGTAATTAGTCGTGTAATACAATACCACCGAATATACTAGGGTCAACGAGGGATTATTATCAATCAATATATCTGCAGCTCTATAATTTATCCATTTAAAGACTCGTCATGGAAATAAAAGGGGTCTAATGTTTACACAAAAAAAACCCCAGATGATTTGATACGATACATCATTAATGTTTGTGAATGCATTGTAAAAAATATTTCATTATTTATACAAATTCCGTACTATGAGAACTCGTCAACGTTGAAATACTGGATACATATTGTTGGTCCCATGCTTTTTAGTTTCCCTAAAGATGATATATAGTTGACCAATAGTTCGAGGTTTAAATCAGCTAGACCTCAGAAACTTCCGATTCTAATAATGACAGGCACACAAAATAGATTCATTGCGTGTTATAATAATTTGATTCTCTGCCCCACTAAAATAAATTTTCCTAAAGATAAATCACGCATCAACGAAACACCCCACCCTAGCCTCGACGGACAACCAAGCTTCAGATTAACACATGTCGGTCCAGTGATCGACTGTAACTATAAACCGTTTGGCAATGCGACAATAACTTCTATTAATTTGTAAATAACACCTTTTTTCTTTCTTTCTTCAACTCTAGCTGTATCAGAACGAAGAGTCAGTTCTGCTCATCAATTTTCTAATGCTGATAGTTTGAGATGTATGCAAGCAACAGAAAGATGTATGGCCCCATTAAATTTTTTACGTGACGCTTTTGTAAAACTAGATTTTTCTTCTGTAACTGCATCACAAGTTAACGGTTTCTGCAGGTGAGTTTTCCCCATTGTAGCTACTGCAAGGAGCCATGGTGGTTCGCCAACCTGGCTGGCCCGTGTTCGACCGAGAAAGTTTATTGGGATTTTCCGGCATGTACCCCCTTGTCAGTGCTGCAGGACCGTGTGCCTAGCAAGGGACAAGCGTTCGGATGGGAAGAAAAACCGAGGTCCCGTGTACAAACTGGCGTGCACGCTAAAGAACCCTTGAAAGAATTCGATAACAGAGTAGGCCGTAGTGCCACTGACCGGGAAAAATTTCCATCATTGCACCCTTTATGGCGTATGCCCGCTTTAATTAGCCCAGTCGATGCAGAACAGTATGACGTTAAACCCTATTTAATTTCATTTGTTACGACGGATCGCTTTGTTTTAGGTTGCGACAGGCTTACTAATAGCAGATCTACAAAGAATTGTTTTTCACTCTTCATTACGCTGTTTACAATACCATTTTGTAAGCCCAATTATAAGCCCTGCATAAGATCGGAATAAAGTCGGCAGATGATTTGAGACATTTTATCGGGGTTTTTTTTTTTGGAGGGGGGGGGGGGTGTCACAAAATTCTTAATAAATATACATTATGCAAGAGCCAAATCTAGCTATTGCGGATCTTTCTTTAGGCCTGAAATGTTATCTGAATTATTAATTAGACATTAATTATCTTATCCAGACCATAATCAACTCTCGATGTCATCGCTAGCCTGTGATATTTACTAGATTAGAATCCGATCTGCTGCTCAACGCGCATTAATGATTAAATCAAAAAATAGATAATTCTCGGTTCAGAGTGGACCAATTATAGTGAGAACTACCAGCTATTTATCTAATCCCCATAATGTATCTTTAATTTCAGTGCCCATTTGGAGCATGCCACAGCATGTCTTAGAGATATTGTTTGTGCCATTCCTATGCCACATCTGAAGGTTATATCTAGATTGATTAACTGGCTTTGTTCAACCAAAGACGGTAAGTCCACAGTTTTTAAGAAAGAGAATTAATCAACCAATATTTTATCGAGTTGGATAAGCTGTTACCTGTTACTATTTCTTAAGCTACAAGCAAACTATTTAGAATCCGACTTTACTTTGTTAATCAAGATAGAACTCATAAACAAAATAAGGTCGCACAGCTCAAACTGTCAATAACCCCGTCGTCGATAATTATTCGGACTTTTAAATGTCAAAGATATTTATCGACAATATTTGGGATTTCGCACGTATGAATTAGTAATACACGACTAGATATTTCAATCAATTAGTTAAAATTATCAGGTCATTTGTCCAGAGAAAATGCATAATCTTCGAAATTCGCAATTATTTCAGTCTCGAATATTTTTTTTTTAAACCTTTTTTCAGATTTCATCAAAAGTAAGTCGTGTTTTACATCTGAGAGCTTCAGGGTGCATGCTAAGCCATGTTTTACACCACCTACAATGATGTGTACCAGTGGTAACTGCCCGTAAGTAGCACAATATGTAGATATGTTTTCTAACCAATGGCCATATTAAAACACTGTAACAATTGATTATAATACCCCATGTCAAGTAACTAAAACATCTCACCATGTCAAGTCACTGTAACATCCCATCATGTCAAGTCATTGTAAGGCACACCCACCCCACCATGTCGAGTCACAGTAACATCGCACCATGTTATGTCATAGTAACGTCCCATCATGACAAGTCACTGTACCACCGTGCCAAGTCACTGTAACGTCCAATCATTGTACCACCATGTCAAGTCACTGTAACATCCCACCATGTCAAGTCACTGTAACATCCCATTGTAACATCCCACCATGTCAAGTCACTGTAACATCCCACCATGTGAAATAACTGCCTCGTTCTTTATTACAGTACACCTTATTCTTCATTGGCAGCATGTCTGGCCCCACACCTTCAACAAGACCAAAACTGTACATCAGAACACATCAGCTACATTTCTAGATATTTCCAAAATCTCGATATGAGAAATGTTTAGTAAGCTAGATCTAATTGGAAAGAGAAAATTAATATGGTGACCTGTGTGTCAATGATTTATAGAAAAGGTTTTTTGTTACTCTGTAAACGTGAACGGATTTCTGAACGATATTATTTTATAGTAATATTTTTTACGGCATTATCTCATAATCTATCCATTTTTCGTATTGTATCACACAGCAATGTATTGTCTGCATCAAAAACGCATCATGAAGAAACTCATATATCTATACTATGTCATGTTTTGTATTCATTGAAAATGTTAATAAATAAAATGTTAAAGAATTGGTGTACATATTTTGTAAGCCCAAGAGGGCAAACCCTCTACAATCTGTTCATCACAACTTGGGTGTGTACCTTGGTTAGGATCTCGTGGACACTGACCTTGGATCGCATCGAGAAAAGTATCATTTTTCCCGCTAAATTTAGATGTTCAGCGTTACTACAATATATGTAAATACTTATTAAGATTATTATAGGAATGGTAGACGGAAATTGTTGCGACTGTAGCTCGTTGGTCTCAGTCAATAATTGATATATATATACTTTCTTAACGTCTTACTTTTCGGTACCTGCTGGACTAATGAAGGCGGACATGCAAATTTGTTAACGTGCTGACAGTGGTATACACGGCACCCCCGGGTCTAAGTGAAGGTGGTGCATTTTGCGTCATAGGTTTGAGTTTTGTTCCCCCAATGAAATGTGGTTTCACTTCAATGTATTTTCAATGCTATGATCATAATCATAATGCTCAATTGCTCATGAACCAGTGTCAAAGATTTAGTGTGACTCAGATACGCTACAAATCGACACCTACCATGTCCCACAAAGCCCCGAATTTCTCAGCGTCTGGGGCAGAGAATCCTTCCTAATGATATAAATATTAAGTTTTTGTGCCCCCACAGGATCTGGTTTCTCATGCAAAATCACCCGTCACCAATCTGCAGACTGACAAGAATTGGAAAGTCCCACAGAACAATCTCGGCCAACACCGGGATTGAACGTATAGCAGCTCCTGTTTAGTGAGCCTCCCTGGGTCCCTTGGATTTCTGAAGTTGTACTGTGGATAAAATGACTTAAATGTAGTTAAGCGTTTACGACACGTTAAATTCTTTTCATCTCTTTATAAAATGGAAATTGTTGATATAGTTTTATTGATAATGTTTGAGGGCGTATCCTGTTTTTACTTGTGACGAAATAAGAATAGGTTTGCCATAGATAAGAAAACGGTAGGCTAAGGATTCGTCTTCCACCCACGATAATACCGAGAGTATAATAGACCAACACACGATTCATAATGTTAGCGTATTATATATTATTATAGGGAATTCAACAGGGTCAGTTATTTTTAGAAGGGACTCGTGTGACGATACAGTCAGTTGGTTATGTACATGTACATATAAGCGCACGTTTATTTGTTGACGACACACCTGCTGAGTGTGGACTGTTATTACACAACGGATATACTTTACCTCAGTGAATAGCCGGAACTTCAAGGTAAGACATCTCAGATGGTAAAACTACATTAAATTATAATTTACGACACAGTATGAATACATTTAAATAGAAAGAACACATTGGCGATTGTGATTTTCCTCTCAAACTCAAAGTGAAATAGAAAGAACATATTGGCGACTGTGATTTTCCTCTCAAACTCAAAGTGAAATATATGTTTGGCATGTAAAGCGACAACACATTCTTTAGAACACCTTTCTGGACAGCGTTCTTTACATTTTTGCTTTGTCGCGTCACACCTTCTATTATCCCGAGTGGATGAAATTTTATAAAATCGCTAAATGTACATATATTTAAATAAATCAATTTAACCCGAGAATTATACACTAATCTACATCTCTAATAAACCAAATCTAAAAGTACGCGTAAATAGAAACTGATATATTTGTAATTTGTTTCATTCAATTGTACGTAATTATTAAGAACCCGTAACAGTTCCAATTCGAAACAAGAAGCCGAACATCTGTTAGACCTACTGTTTTTAATGATATAAAGTTGCTGGTAATATCTGATATTTGATTTCAGAAGAGACATGGCAACCGGGGGAAGCTATGAACAACACCCTTCCTATAACAACAGATACAAATTATCTAGCAGTGATACAGACTTCAGTCCACGGCAGAACAGATTATCCAGTATTGCAGAAGCTATGGAATATGAGTTATATTTTGGTCATTTGTCATTTTCAGAGCCAAAGTCACCAGACGCAATGAACAACAACAATAAACAATTTACTCGTATGGCATCTTCTGAATCACATCATTCGGATGACGTTTTTGTGGACATGGGGCATGATCAACTTACAAATAAAACAAACTTAGGCAAAACAACATCAACTTCATCCACGTCGAATATTTTGCCGAATCCATACAACAAAATAAACCATAAATTTCACAGTACAATTTGGTGTTGGTATTGCTTTTATTTCGTGTTCTTCTGTTGTATGCCAGCCGTTCGCTTTATGGAGATGTCGGATAAAGAATATCGAAAAGGCGATGATATGATGGCCAAGAAACACGGTCGTACAGCAAGTGCTTGTTATATATTAGGAAGTGTTTTAACAGTTGTTATTTATTCGTGTATTTTCTTCCTGATTATATACTTTTCTACATACATGACGTCGTAAAACAACATCTTATTCAACACAATAACATTAATGACAGTAATAGTGTGGTAGTTATTATATGTTACATCCTATACAAACACTTATTTGAATATATTATCAAGGTGTGATAATCTAGTGTTGGGATAGTAGACATGTGATATACCCTATACTGCACCTTTTGAAGGATGGGCAATTGGAAAACCCTAAGCAACGGTAAACGGAAGTGTAAGCCACAACATTTTGTTACAAGGTGTTCCCCTTTTCTAATCACGAACAAGCATTCCATCAAATACACGGTGTTAATGGTGTACGTTTCCAGTATTTTTTTTTTTTAAAAATTACTGATTTGTGTCGTTAATAAACAGTGACAATTCCATTGTGAACATTTATATAGAGAAAATATAATCCATGGTATAGTTTCTCTATGATTTGTGGTGTTTAATCAAAGACCAAAGCTGAATTTCATGAACTAAAGTTTTATCTTATGTATTCATCATGTATTTATTATGACACATTCTGTTTCTCAGGGATTGATACCTGTTCTACTGTGTTTTGTATATTTCAGAGTTGCATTAAATGCTGAACCTTAAATAATGTTAACTATCTGTGCCATTATGGATCGATATTTTAATCTCATTGTATATGAACATTTTCAATAAATTAATAAAAATATTTAATTTTTATATCATATTCAAATTGAAAATTCATTAAATTGTTAAAATTCGGTACCATTAACAATTGCATTTGAAATCTTGATTTGATTTTGATTTACATCAGACTGCATCTGAAACGATTTGGCCAGAAAACTATAAAATTCATTATAATTAAATTTATGAAAAAATGTCAAGTTTGTCTCCTACGTAAGATCCAGAGTGATCCAATATTTAACCAAATTCAAGTCTATTTTTTCTTTGTTGGAAATATGTCTGTATGCAACTATATTTCTCAAGATGAACTATTGTCTGTGTGCATGTCTCAACTTGAGAGAATAAAAATATCAACTTGTGGGTCTATCAACAGTAGTTGAAAAAAATAATGACTTAATCCCCCCCCCCCCCCAGTCACAACTAAGGCGTCTTTTCCTTATAGAGTATGTAGTCACAACTAAGGCTTCTTTTCCTTATAGAGTATCTCTTGTCGGTAAATGAATGAATTTAAAGGTCGGATATATTTTATGTGGGATATTGATTAAATAACCATAGCTCTAACACATTATTGAGTACATGTAAGAAGATAGGGGATGATTTACTAAAACAAACATGTGACTCCCTTAGTCTCTTTATGTTTGTATTCAACAAGAGAAACAGATGTCTTGGATTAAAGATGCATTATGTAAGAGCTAAATCTTCCTATTGCAAATCTTTCTTTAGACCTCTATGACATTATTAATTAGACATTTATTCACATGACAAGTCATAACTTCACTCAGCATGAAATATTTTGACTGAAATTTTCAATATATTCCTTTTTCATTATCTATTTTTATTTAAACTATTATAATAGAAACTGTTTAACTAAACCTTACATACCGTAATGCATCTTTAAGGATTTGTTTGAGGTCAATAATAAAAGAAGTAATACCAAGGTTACTATTATATTTCCTTCTGTTGAATGGCCAAAAATAATTTGGCCCATAAGGTAAACCCTAAATGTAGGTAAGATATACATAATTTTTTTACTGATTTATTTCTCCACATAATAAAGACATTCTAACAGAGATAAAATAATGCCAGCACTAGGAAACAAATATAATTAAAAGAAGGATGGCACATGACAATAGCACAAAAAACAATCCACCGGTCAGATTTGAAACAGTTTCCAACATACTGGTAGGCTGAGGATTTATACTGTAGAAAAGTTAAATTAATATTATTAATTAAAATGAACGTTTTGATCTATAATCTCATTAATATTCTTAGCGCTGAATTGATCAATATGAACAAGTTAAAAATAATATAACTATCATGTGCATAATAACTAATGGAAGAAAATTTAGATCTACAACTTTTTTTTTATAGAATAAATATACATGTATACAAGTGGAAAAGAGAAGTTCTAACTTCTACACAAGATGTTAAAAACCTAGCAATTAGTAAAGGTCTGGAACTCTACTTACAAATGTAACAATGTTAAATACATTAAATAATTTAGTTTTTAGCTTTTGCTTGGTTTGCCACCTTTTCCATGGCAGCTTTTACTTGTTCTTGATCTCCCAGGTAGAAATGTTCAATTGGCTTCAGATCTGCATCCAGTTTATAAACCAATGGAATACCTAAAACATTTATTGAGATTTTAATAATGAAGACTTCAAGTACATGTATACCCCCAAACCACCCCTTAAGTCCTGTTTTGGCTTATTATACATGTACAATAGCTCAAACATTTAGTTTTTTTCTCCTCAGTACTTTTTGAGAATCACATTTAAAAAAGTCATTTGGTAATATGCAGATGTTCATTTCCCAAGCACTTTAGGACACCTGCCCTTTTGTTAGTTATTGTTCAGCCAAGCATTCCTAACATATTACAATATACATAAAACTTTGGTGATGTTAAGGAAGCTAGTGGTTGCTATGAAAAGTCAACTTTGCATATGTGACCGGATAAATTTAGATGTGAAAATAAAAATGAAATGCACAAAATGATATGATAATTGTTTGAAATGGAGTCCTGTTTTGTTTCCTTAATTTTGAATTGTTTTTCTCTGAAACTTATTATTATAGCGTATACAAACTTCAAAGATAAATACTTATGTTTGAAACCAACTTAAAAGTCTTTCAAAACAAAATTTGAATTTATGCACAGTTGTGTTTTGAATATATGCATATTGTGTTTCCAGATTTCTGATGAATGTGTCACAAATAGCATTCTTTGTGTAGCAAGTAGGTGGTTACTTACCTGTAGGTATATTGAGAGCTAGAATAGCATCGTCGGTCATGTTATCCAAATATTTAACTAGAGCTCTTAAACTATTACCATGGGCTGATATCAGTACTCTTTGTCCAGACTGCAATATAGCATAATTATCAATTACAGATAAAACAGGTATTATAATTTGTAAGCAAAATTTGGGAAAAGCTAACAAATATGTAAAAAAATCTATTTATTGATTATTTTTTAAAATATTTTCTGCAAGTTAGTGTGACTTTATAGTGTTTACGAATTAAACTACAATTAAACAGCAGGCCTCTTTAACTGCGGTGTCCTTGGACTGCGGCACTCAGTAGGTTTTGATCTATACTTTTGCAGCTAATCCTTAGATAATCCTGAATACAATAGTGTTATAAAACTATAGTCTGTTTTTTATATCACTTGCCAAACATTGATAATAATAAGCTTGTTGGCAGTTCACCCAGGCTGGCATTTTGGTGTACTACACTGAATAATTGGGTTTATTCTTTATGTATAAAGTTAGGTACCTTTATAGCAGGAACTATATTATCATACCAATATGGTAAAACACGAGCAACTGTATCTTTTAAACATTCACAAGCTGGTACACAGCTACTATCAAGAGTCTGAAAACATTACAATAAATGTAATTAAAATATCACAATATATAATTACAATATTAAGCATCTTGTGATTATTCAGATGTGTCCCAATCAAACACACCATTCATTCATATGTTTATATTGTACATGTGTTTATAAACACCAAAAGAGGGTAAAAAAGTGAATACTTTTTGCGAATCCCCTATCGGAAATTGTTTTTTTCTTTGTAATGCACAGTCTCGAATACAGCCAAAGCATAAGTTTCTACCTGTACCACATTTAAATGACTGATGACGTTCACCTCATAATGAAATGTGTTTTATATTTGAATTTTATTGTTAGTATGAAATGGGGTTTAACATCGTACTGTTCTGCTACGTATTGGGCTAATGAAGACGGGCATACGCCATACAGTGTGCTATGAGGGAAATTTTGCCCGGACAGCGGCACTACGGTTTACTCTTATATCGAATTCCAACTGTCAAGGGATCTTTTCGTCCCATCCAAAGGACCTTGTCAGGCCCGCCGTCCTGCATCACTGACAAGGGGAACCACGCCGGAAAATCTGGATGAACTTTCTCGGATAATGCAAGGATCGAACACCCAACCTTCAGGCTAGCGAGCCAGCGTCTTACCCACTTAGCCACGTGATCCCCAAATTTCATTATTAGTAACATCAGTTAACCAATGTCATTATCTGACATCACAGAATGTCCACAATTTAATGTAACATGAGAACTACAGCTTATGATAAACTTGACGTAGACTGCATCATAATGATAAACCTGATGTAACAGTTTGTATCCTACATGACAAATGCTATCAGTAGTATTAATGGTTTCTTTTTCAATTAAAAGGGGATGATATTAGTTGACAATAATGAATAAATGAATGATATGGAGTTTAATGTACTACTTTACTGCACAAACAAGGATATGAAAACTGTCCTGCACCATGTGGGGAAAACCCAGATGAAATGTCTCGACCAACACTGGCATCGAACATGGACTTCACGGTTAGTAAGACATTGCTGTTCCGCTGAGAATAAAGATAAACTTGACAATACTTACAGAATATCTTCTATCTTTACCCGACCATCTTTCATCATCTGGTGTCAGAGCTGGTGGTGGAATATCATAAGAACGTCTCCATATCTGTTCAATCAAATATAAGCTTATATCTAGTTGTTGACAGGCATTTCATTTTTTCTCATTCTCAAATATGTTTAGTGCACAGGCTTGGAGGTAGACAGGTATTGTTTACAAGATTTTGAGTTGGACACCCTAGATATTTATTTGTATTATGAATATGGCTACAAGATGCTGCACAAAGTAAACCTAGAATATAATTAGCTGTCTTAATTTTCTTTAATTCCACATGTGATCTCTAGGTAAAGGCATTAGAATCATAATATAAATTATATAACACCACTTACATGAACTTGCTCATCACCATATTTCTTGGCTGTTTCTGCTTTATTTAAACCTTGTAAAGCACCATAATGACGTTCATTTAATCTCCAATGTCTATGAACCGGTAACCAATGAAGATCTAATTCATCTTGAACCAAGTATAAAGTTTTGATGGCTCTTTTTAAAACACTGGTAAAAGCCACATCAAATGTGTAACCTTTTTCCTTTAAGGACTAGAATAAAAAAATAATATGGATTTCGCATTGAAAAAGCAAGATCTAAGCCCGTAATGTTTTTATATTCAGTAATCATAGTGTTTGTGTTGTCGGCAGTGAGGATGCCGAATTTTGATAAAAAAAAGTTTTAATTTAACTTAATGACCGAAATTGAAAGACTTTTGGATTATTATATTACTTTTCGAGATTCAAGTTTCACTTTATCTAATGGATTCCTCAATTCCTCAAGTGATGTACATGTACAATGTCAGCAAACTCAAGGAAACAACCATAAAATAAAACATTGGGCATTCTTGGTAAATTAATCATGAGATTTAAAGAAAAGTACACATTTGTAAAAGATAAGCTTACAGATTTTGATAAAATTTTTAAATACTTTCTTATAAAGTATCTTGCAACCAATCTCTCTTTCTGGATTTAAGTATAATACATACATATATAACAGTGCTACCACACCTTTCATTTATACCTATGTATGTCATTATTTCATAATGTATAATTTAAATGCTGCCACAAAAGGGTACTTAGTACTTATATATGTACCATAATAAAATTTCTATCTATGTATAATTTGCATGCTGAACGAAAGTGGTGGTTTATTTAATAAATGTCTATTTAGATTCCCAAATTTTAACCATGTTTCTTATTATTAAACAAATCTACCTGTCCAGCAAACTTGGCTTCGGTTACTCCTTTTTCGGTTAAATCACAATCATACCAACCAGTAAATTGATTACTTTTGTTCCACTCACTTTCCCCGTGTCTAACCAAAACTAATGTGTATGTGGCCATGCTTTTTGAAATGAAATAGGGTTTGACTCGGCAAAAAGGATTAATAATAATATTTGCTGTGTAGGTCAAATTTTCGTCCTGAACAGTTTGCGTCTCTTCTACACTTGGATAACCAGGCTTTATTTCTTCTATTGAAATCTATAGGCTTAAAAGACTACACATTCCGGTCTATCAAGAGTAGCCTTGACATTCACAATAAATTGATCACCTTGACCTTGATTTATCAGAACACTATTTTTTTTTTTTAGCAGACGATAGATTTGATTTTAATGATTTATTTAATATCATTTTCTCAGAGTTGCGTCTTTATTACCGTAACTGTTTTAAACATGGGATATTTTTGATTGAAAAAATAAAGATCACAAATCAGATCTAGGCCTAATCCTTGGCTTTTTTCTTTTTACAGATTTTTTATTTGTTTTGACTTTTATTTCTTCCGGTTTTAAAATCAACTGTCACATAATATGTGGCTTTTTATACTGCTTCAGAATTCTTTTTCGATGCTTGTCCGTGCGCTTCACTACCCTAGGTTCACGAATTTATATTTTTGAACAGTTATTCTCTTTTGCGAATTTCATAAGTAGGCCGACTAAGATTTAAGAAGTAGTTAATTCTTAAAAAAAACTTATTCAAATAAAGCAATACTATTACTAATAATTCCTAGCTACTTTACTGAGTCAAATTTGTGGTACCTGTCCTGCAAGCTTTGCTTCTTGTAATCCAGTTTCAGAAAGATCAGCATCGTGCCAGCCACAAAATAAATTTTTCTGGTTCCATTCACTTTCTCCGTGACGGATAAGAACTAAAGTATAGGTTGCCATTACGCCGGGTTGGCCTACAAGTGCGGGTACTAAAACGCACCGTTATACGGAAACGGTTAGGTTACCGTGACCTTCAGACGGTTTTGTGCTTCATTTGCATGCACAGAGAGCACAACAAGGTTGATAACTCAATGAATTCTACCGGTAATCGGGATCAGACCACTTTTAGGAAGTCAACTTTCTCATATTAGAGATCTTAGGCCTACTTGTTCATAAAATAGTCTTTAGAACTACAATAGTAACTTTTCTTAATAACCACCGAAAATACCTGATTCCATTTAAAAATGCTGAGGATATTAACTTAAACATTAATAATATTCAAGCTAGACACTGATGTACCGGTAATTAATTTGGTTTGATGTGATATTATGGTTAAAGATGTCTGAATATCATATTACAACTGGCGATAGTTTTCCTGAATATCATATTACTACTGGTGAATTATACAACACTTATTCATGAACACCATTATTATTGTCATTGACTCATTTGTATTATAAACCCCACTCACACTAAAGATGTCTATTCTTCTGAACAATAAGTTACCATTTTGACTTTGTGTCTGTATGAGTTCCCTGATCCGAACTTCAAAGGCCCTCAAACTCAAAATAAAACAATCATGTAACTCTACTCAGATGCTGTTAATTCCTATATTTTTTTATTTACAATAAATTTATTTATGTACAAGAATACATGTTAGCATATTGCTTTTTAAATTTTCAGTCTGTTCTGACAAAAAAAAAATATTGAATTCTTAACATGACAATAACATATTTTTGTGTAACAGATCAACATCGGGTTCCCATTTCATTAAAGCACCCTTATAACTTATGTTCTTCATACAAAACAACCATTTTACTACACATCTCAATGGAACATCACGCTTTATGAAATGGACCCTGATCTCTTGAACAAATATTACATGTTACTTTTTTGTTTTATAAACTGTTCACAAAGTGTTATAAATCTCAATACTTCTTCTTTTTCATTTTAGTAAGAGCCCGCACTTCTCCTTCTTGATTGGCTAGACTGGAGTACAAAGCTTTAACTTTCCTTTTTCTATCAGAATCCCTAAAAATAAAGAAATAATAAAATAAATGGAAATGTCACATATAATCAATTAAACACATATACTACTTACAAGTGAGTTACAATGTATATAGAAATCATACATTTTTTTCTGATCAGACTTTACAATTATTTCAGAGCTGCTTCAATAATTATGTAGATAAAGCAATCAATTTTTAAAAAAAATCCAGGATTTCCACTAATCTAGACTTTTGATTAAACTGTACAATTTTTATTATTCATTGTTTGTTAACAGATTAATGCAGATTAATAAAGAAATATTCGACAGAGTTAAAGGACGTATGACTTTATTTTTATTAACCTTGAAATAGACGAAAATGGTTCTAAAAGCAATATTAATGTAACATGAATGTATGTAAAGTAATTTGTATTCCAATTCTTGAAAAAAATATTGTAATTTCTAATCAATTATGTTCGGTTAAATATGTGGACAGTTCAAATTGAACGACAGTCGTTTACGATTGCTTAGTCGTTTCTACATGTTTTCTTATTTTTTTTGTCGATTGCGAATCAGTCTTTACTAATACATCCCCACTGTCTTTAAGGATATGTTCATATTTGTTCGTTATAAAATGCCATCCAAAACCATAGAATACACAACCTGTGTACTGATTATATAATGTCAATTGTATATTGGATAGTAGGATATACATTTTCACTGCAAAATAACAACATCGATATTGATTGAAATTGACCAATATTGAATTCTAATTTGTGTTTTTAATTGCGAATATTATGGAAAATGTTGAGTTAGAGATACCTTTCTAATGTTTCTTTCAGTTGATGTCGAGCTAAGAATTGTGAATCTCTTCTTATATCTCTTACAGCACCTTTCATTTCTCTTTTATGTTTGTGAACAAGTTTCTGTGTCTGTTGAAATTCTTTTGTTCCACCACATTTCTTCCTCTTACCAGTCCATCTAAAATAAAAAGAATATTATATGCTAGTAAATAAGCCTTCAATTTTTCCCCCTTTTCTTTAATAATTTTCTGTCTTTTTTAAGGCTGCTTGTCAAAGTACTGATTGTTATTATCTAAATTCTGTCAGAACTTACTTTTCTTCTACTTGAGGTTCAAACATCTTTAAAGCAATGGGTTTATTTTTCTGTACTTGAAGAGCTTTCTGTGGTTTTGAAAATCCTTCTTCTAAAACTGACTGTAACTTGGCGATTTTTTCCTAAATTATAAAGTTCCAGTAGCATTAAAGTAGTTATGCCCTATACAATTTAAATTCTATCTAAATATGCCTAACCTAATCAAAGAGTTTGGAAATATTCCATGAACTGATTTCAATAACTCCAAACTACAACTCCACTTGTTAATATAAGTGACGGTTGTCATACATGAGACAGGGTATGCTTACACTTTCTAGAACAGCTTATACCACTCTTTAAATTAGGAATTTACATAGCTAAGACAATTTTGTTATACTTTTTTAAATTAATAATATTATGTGAGCTCTGTTACCTGTAAATCAGCTGGATACATATCTATTGGCAATTTACTACACATATTTACAACAGGCGAAAATATGTCTTTAAATGCAGGAAGATCTGTATACAGGTTGGTATATTCTAGTAATAATTCTACTGTTGTTGACACAGCATTTAACCTAAAATTACAGTTAAATATATTATGCAAATGCAGTCAATCACAATTCTAACTTGTCAACAAAAGATTAAGCTGATTTGAATTTAATGCATACAATGACATGAATAACTTTGTCAGAGCCGTGATGTACCAAATTTATATTTAAAGGGGCATTAATGGAGATTAGATCAAGTATTGACAGTTCTCGCTATAATAGTTAAAAAATAGATAAGGTAAATAGAATGTGCTGAAAATGTCAGTCAAATTGCTCCATTCTGAACCGAGATATTAGCTTTAAGGCTAGCCTCGATCATCATTACTAAAGTCGGTACGATAAAAAACAAAGTCTCAATTATCCATTTTTACGTTTAATCATCCTTCACAAAATTTATTCCAATCTGCTAAATATTGCAGGCTAGTGATGGCATGGAGGGTTGATTATGGTCTGGATAAGTTAATTAATGTCTAATTAATAATTTAGATAACATTTCAGGCCTAAAGAAAGACCTGAAATAGGCAGATTTAGCTCTTGCATAATGTATGTTTAAAGAAGTTTCTTCTAATATTCTTTTATCTTGTAGACCACATCAAAAAATTTAGGCAATTTTCAAAATCTCAAAATACTTCCTTAACAGATTTCGGTTTATCAAGATTTAGATTCTGTAGGAAAGTGACATCAGAGGTGCAGATCAAACACAAATTTGCTTTCTTCTTGCTTTACAAAATCTCAGGATAATATCATCTACATTAAAACTTACCTAATTTGATTATTGTTTAAACTATCTCTAGTAGCAGAAGATGCTAATAATACACAACCATTTAATTTACCAGCTTTTAATTTACTAGAAATACATACAAATTAGAGAATCAAAGAAGGGCAATGCAAGAAATTATGTTTGTATGTTATTACTGCTTAAAAAGCATGTAACATATATTTGAGCAACATTTTGTTTGTTAAGGAAAGTTTTTATACAGTAAACCTTGCATAAGTCGGATCATCGCTCAACTCGGAGAGAGAGAAAGAGAGAGATGTTTTTTTTTATTTTGACAAGTATTCAATAGGACGGTTCCTGAACTTACAGGGCGATAATGAGACCTACATTCAGAGCTGAACTAGGTCTTCGGCTAACTCTGATCTTCGCGTAACTCAGATAAAATTGGTCAGTCCATTTAGATCCGACTTATGCAAAGTTTACTGTACTCTGACAATTTGACGTCTGCAAGGTGTATTTAAGGGGTATAAAGGCAATGACATGCATAATCATTCTGAAATACCAATTTCATTTGGTTGTACGTGACAAGGGGTAGGGTTGCCTGTCAAACCTCGTGAGTTTTTTTTCGGGTTCTCTGGTTTCCTCCCACTGCTAAAGACCCCTACGCGCAAACGAATTATTGAAATAAAATTAAACCATATGTTAATCCCAAAATGACCTAGTTTGTGTGGAGTGGACGTTAACCCCATTTTTCTCTCTCTCCAATTTCACTATTTTTGGTTGATTATTGCTAAAATTATTTTTATTATTATTAAGAAAATATACATGTAAGAAAAGATTGTTTTCGCACAAAAAATATTTCTGTGAAATTATTGTGCAAATTAAAACAAGACATTAGTCTGTTAGTTCAAGTTTTTTTTCAGATAATGATATCTTGATGATTAAATACTATCAAAAGCTCAGATCTTCACATTCTGTCATTTTACCTGTATGACTGAAACAGATTGTAGTAAAATAATAATTTAAAAACAGCTGTCCCAGCAACTTAATACAGTATTGTTGTCCATTATAATTATGATGCATAATTACCTGATAAATAAAAAATATCTTTGAATTTGTGCAAATAAAATAAGAATACTGACCTGATATTTGGAGGTTTCATATTTAATAAATTAATATTATCTCCAACTGGTTTAAAAGGAGGGAATACTTTTTCCACTGCAAGTAAACAAGATACTTTAGTGAGAAAATGTCACAAATGACATGTTTTAAGGTGCAGGCATGCATATACAATGTGTATTTATAATAGATATATCAAGTTATTAGATAGCAATGGTCACCAAATATACCAATGATGTGGGAGTAGCCCAAGGGAAATGAAATGCAGTAACTAGGCTAATGAAGTGTGTCATGCAGTGTGCTATGGAGGAAATTTTGCCAGAACTGTGGAGTTTCATCCACCCACTCTTCACCGAATTCCAACTGTCAAGGGCTCTTTCACGTGCAATCCATGTAGTACAAGCATCAAGCTTGGTTTTCTGTATCATCCGAACAACTAAATGCTAGTTTACTTGGCCCACGGAAGAAGATATGCTTATCAAACTTATTACAACATATTGCTGGGATACTTTCATTCATCTACTTTTTCTTAATAATTATCTACATGTATATAGAAAAACTTACACTGTTTAGGATTCTTCTTTGATGCAAGAAATAATAATCCATGTAGAAAACTGATTGCTTCTGGAATAAATCTCTTAGACATACCAATAAACTAAAAAAAAGAGGTATTTATGTCATTATGAAAACACAAAATATTGTATACAACTACTTATATTATTGCCCTTTGTGCTACTTCAAGTAACCAGACCATTCTAACTAAATTATTCCACCTATTTATTGCCAGTCCCACAGTCCATTATCTTCTTCTTTCTCTTCAGAATTAAAATCATATGTATAATCAAATATTTATCTACTTGAGTTTGTAATACATACCTCAAGACATAAATTACATATATACAGACCATAAATAACATCTCTCTCAGAATTTAGAGGTGTCTAGAACAAAAAAGAAAAACAACACATCAAAACCATGTAGTTTATCATATTAACAAACCTGATAATGCAATGTTTACATGAATATACACTGTAACCCAGGTATCATTTAATCTTGTGTATCTAGCACTAATTTCTTTCACATTCGTTTAATATAAAATCTTTGTTTAAAAATTCATAAAAACTGTTTAAAATCACCATAAATCATTTAATTTCTACTTGTCTCCAGTTTAAAGCTGACCATTCAATTTTGATAAAATGAGTGTCCAATTTACAAGTGTTTAATTTCTCAATCACTGTCCAATTTACAAGTGTTTAATTTCTCAATCACTGTTAAAAAATAAACAACCCAAATGATGTATAATTATTAATTTTTAAACAGTGGTCAGGAAATTAAATACTTATTGAACACTCATTATCAAAATCAATCAGTCAGCTTTAAACTGGAAACAAGTACAAATTAGATGATTTTTGGTGATTTTAAACGATTTTTATGAATTTTTAAACAAATATTTGATATAAAACGAATGTGAAAGAAATTAGTGCTAGATACATAAGATTAAATGATACCTGGGTTACAGTGATAACTATTATTAAAGTTTGTAGCATATCAGTAGAATAGACCAAAGTGAATAAATCCACTAAATTCTAAACCTTTTTCCTACATCGCAATTTGCAATCCGTAGCTTAAATGTAAATGCACAGACAACTCCGCAAGGCATGTTCATAATTTATGATCCCCATATTTGGAACTCCGTTCATTTTAACATAAACAGGTAAATAACTCCACAATTTGCAATTTCAAAAATTAAGAATTTTCCTCCTCTGTTCCAAATGAAGCATCACATCAAGTATATATATACCTCACACAAGCAAAAATATAAAAAATGTGTCCAGAAAAATAACATCGTAAAAAGTGTACAATATTATGTTCTGAAAAATTTGGTAAGTTGCTTCGGTCTATCCTAATGACGAATACTACCAAGTTTTAAAAAAAATCTATTAAAAAGTTAGTACTGTATCACATTTACAAGAGTTCATACAATCTGTTTTACAGAGAATTACGAAAGTCTTCTAATATCTCTGTAAAAGATGACTGCTTTCAACACGTGCCGTCACAGCATGCGACGTCAATCATTGGCTGAATGGCACGTGCATTGTTTACATAAGACGTTACTGCTTCGGGCAGAATGCTGCCTTTTAGTCATTTTAATACCCATTTACGCTAAATAGGAAATAATTTTTACCTACAAATATGTCAAACGTCTTTATTTATTTTTCTAATACATCAAAAAAATGTTTTAGAATTTAATTTGTCGGTGGAAAAAAGTTAATATTTGAGACTCATTAAGTCGCATTGATGTCATCCTTATCAGTGATTGTAGCTATCTAGCGAATATTCACTGCTGATCAGTGTGGAGCTCATAAGCTTGAATGTAAACAGGGAGATAAGTCTAAATTTCAGCAGTGGTCTGACTTTAAATGTGACAGGGTAAAAACAATTAATTGTGTTATATGTTGACATACCTGTCCCAACATTTGAGCCATAAAAAGTAAAGATGGTGTTGTAACTTTATGTTGAAAATCAGACGTAGGAAAGATGATTGATACTAATTTTAACATTAAAAGCTGAAATACAAAATAATTTAATAAGTACTGTAATATCTTAATGATTTTTAGGTATGCAGAAAATACAGACTGATTTGATATCCTGAACTCTCTAGTCCAGCAACGCCAATGCTACATGGAATAGTCCAGGAAAAAGTAAAGCAATGAAAAGGCTTGCGCCTTCGTTCATTACAGTAACTACAGTAAATAAGGCACTTAATCTATGTCTTCTTCAAATAATATTTATTTGCACACATCTTGAGTAGAAATTTACATATAACAAAAATATTTGGAATGTGAAATTCACAAATAAATGAGAAGGTCAAATAAAATCTGTAGAATCTTACCGTATCTAAGCCTAAATAAAGACCTCGGCCATGTTTACGCTCAGTTATCTGTCGGAACTCTTCCTGTCGACTCATTATTTCATTTTGAAATATTTCTGCTGCATTATCTGGTGACATTTTGGTGAGATTGTAAATTGGCAAGACTAATTTATTCATAAGTTCTAACTCTGGTGGCTCTTGTAATGCCAGATCACCAAAATATTGAACTAGAAACCCATGAAATGTCTGCAGAATAGGAAAACAACATCTATTAAAGATACATTATGTAAGATTTAGATAATAGTTCGAAAATAGATAATTCAAAATGAATATATTGAAAATTTCATTTAAATTACTCTATTGCGAGCGAAGATATTAGCCTTTGAAGGTTTGATAAGATGTGTGCATTAATTGTAACCACCGTACTGGTTGTTCGAAGCTAAGTCTCGCTTTTCCATTTTTAAATTAAATTAAAATATGGCTGAACCATCCTAATCTACTTAATATCAGAGATATCGGATGGCATCGAGAGTTGATTTTGGTTTTGTCAATTTAATAAATGTCAAATGAATAGTTTATGTAACATTTCAGGCCTAAAAATGACCTGCAATAGGCAGATTTAACCCATTTTATTGACCTTAAAATCTAGAAAATAATGTAACATAAAAAAGAGAGATATTAAGATAACGCAAAATTAGTATCAATTAAAGAGAGAGACTGAATAATAGGCAGTAACTTGGGGATGTGATCAGAACAGCCATTTTCTGTACAAATTTTCTGATGAAATATCTGATGAAAAATATCAATGACTGCACTGCCTCTTACTTAATTAATTGCCAAATTTGGTGAGCCGCTGTGGCTCAGTGTCTAAAACGCTGACTCGTTAACCAGAGGGTCTCAGGAGTTTCTGTCCCGGTTTCCCCTTGTCAGTGGTGCAGGTTGCCAGTTAGTGATACCCTGACATTTTTGCCCAGTGCTTGTCTCATTGGTGTTTTTTAGGGAATCCGGTATTTTTCTAGTAAGATTGGACATCTATACTTCCATTTATACCAAATTTGCCATACTTTTATTGGAAATAATACCCTATAAATACTTTTGTGAGAATGTACCTTGAAGTGTTCAATAAATATAAAATTTATAATAATTTTGTTGATGTCTTACATATGAAAATCCAACTAGAAAAACTGCCCTCCTTCATTAATTTTTTTAAAAGGATTGTGTGGCCTTGCCATCTGGTTTTTCTTTCTACATGAGCGCATGCCCAAAATGACATATTCCTAGGTCTGTAAAAATGATGGATAGCAGGTCATAAAATATATACTCTATTATGAAAACTATTCATACCTGTAATTTCTGTTTATTTCCTTCACCTAAACTAGGATGATATAATTTCTGTATTCTTTCTACTACAGTTACCTGATCCGTGGCATTCAGACCTTGTATCAAATTTAACCAATCATCGTAGCTGGTAGGTGCTGTAAAAGTTTAATTCTGATTTGATTTAACCTAAATATAATACATTTGCTGTCTATAAACTCACCAAAGCTACTTGGTATAGGGCAACTCCAGGCCAATAGTGACTTACATAGCTCTGGTAATTATTATTACAGTTCTAGTCGTTGTTTTTGTATTTTAGAAGAGAGCCGAAAAAAGCTCCCCTTAATGAACAAATTTAAAACATCGCTCCCCTAAAAAAGCTCTCCCAGTTTCGATAAGAAGAGTGATTTAGAAATTAAGGAGAGTGATCTGATATTAAGGAGTTATTATTTGTATGTATGGGAAATGGTTCTGAAGATCAATAATTGCGGGTAAGGTGTCATTCCTGGTTACATAAATGATAATAAACATCGTCTGCTAAATAATAGTACTCGTAGTCGCACGGTCAAGTCAAACTTTTGCTATTGTCTAAAACTACTTACGGTATTCCAATAGAAATACTTGTAGACATTTCTAAATATATATAGCTTGTATAAATTTTGTTTAAAAACATAACCCCTATTCAAAATATAATCATAAACACTTGAAAATTCCATCAAAATATAATCTATTTCTTCCGGAATTATTCTCATTGGAAATTTTCATGTGCCATCTCAATTTCTCACGTCTCACAAGAGTTCTACTTTACATTTCAGTTAAATTAACCAATGATGCAGAGGCGCCATTTATTTTTAGCAACATATTCATCAGAATTTTTTTACCATGTGCGATCACATTATACACTAATCGAATACACCAAATAAATGTTCACAATGACAGCATGGCGGTGATGGAAATGTGAATCTTTCACACTCTTTTTTAAAAAAATACATATGTCCATGATTTACAAATAAGGAGAGTGATTTTCAATTTTAAGGCGAGGGAGAAAAACCTCCCGTTCGGTTGACATTCAGGTGCATGACCGCACACCTCACAAAACAATGACTGAAATGCTATAATTGAAGAGTCTTTTAATCAACAGATTTGCTTAACATATGTTTTCTAATTTTCCAAGACTTTTGATTTTCTTTGAAGATAATTTAAAGTTAATAGTCTATATTGTAATCATGTTTAGATAATTTCATAATTTAGAGTGAACAGTCCATATTATTATGTTTAGATAATTTCATACCGGTAATTTTAATTTAGCAGGCTACCCCATCATTAAAATAGGTTTTATTATAGGAAGCAATGGATAAAATCGGTGTCAACTCACCAGGAAATGTATAGGGTAATTCCTTTTTTGCTTTTTCTATTATTTCTTTGGTTTCCTGCAAATAAGGATAGTGACTTTATATTAATTGAATCTACTTATTAATATGGGGGGGGGGGGGGCTGGCCGAATGGTTAGAGCATGTGCATTGTATCATAAGGTCTGCCCTTGAGTCAACTTACTTGGTTTCGACTCCACGGTTGTACGTGACAAGGAGTAGGGTTGCCCATCCAAACCTCATGGGTATTCTTCGGGTCCTCCAGTTTCCTCCCACTGATAAAAAAAACCCTACGCGTGAGCGAATTATTGAAATAAAATTTAACCATATGTTAGTCCCAAAATGACCTAGTTTGTGTTGAGTGGACGTTAAACCCCATTTCTCTCTCTCTCTTATTAATACCTTATATTATAAGTTTTAAAGTAGCATTAATATAATAATCTATATTGTTTCTTTTTACCAATTCATAATAAATCAAAATTGTGGTTTGTTTCAAATGTATGTTTTTACTTGCCTTTGGATTTCGAGATTTCAAAGGTTTATTTTCAGATTTCTTTAAAATAGACTTGATAAGAGCCTTCTTCTCTAACATACTGTCGTCTACTTTTTCCTCTTCTTCCTCTGATTCTAAATCAGCATAACTATCATCACTATCGCCATCATCATCATCATCATCATCATCATCTCTTTTGTTATCATCTGTAAATATATAGTGTTAATGCAATTTGATAACAATATATGTATCCAATTTTACTTGTATTTACGCGAAACAATGAATCTTTTTTATCTGGAATTATAACAATAACTGTCAATCACTTGGCCAAAAATCTTGATACAGAAATACAGATCTCATAAAAAAAACTATCATACAATCTTAACCTTTATTGTCATTATCTTCATTTTCTTCATCATCAACTTCATCTTCTTCATTTTCATCATTTTCATCATCTTCATCACTTTCATCACTTTCTTCATCCTCCTCCAAGCCCTCCTCCTCATTATCATCACTTTCGTCATCATTCATTTCAATATTTTTCATTCCTTTCTTCGTTTTAGGAATCAGTACATCATCACCCCCAGCTAATTTACCATCTTTAAAATGAACAGATTGTTTAGCTCTTTGTTTATCTCGTTTGTCTATATTAAGATTAAATCTGTAAATAAAACAATTTGTAAATTACCAGAAGTTTTGATTTGGCTTTATCACCACCACATTGTACATCTTTAGTCTTTCTTTTATTGTGTCATCAAGGCATAGTTTAAGATAATAAAATTTGACCAAAATTTGTTTCAGTGTCTCTAGAAACCAATTTTTTAAACTCCTCTACAGAGGATCAGCTGATGAAATAACAATGGTGTAATTATGAAACAGATAATGGTCATATATAAATCAGAATTCAGTGGACAGCATTATTTCAAAATAGCTTAATTTAGGACTATTGCAAGCACGATCCATCAATTTCAGTAAAAACATATCAATTCATTAATCTTACCCATCAAAAAGATCATCTGCTGAGATATGTCTTGGTTCAGAAGTATTTTCCTCTTCTGTTATACCCTTCATTCGCATTAATCGATCAGCCTGATATATTAAATATTTAAAAATTTTAAAAATATAAATAAAGTTTTCAACATATCTAGCTTTGACAAATTATGATACAGTGTTTTGATCTATTGCATTGTCTACTCTGGGGGGGGGGGGGGGGGTAAATTTAATAAATAGACCCCATTTAAAAAATATGATAAAAAATCAGCACAAAATTCTATCTCTTTAATAACAATAATGACATTTCTCTAATAAGATTATTTTTCAGTGTTTAATATAGCTATAAAATTAAACCAAGATAATCTATTTTCAAAAGTTATCTAAATTACCTCTAATTTTTCTAATCTTTCCTTCTCTTCTTTGGCTATTTCTTCATCTGTCTTTAACCTATCTGAAGCCTGTAATAATTTACATGTGATGGTTAATCTATAACTCTACACCTAGATCTTTCTGACAAACAATGCATTAAATACTATAAATGAAAAGAAGCTTTTGAAACTTTTAAACTGAAAATTTCCTAACATTCCAAATTTAATTCCTAGAAATAGATTGTAAATATATGGGTATATATATGCAACAAATGCATTCCAAATGACTATCATTACTTGAACAAGTATCTAATAATTCAACAAACTTACCTTTCCTTTAGCCTCAAACTGTAGAGTTCTAACAGCTATATCATAATCATCTGCTTTTGTAGTTACAGCTGCCTCTTTCTCTACTTTATTATCACTTGATTTAGATGATCTCTGTGCAACAAATATAATTATAAAATTGACACAATAAAATACCCTTAAAGAATATTGAATATCAAGGCTAAGGTGAAGAACTTGTATGACTATCTAATTGCATTTAAAATATTTAATTTCGTCTACACAATTGGCAAATTTACAACATATCCTTTAAATGGAATTAAAAACTTGCAGTTACTTTGGTAAACAACATAAACAATTGAGGTACTGAACAAGTTTGTTCAGCTTTTGTATCCTTTCTTTTCGGGTCTTACCACTGCCAGACAAAATAAAATTTGTCAGAAGAAAATTATAGTTTAATTTACATACCGACAACCCACACAGAAGGTGCATTACTTCTTTATATTCTTTATCAGCTTGTTCTGTCATTTCAAGCCTTTCATTCTTTTCTGATTGTCTTTCAGACTGAAATATCAATATCATTATTATCATTTATCAGCTCTGTTGTTTGGCAAAATTAAACTGAGACAAAATATTTAAAGATATTTCTATTACAGTTCATTAAAGAATTCTTACTTTATATTTTTTAGAGAGAGCTATCACTTCTTCCATTTTCTCTTTAAATGATTTCTGAGTTTCTTCATCCGATTTCTTTGTTAGGAATCCTCCAAAATGTTCTTCAGCTACAATTTTTGCTGAAATATTGTTGACATTTGTTAAGTGTGCGATGCATTTAAGACTTCAAACTTACATAGCCATCTATTGCAGACTACATCAAAACTATACAAAAGGTAAATATGTTGCTGAAAATCAAACATCCTATCCTAATACAAATAAAAAAACCCATTGTTTTCGAGACTAACTCAAGAGAATAGGATAACTATGAACATGAAAATTTTGTTTGACAGAGTAAAGGATTACTTTCTTTTTTTTTTCATTTTAGTCATAAACATTATCATATTATTTTTTAATAATTTTCTGTTAAAAATATGGTTTCAGGTTGCACAAGTAAATATAACTTTAAATGAAATAATTATGTGCATCAGGTTTAAAAATAGGTAAAGTGATATGGCAAATAGTAGAATAATTTTCAAGTCTTTTAGGATTTTACCTTTTAACCTTTTGATATCATCATCATCTTCATCCTCATCACTTACAACAGGATTATCAAACTTTTCTATATTTGATAAAGATTGACCATAATGAGTGAGATCTTCGTCTTCATTCAAACTATAAATACTTCCTTTCTTCTCTTCATTCTAAAAGTAAGCATATATTGAATTCAGAACAGTGACAACACAAAAAAACGTTGGTGCTTATATTTCATAAATGTGGGTAATTCATTGACTATACAAGTTAAATATTCAAATGTACTTCATGTGTGTAAATCTTGACTCAGTTTACAGCACAATTTATTGCATTGAAATAAAGTATCTCCCAAATAGTAAAATCTGTCCTCTGCTTTCAATATTCAAATAACCTAACATAAATTGAATTTTTTCATTCATCATCAAAATAAACACAAGGAATAGACGTTAGAGTAAGATTACAATAATTACTAATCATAATCAAAACATTTAAAACTTATGCCTTTACCTTTCTCTCCAAAGCATATCTCTGCATCATTTTCTCTTCTAAAGTCAGATTTTGATCTTTTTCACCAATACGTTTATCAATTAACTTGTTGACTTTATGTCTACCTTGGTATTCTTTAAGTAGTGTTCCAGCTCGCTGTTAAACAAAATAGCCAGAATGTTAATAAGATAATGCATATGTAAACATTTCTAAAATCCAGAGGATATTAGATATGTAATATTTATACATTTATGTTACAGGTTTATTAATATTAATACAGAAGATCCCCCTCAAAACTGTCTTTAATTACAAATTTACTACCTTGCTGTTGCAATTTTAAACAAGTTTAAAAAACTAATGTAGGTTGCCATACAAAATTACACGTAGATTGGAAATAATACAATGGTATAATACACTTAAGTTTAGCAATATACAATATCATGTTCTTTAAGCATGAAATATTTTTTTTAACAGTGACAGTGTAAAGAAATAATGTTCATTCTGTTTAAACTAAAATATTGTAGAACCTTTTTCATAGCTTTTGACTTTGATATTCCTGGAGCACCATGTTCAGATTTTGTTCTTTTTTTCCCGAGTACATGATGTTTCTGTTTGTTGATTTTTACTTCGAACGGGTTGAATTTTTTAAAACTACCACTTTTATTTTTTCCTCTTATTTTGTCTGACAAGTTCTTCTTTTTCTTAGCCATCTTTTCAGGGTAAATACTTCTACACTGAAATGTTTTACAAGACATACATCAATTCACATTAAATTACAGAACAACAACAAGTTTAGTGTATCAAAAATACTATATCAGACTCAACCACATACATGGTCGCAAAAACTACAAATCAGAGAATCTTTATCTTCCAAACACTGTGTTGATGTTTACTTCCTATCCATCATACTAAACAATCATTCATTATACTTAGTTCGCCAAATGAAAGAGGGCCTGACAAGGACAGCTGTCTAGTCGTTCGGATGGGATAGAAAAAAAAACCTGAGGCGAAGTTGTTATTGATTATATGAATATATCATTAATAATTTATTGAGTTTTTTTTGTTCACATTTTTCTGCCACAGAAAAGATAAGACTATGTTACGAAGTCTATCAACGCATGTACCCCGAACCGGACACAGTATTTACACACCCAACAGTACATTTACCTTGGAGTAATAATTAAATGGTACAATATTTCAAGTTCTTCAATAAAAAACAACACGCTTGTTTATGGAGGCAGCCATATTACAAAGTGATATATAAAGTTGGGGTGAGGATCTACTAAACCGTATAACTAAAACGATGCATAGGCCAATCAAATCAAATTTACTAAATTGGCACTAGTATATTGATTTTTTTTTCGAAATTGATTGCAAATAATTCCTAAGTTGAACAAATGTTGCAGAAGTTAACAAATTAACGTGATTAGGTAACAATAAATCCAAGTCTAAAAATTATAATAAACTTTTTGACGGTGTCTATCACGTGACAGTCACGTTACTTGCTAAGTTATTTGAGTTATTTCACAATGGTTATTTGGCTTCCAGGTTAGGATGTACAGAGTAAAAATGACGTCGCCGACCAAGGTTGTGTTGCTGGCGTGTGGATCGTTTAATCCAGTAACCAACATGCACTTGAGACTTTTTGGTAAGAGTATATATGGATATATTTCATGAAAAATTTTTTTTTTTCATTCTTTAAAGGAATCCTATAATCTGTAAGAGACAACTCAAATATTTAAAATTTATTTATTGATTGATGATAAATAATAATTGTTTAGTTGCAACTACCGGTACATGTGGAATTTAGATTAGATTAGTAACAGTATGAAAAATTATAACAAACAAGAACAAATATTAGTATTTTATAATATCTAATTTTAGATTTTACAAAATAAGGTACCGTAAGTTGTCAACATCATATGAGTAATATATGTAGGCCTATACCTATACTGTGGAAAAAAGATTGGATTTCAAGATCATCTGTAATATTTTATTACAATTACATTAGGCATAGATATATCTGACTCAGCCCACATATTGTTAAATTTGTATCTATTTTTCTATAGGTAGATCATATTTTACTCGGTCAATATATTGATTTGATTTTTTGTTGTTTTGTATGTCATGAATATTAATATTATATATATGCTATTTTATTTTTCAGAATTAGCTAGAGATTCTTTAAATAAAACTGGAAAGTATAATGTTATTGGAGGCATAATATCACCTGCCAGTGATGGCTATAATAAAAAGGTATTCTAAACCTGAATGAAAGCTTATCTTAACACTATAAAAATGTTCCAAAATAGTAGGCCTAAGGCTGTGTAAATTCTTTATTTCTATACAATACAATACATTTCTTTAGACCTATTTTACACTATATATACATATATTTGTCTTTGTAGAATATATGTATAAATTAAATGTTCTTTTTGTAGGATTTAGAATCTGCGAAACATAGATGTTGTATGATTGACCAAGCACTTAAAACATCTAACTGGATAAAGTAAGTACATTTATGTAAATAAGATTAGTCTAACATCATTTATCAAAGTGTGAAAATTGTAACAAGTGCAAAAAGTTGGTCAGTTTAGTAGATTAATGACATATTTGCCCTTTTAAATGTATATTAGTTACTAATACTATTATTTTTTGTTAATCAGATTAGACAAATGGGAATGTTCTAAAGAGGATTGGACGACCACAGCTAAAGTTATGGCACATTTTAGAGACAAGATAGAGAGTGACTATAATGAGAGAAGTAGACCACTACCAGCTAAAAAACGCAAAAAACTCAACAGTAATGAAGGTAAAGCTTTATTTTATAGATATAGTATCATTTAAAGTGGCCAAGTCTCTAACTCAATATCATCCAAAGTCTTCAACATTGAAAACACAAATTATTTGTCAATTTAAATCAACATTGATGTTGTGGTCTTACCGGGAAAAGATGTGCTTTTGATATCCAATATTTAAGACAAAATAAACATTTTACCATCGGTACACGAATCGTGTACCATAATGCGTTTCAGGCCCATTTTTACCGGGGGACTCGAAGAACGAGGCTAGACATATTTCACAAGTCACGTCAAACGGTCCGTCATATTCTTATCTGGAGAGTATGCGCAATAAATACTATGTAGACTGGAATAACCAGACGCTAGGGATCGTCATTTGATTGAGACTTCTGGCTTATTTCATTGAACATAACTGATTTGAAATTAGAGTAAAAACGGAAACGATTGAATGTAAAACAGTTTATATACATTTATATTACATTATTATATGCTTTGCAACCCATTTGTGTCAATTTCTTGGTCCCAAATATTAGGGATTTAGCTCCTTTAAACATGCATTATGTTAGTTTAGATAAAGAGCTGACAGTTCTTGCTGTAGCAATGGTATGGGACCAACAAGACTTAGTCCCGATTATCCATTTAATCGTTAAATATCAGGGGCACACTAATCCATTTAAATCTCTGCCATATACTGCTCTAGAGAGTTGATGATGGGCTTGTCTAAATAATAGTTTGTTGCCAAAATGAAGACATGCAATAGACATAATATATCTTTAAAATATACTATTCAAAAAAAGTAGGGGATATTTGATTTTTAAGTGTTATTAAAGTCACCTAATGAAACTGACGAAGAAACAAATGACAAAATGAAATGAAGTTCACATTCATCGATTTATTCCAAATGATCGTTAGACTAAGTAAGGCACAGACTGACCATTATAAGGGTAAAATGATACCCGGGGTCAAACAGCAAAGTTACCACAGCATCACAACCAAGTCAGTAACGGGTAAATCCTCCTCTGTTTGCCAAACAAGCATTGATCCGACGTGGCATACTCCTAATGAGACGTCTAAGGTCATTTTGGTCCAGATTGTCCCATTCCTGTTGCAACGCAGCAGCAAGTTCTTGGACATTGGCAGGACGTTGTTGACGTTGACGTAACCTCTGTCCAAGCATGTCCCAGACATGCTCGATGGGGGAGAGGTCGGGACTCAGTGCTGGCCAAGGTAATGTGGTGATGTTCTGTTGTTGGAGGTAACCTGTAACGATCCTGGCCATGTGACATCTTGCGTTGTCATCCTGGAAGATGAAACGGCGGCCATGACGTCGTGCGAACGGCACAACATGGACTGCCAAGATGTTGTCCCGGTAGTACTGGCCTGTAACACGCCCTGCAACAACATGTAAAGCCGTTCTTCCAGCAACAGTGATGCCTCCCCACACCATAACAGAACCACCCCCAAATCGATCATGTCTGATGACGTTAACGTCTTGGAAGCGCTCGTTTCGACGACGCCACACTCTCCTACGTCTGTCCAAAAAATCAACAGTGAACCTTGACTCATCTGAAAACATCACATTGCTCCAGTGCCGATTATCCCAGTGTTGACGATCCCTACACCAACGACGTCTTGCCTGAATGTGATGATCTCTCAAACAAGGGATCACGCGAGGACGTCGGGCGCGAAGGTGACCCCTATGCAGTCGATTCCGAATCGTCTGGCCACTCACTCTCACACCAGTGTCTGTTTGAAGACGAGCGCTGATCTGATTTGCTGTGATGACACGATTTCTCAAGGCCAAGGTAAGGATAAATCGATCCTGGGCTTGAGTTGTCCCCCTTGGTCGACCTGAGCGTGGTCTGTCCTGTACAGATTGTGTATCACGATATCTGGACCATAGCTTGCTTATGACAGACTGAGAAACATTCATCGTCCGCGCCACAACCGCCTGTGTTGTGCCGATCTGTAGCATGCCAAGGGCACGTAACCTTTCATTTTGGGTAAGCTGACGCATATCAAAATTTGTTTTCTGGTCACTAAAACAATTAAACTGATGTTTCCACCCTGGAATTCAATGCCACAATGACTGTAACATTCAAAGTCAGAGTCGTGCAAATCTTGGGTTGGACCCCCATGATGATCCCAAGCATCACCTGCATTCCATGCGGTAGCTATTGGTGCGTTTGGGCGTCACATGTAACTGGAAATGTTTCTTCTGTTAGGTTCTATAGTGACTTTTTTCGTAGTCATTTGCATATTTTAGTATTATGCCCCCAAAATCAAATATCCCCTACTTTTTTTGAATAGTATATATCTGACCCTTTATAGCCAGAACAACAACATTAATTAACAAAAAACATTGATTTATAACCTTTCTAGTGGTTCATACTTATATTAAAGAAGACTGGGTGTTTACCGGACACCAGTAGGTGTTAAAAAGAAAATTTTAGAATAATAATAGATATTTTTATCAAATGAGTCATTTGAATAATGATATTAAAAATGTTTTTTAGACCTACAGTAGTCCCCGGGAATGGTTGGTTAGTTGAATTAACAATTAGAATGATGATAATCGAATTTAAGTAGTTTGTAATTTGATATTAGCTATTTTATACATTGTGTTAACGCAGTTATAAGTCAATGTACATGCCTAGTATTTACTTTCACAAATGTATGGTAACAGTCAAAGACCATTGAATATACATGTACATGTATATAGTCTGATAAAATATATTATTTATTAAATACATAAACCACATCTGGTGCAATACAGAATTATACCTGCACCTACATGACGTGAAAGAGAGAAATGGGATTTAACAGCCACTCAACACAAACTAAGTCATTTCGGGACTAACATATGGTTCAATTTTATTTCAATATTTCGCTGGCACGTAGGGGTTTGTAGCAGTGGCATGAAACTTCTTGTCACGTACAGTTGAGGAATCCTACATGACGTTCATGTATGAATACATAATGGTTGTATAAGTTTTTACAGACATTTTCCTTTGACCTGTCTTCCACAGTTCAACAGGAATACTCACTATAACAGTTAAAATAAAGTCGGTAGGATAAAAAACATAGTCTTGATTATCCATTGCATAATGTATGTTTAAGATTGAATTTCTGAGAATGTGTTTTAGGAAGGATGTTTAAAAAAATCATTGTTATGTATTCATCAAGGGTAACAATCTTATGTAAAATATCTAATTCTTATTAGTTTTTATACACCTGCTTTTAAACTGGCTGTATTATGGTATGACATTGTCGGTCCATTAAACTTTAGTGGGTGATGACTTTGTGATATACAAATGTATTAAACTTGTCCTCTTTCTATTTTGAGGCTGTTTCATTAATTTTTATGCAATTTAATGGATTTTTAAAATGATCCCTCACCCCCCCCCCCCCAACAATATCTAAAAACAATTTATAGGCAAGGTTTGGACTTGGAGCTATCTTTTGTATGTAAATGTCCAGAATTAATTTATGGTTTTTCTGCCATTTGTGGCACTCTTGCTAAGTATTTGATTTACTATAGAACTTTTTCTGATACATGTATATATATATATACAGAATATTAATTCAGTATATTATAAATTCAGTATATTATAAAATCCTTTTAAATATCAGTCTTTAGTGAAAGGAATAACAATTGGTTTGTTTGATGAAAACAAATCTTTTTATAAACAAATACAATGAAAATTCAGGATGTAAAATATATTAACTCAAGTTAATTTAATTTGTGATGCTAAAATATCAACCTTGTTGCAGAATATGTATAATCTATTTTGTTTTTAGATTTTCTTAAATCCACCCAACCACTGAGATGATAAATTTACATGTAAAACTAAGATTATATATTTACATGTAAAACAATCAGATTTATATGTCTTGTATTTTATGTTTAGATTTATATATTATTCATTATTCAAAGATTTTATTCAGTTGAAACGATCAATGCTTGTATTGCTTTTGATTCTTTTTCAGATTTCTCAAATAAAAATCTATATATTTTTCATATCTATATTGCATTAAATGCTCAAAGTTCATTGTGAGCGTATGGTTAAAAGCATCTGTCACATATTCCTCCATGAGGTGACAGAATATCCTCATTACATGTCTATTAATGTATAAAATTATCGTTTATTTTTCCCTGCCTTTCGAAGAAAGCAGGGGACTATTAAATTGGGTTCGTCTGTCCATTTGTTCGTCCGTCCATCCGTCACACTTTTGAGCTAGTATGTTCAAACTTGGTGTAGGTGTTTATTATGTCAGTGCCTTGATGGAGTTCGAAGATGAGCATTTTCTGCTTTGGGCCACAATAACTTTAGTTCTAATTAAGTGAAAGTGATCAAACTTGGTGTATAGTTTCATTACAATTACCTCAATACCTTGACTAAGTTCGATAATGAGCATTTTCTGATCAGGGTAAGCAGAGTGATAAGCAATTTGATTGGTTGAGACTTTGGTGGAACACAATAACTCCTCTTCTTAGTTCTAATTAAGCCACAATTTCCACACTTGGTGTAGGTGTTTATTAGGTGAATGCCTTGATGAGTTCGAAGATGATAATTTTCTGCTATGGGTAAGCAGAGATAAGCAATTTGATTGGTTGATGCTTTGGAACATAACTTTAGTGTTGAAACTTGATGTATAGTTTCATCACATCAATACCTTGACTAAGTTCGATTATAAACATTTTCTTCTGAGGGTAAGCAGAGTGATAAGCAATTTGATTGTTCATGACTTTGGAACACAATAGCTCTCCTTCTAATTGAGGTAGAATGTTTAAATTTGGTGTAGGTATTCATTAGGTGAATGTCCTGATGGAGTTTGATGATGAACATTGTCTGCTTACGGTAAGCAGAGATAAGCAATTTGATTGGTTGATGCTTTTGGGCACGATAACTTTGGTTATAATTAAGTGAGAGCGATGAAACTTCGAGTATAGATTCCTTATATCATTACCTTGACTAAGTTCGATGATGAGAATTTTCTGCTTAGGCTA